ATGAGGAGATGGGGGATGGAGTGCGTGGCGAGGCAGAGGGAGGCGCTGAGGCCTACTATACCGCCGCCAATTATGAGGACTGGGGTTGTGGCTGTGTGGATTTGGGGGGTAGCCATGATGTACGAGTGGTGTATTTGAGTAATTAAATCAGAAAGAAGTGAGAAGGAGAATTCTTCAAGTACTGTACGTTGGTACTACTTTTGTTTTGATCAATGGACTGGACGGATGCGGCACAGCACGGAAAACTATCAATACTAATACGAGGACAGAGGATCTGTAGAGATGAGATGAAATGAACAATAAATGACACTTGTAAGAATTGACTACAAAACTTTGACGAAATAGAGTACTTGACAGGCAAGTAAAGAAATAAATAGGCACTGGCCGTGTTTATATCTGAAAACATGAATGAGTACTGTAAGACGTCGTCATTACTACCGATAATGGGAATAGAATCGGGGAGTTTGTGCACGAGAGGTCCGAATCTTACTTATCACTAGCCTAGCCACGAGTGTGGGGTATAGTTTGCGCTTTACTATACGGAGTTAGTAGAGAGGGAGGGCCCTTACCCGTTTTTTACGGAGTAATCCTAGGTGGGGTTTCTTGTAATGTCCTTGTTGTCTGAGTCTCTTTTCCAAATCTCGTATGAATTCTAGATAGATTGATTCTTTTTACACACATATATGTATATGTAGATGTTTTATATAATGTACACTTGCTAGATAAGTTTGTAGAAAGAAAATGTAGACGCAAAGCTCCGCTCCCTACCTTGGTGGTCCCTATCACCCGCCGGAATGTAAAGATATATCGACTTGATATGCCCCTTCAAAACTGCAATGTGTTCTGGTTTATTTGTGATTTTGGGAGATTCATGACTTTAGTTTACTTGTAAATCTAATTTGATTCACGAGTGAACTTGGCGAGTTGGGTTCACGTATAACCCATAAATCGTGGTCCTTCACTGGTGAAGGCGCTTAGATTCATGAATGAACTGGAAAATGCGATGTGCAACAAAATATTGCGATTAGGCGGTCAGGAACTGCAGTATTATTCGGTTGTGGAGTGGGGTGGGTCATTTGGCGGTCAACGAACCAATGATCAAATGAGCTGGACTTCTTCCAAAAAGGTTGTGCATGCGACGTGCAACAAAACTCTAATATTACGTATAGTACCGCTCCATAACAAGAATAGGTACAGTCCTCTTTGGTCTCTTGAATTGAAACTTCGCTACTTTGATATACCTCAACCAGTGCATCTAGCCACTACTTGTTGACATCTCCCTCGTCCTTATATTGACTTGGTTCTTAAACTTTAGACTTCCTTCATCTGCTATGGTTTGTCGGGGCCAGTTCCAATGCCATATCAATTGTTTATTCTTCGAGAACCTCCAAGAGGCAGTCTTCTTCACTGGAGTTGTTTTTCACAATAGTGCTCCAGAGACTCCCCTTTTGCAAATACCTTCACGTAATATCACCCTCGTTTTTATTCTTTGAAATCTCTCGTTTCTTGCCATCAGTTTATCCTCTCTTTTCTTGAGTGGAGACTCATTGGGTCAGACAGCAAAGTGGTTCATGATCTTCAACTTCAATGCCCTGCTAGCTGGATTTCCATTAAAGATTTCAGACTTCGTAAGTCACTTATCATTTACTTCCTCTCCCAAATCCATCCCTTCACCTTACTTCCAGGTGCAGCTAACAGTTCTCAGATTAGAAGTCATTTACTAGTCCATTCTTTTATTTCAGAATATCAAATCCTTTCCGTGATTCAAGTCATCAATTTCATTCACATGTCAAATCACAGCATCGATTCCGCACTTTCACTTCCGCGTATCAACTCAATTGCCTTCTTACATCCTCATCTTCTACACTCAAGCTTCTAAAATCCTATTCCCAATCATTCACTGGCAGGATCTCCATTCAATTCTGCAAGCAAAGTCCCCTAGTTGACCTTTCAACAGACCCACCATGGCTCCTCGGAAGAAGAAAAGCCAACCACTTCCAAGAGGAAAGGTAGATGGATACGCCAAAAAGCAACCCTATGTCCCAAAGAAAGCAGCTCCAACCGCCGATACCCGAGCTTCCCAGAAGCGTCCCTATGAAGCCGACGAAGAGCAACAGCCAAACCCCTACCCCATAAAACGCGTAAACACCCGCTTCAAACGCCCCTTCCAAATCACCCGCGGCAGTCTCTGGCGCGAAGATATCAAACCCGAAGACATCGAAGAACTAGCCAAGAAACTCCAAGAAGACTCTTCCAGCCACGCAACATGGGGCAACACCTCCCAAAAACCCATCGTGGGCAACAAGCGCAAGAGGGGAAAGAGAACAGCCGTTCGACGGGGTGCAGATGGTCAAGGAACCATGTCGTACATTGAGATGCGAGAAGATCTAATCGCAAGCACTCGCAAAGCCATCATCCCTAATACCCTCGAGCGCAGCCCTATCTTACGAGTGCCCCTCGAAGTCCGCGAGCGCATCTATGGTTACATCCTCCAATACCCGAAACCCATCCTCCTAAAACCGGACTGGACGACTCCAGAACGCAACATCTTCGTCTCTCACTCTATCCTCTTTACCTGCAAGCAATTCGCACACGAATGTACCTCCTTCCTCTACTCCCAGAACACATTCCAAGCCCTCCTCCGCCCATCCACCAGCCGCCAGCGCATGTACGACGACACGCCTCTGCTTCAAGCAACATTCCACCATCTGTTCCGGCACGTGGTCCTGGATTTCGCAAAGGAGTGCTGGAGCATCGACTGGTTTGAGAGAACAGCCACCAGCCTCCAGACGCTCGTCACCGCAAACCCCTCTCTAGACTCCCTCACGCTCGTTCTCTCGCCCAAGAGAGTAGGCCTGTCCACCACAGCGCTAGGCATGCAACCCAACCCCATTGCTTTTGCGGACTTCCTCTGGGACGGAGGAGCGGTAATGCAGGCTGTTTCGAAGCTTTGCCCGAGAACGCTGAAGGTCGTGGTGAAGAAAGGGGTGAGGAGGTTTGGCATCGAAGTTGATATGTGGGGCTTGAAGTTGTTGATGCGCGGGCATTGGGAGGGCGTTAATGAGGTTGGGGTGCGCATGGCGGAGGATAGGGGGGTTATGGTACGTGAGGAGTTGGGGGGATCTGAGGGCGAGGTTTGAGGAGGTGTTTGAGGATGATGGGGTGGCGGTTGCGGTGGGACGGTGTACTGTGCCTGGGGAGGACAAAGGTGCTGTGCAGGTAGATCATGGTCCGTTGCCGGTACAGGAAGGCGTGGATCTCAACGGAGGGAGGGCTGCTGCTTTGACAAGTGCGCAGTCTTCAGATGGGAGCGGGGAAATTATCAATCTGGCCTTTCTGACATCGTCAGTGGGCTTCTCGAGCGCTTCAAACAGGGAGCAGGACGATGTTTGGACCTTCTAAACTATGGCGGCGATTGGGATGCCCGGGTAACGGGAATGCAGTCGTTGTTATGCGGCAGCTTCTAGGCCGGTAACTTCAATCTTTACTCCCCATTCAAGATAGATCAGAGCAGCATTAACAATAAAATCATCCGGAACAGGAAACCCACTCTTCACACCTGTAAACCTAACAATATAACACATAGCACCAAATAAAACCCCTTCATCACCATTTCTAGTGACAGAACTGCGTACGAATACTCGTCTTCCTTTTCTCAATACCTAGTCAGTATTCTTGCAAGAAAAAAAATTGAGCAGTTTGCTAATTCTCCGATCTCTGATGTCTGTAAATACAACTATCTATCAAAGAGCGAGTGAGTGTTTCTCAGCAAGGAATCCAGAGGACATATGTTCTGCCGTAGCTCGAGACTAGTAGTACGAAGAAGGTGATACGATCAAAGACGAACCATTTTACAAGGGAACATTCTGAGCACTGGCCAGGTTCATTAATACTATAATAGGTAATTTTGACATACATCTCTCAGAGGAAGTATTGGATAGATGGGGCATTGCAGAGTTTAGTCCCATCAGGCTGTCACAGCTTGAGTAAATGAAAAAATCGACACATCAAACAACTTCTATGCGACCTAGATAAAAAAAGGCATGGCAGTTGAAATCCACCCACCTCCCTCTACCAAATACGAAACAAAAGCCAGGAAGTACAACGCAAATTTTTATTTGGTGCTGTGAGATTGATTTTAGCTTTTGAGGCAAATGGATTCTCAAAGCCGGGTTCTAGAGCAGTAAAGACACAAATGTCAAGAGGAAAACTGGAAGATCAAGTAATGAAAATGTCGCTGATTTGATCTCCAGGTATACATTCCTCACCTGAGTCATAGGGTGAGGTGACAAATTGGTATATGTGAGGGTACAGAAACATTTCCCGTTTGACTCTCCTTCTGTAATGGCCCAACTTCGGCAACCCCCATACCTCCTGCCGTAGGTGGTAGTTGTGGATAGTAGTGTTTATTCGACAGCCTACTACAAAACTGCACTTCTGCTACCATGCCGAGGGAACTGTTTTCGCAGTACCAAGTATATCAGTCAAGGCCAGGCGCAATACTGAATCTAACCACTGACGTATCCAAGGTTTCCGAATCCACCAGGACAATCTCGCCAGTCTCCGCAAATTTAGGAACCGCAATTAGCCGAACCATTTGCCCTTCAGGCCCCTCGATCATCGCAGTGTCGAATTGGGGCTGCGAGCCTACGAAGAAGAGATGTGGGCAGGTATTCAAGACGAAAGGGTCGTCATCTTGGAATGGATAGCTCCCTATATATCGTTAGATTATATACCCCTGAATAGATAAAATGAAGCTGCAAACTCACATAATGTATCCGGTGCAGTTGGTGCACAACATCGCCATCTACACATTGCCTCCATCATACCAAGTCTATCCTCACTCTCCACATACTTGAACACGTCATCGACATTTTGCCCACCAGTCCCCAATACCTTCCAACCCTCGATCTCGCCATCCCAAGGATTGGTGACGGTGTCGAACCAACCAGCCTGTTTCTCCTCGCCTGCTGCAGGTGGTGTGCCACCATATGCTCTTGCTTGCGGAAACATAGCAGCATGTATCGGTTGTTGAGGAAGACTGACATTCGCAGGATCCGTATAACCAGGAATCAACGTAACCGGCAAGCTAGGCAGCAAAGTCGCAAGGAAGTTGTCAAAATGCGCGGTAGGTGCAGGATTGTATGCGCTACTATCATAACCATATTTTTTATGGGCGTTCTTCCTCGTGTTGCCAATAGTATCATGGGAAACAGAGTCAGCATCTAGAGCAATCGAGTTACCCGCTATGATGAGTCTGCTAATTTGAGATACAGTCTCTTGGGTTACGGGATCAAGAGCTTCGCCGAGGAGGAATTCGGTGAGGAGATTAAGTTCGAGGGAGTGGGAGGCATCTGTACCGGAGAAGCTGAGACCTGAGACAATAGCTATCTTCTTGCCATTGCTTACTGGCTCGGGCTTGTCCATATCTTCGTCTTCGTGCTCTTCATCTTTTGTGTTCTTGGAGGAGGGTGGGGAGGAAGTATGCCAGCGCTCGGATTGAGGTGGGAGATCGGGTACTTTGATATCGACGACTTCGAAATCTCCATTCGCGTTCTCGGTGCCCATAACTGCTATGATACAGCCTGTAACAAGCATTTCGTTTGACATTGATGATCCAATCAATCGTAGCCGCCCCGACTCATCTTCCAGCATTATAAGATCGTCTCCTGAGGGTGATATGTATTTTTGGCGTGGAGGGGGAGCTGAGATCCAATGCTGGTCCAATTAGTACCATAAATAAACCCTAGAATGCAGGAAGTGCTCACGTCCTTCGAGATATCATCCAGAATATTGGGTTTCAGTGGCATTTCCATGTATATCGTGCCAATCACCCAGCATAGCTTCCCCTGCCTCACATCAAGCACTCTATCAACCCTCTGCACTGTCTCCCCCGCAATCTGGAAATCTTCCCACGCATCAGACGCAATCTTCTCCACAGCAGGCTTCAGCTTCGTTAGGCGCAGGAAGTAAATGTCCGCAAATTGTTGCTGGTAATGCTTTTCCTTTTCCAGCACGTACGTTTCGTGGGGTTTGTAGGAGGTGGACGCTCGCTCGAGGGCCGCATACTTTTGATCTCTACACATATTAGCTACTGAAAATTGAATAGCAATTGGAATCTTACGATGGTGCATGAAGGAAGTTTCCTTCTTCCTCGAGGACCGCCATGTTGGTTGCTTGTTGCTACTTGTGGTAGCTCTAGGAATTGTTCGAAGGCGTTAAACGCGTCGAGATTTCTCGGTTGCAAACCCCGCGCCATTTTCGTGTAAAGGGGGATATCACGTGAAGAAGCCCATTTTTCTATAAGTGCATGCCAAATCCGGTACCATGATGTATATTTCCGGAGAATATAGATTTAGTTCGTAATATATAGCTTGTTTGTGATATTGACGCAGATACCACCTACCACTCGTTGGAATGCAATACGTTTGCAAGTGTTACATCATTCCAGGCACATTTCTTTATTAACAATTCCCTCCAAGCCAACTTTGATCTTCCTTCCTGATAGTAGAAACAAACTCAACTGTCCCCTCCTTACCCAACAAGAAAACTCCCAACCGAACACCAAAGTCCCAATTACCAATTTGCAAGGGCAGCACAACAATGGCACGCTTCACATCTCTCATTGGCTTCCTCTTCGTTCTCCTTTTCGGTACCATAGCATTATCGCAAACAGAAACCCACATCACCATAGACACAAACAACACCTAGTACGTTCCGATTCCCTCCTAGTTCCAATTATTCCCGACTGATCACTGATCACAAGAAACGAGCAGTACAATACCAACGCAGCCTCTCCCTACACTCTCCAACACCCAAGTATCAACAACTGAGGCTGTCGCCACATCATCTGGGGCAGTAGCAAGCTCCTCTGGAAAACCCGAGTTCTCTGGTGCGAATAGTATGCTCTCGGTTGATATATGGGTGGTTGCTATTTCAGGTGCTTGCGTTATTGGGGGTTGGCTTTAGGTTTGGGGATCTGATATCACTCAAGTCTGACGATGAGAACTTGAGAAGGAGTAGGAAGAGACGAACAGAGTTTTGGGTGGCTATGTGCTTTAATATGGAAGGTCTCGTGGCTTGGTAATCAGTAGTAAGAAAACAAGGTCAAAAACTAAATATTCCACAGCGAATTATTCCAAATACAGATACTCAATTTACGCGATCGTGCTATTCGTGTCTCTCACTGTCTTGACAAGCGTTATGGCAAACATCTTTCAGCGTACTCCTATTAGTTATGACTGGAATGAAGAAATTACGGTATTCTCCAAGGGAGATTTACGAGAGAGAACTCTCTCTCTCTCTTCATTCCACCATACCAGAGGCTGAGAAAACTTTCTAGACATAAAATGTCACGGTGGCCACAGCGAGTCCCAGCAACAAGAGCTGCACGGAGAAAAAATAAAAGTAGTACGATGGCAGACGGACTGGGAATAAAAGCCCAGGAAGAATCTCACCACAACAAATAACGATCAAATATCTACCAGCTCGCCCTCTGAACCCACGCTTGCCACTCTGACTTCACGAGTTAATTGAGAGGTAAACCCCGTTATGTATGAAACTATCTTTGCTGAGTTGCTATACTATGTGTAAAATCACTCAGACCCGACCACAGGGTATATCTCTACAATCTACAAACTCATAGTAACAGTCATACTATTCGAATGCACAAGCAGAACCGGCGGACACCCCTTACACAGGACCTCTAAATCCCCCAAGTACACCGCACAAGCCTCAGCACTCTGGCTTGTACCCTCCGCCGGACTCGGTAGCGTGGTGAACATAACGGCCGTCTCGCCGCTCTGAGACCGCATTAGCTCGTTGAGAATTAGATGTTGAGCGCGGCAAGGCAGGTCGTTGAAAGATAGGGGTAGGGCGGCGGTGCTGTAGGTGGAGCCGCGGCGGGAAGATGAGCCGCCATGTTGAGGATCGTTTTCGTTTTCATTTCCGGGTGAGGAAGATGTGGAGACTTCGGAAATGTGGTCGGGGAGTGTGGTGGAAGTGGTGGAGCGGTAAGCGGACGGGAGGCGTTGGCGCGTGTGTGGGGGAGGAGAGGGTGTGTCGGTGAACATGATGGAGGGGCCGGGACCGTCTTCGGTTGCGACTCGCGTTATCGGTACGGGTTTACTTGAGAATTTGGGTGTGGAAGCATGGCGGGAGAGGGAGGGGCGCTCGGAGAGGACGGAGGAGGGGCGCTGAGGTTGATTTGAAGTTGATGCTTCTGCTTTTGCTATAGCTGGTTTGCTGAGTTCAAGTGCAGATGTTGGTCTGCTGTCCGAGGCGTCAGAGCTGGCTTTTATAGAGCTTGTGAGGTTTGAGACTGTTGGTGGTTTGCTGCTCGGTGTCTCGGGTAGAGGGGGTAGATTCGGACCCGAAGTAGTGGGTTGACGTCCGGGTGAAGTTTCACTCAATCCAAGAGTTGTACTTGGCTGGGTTGGCAGAAGTTGTCTGTCCGGCCGCTCAGGAACTTTGACTTCTTTTTCTCCAGTTGACTTCTTCGATGGTGGAGGGCCCCGAATACTATCGCCATGGCTTCTCCTGCGCACCAACCGGGTGAGATTCGGTGGCGCATCATCCTCCGACTCGAAGTCATCTATATCTCCCTCACTTGCAGCACTTTCTATACCCTCGCTTAAATTATCCGTATCGTCATCTACAATGACCTCCGAATCAGTGCTCACGCCGTCTGATTCGCCTTCCGAGTCCTCGCTTGCACTCCCCTGACTTGCATGCTGGCGAACAACGTCAGGTGACAAATTATGAGTTCTCATTCCAACTCTAACTCCCAGCTTAGATATCCCACTCATAGTATGTTTTCTCTTCGACTTCCGCAATAACTTCCGAAGCCCGAGGAAACGCTCTACTCGCTCTCCGCGCGGGCCTTGCTGGAAAGAAGACTCCGGCCATATTGACCCTGTGGTGAAAATGCTGGCCATGTCCGACAGATCTTCTGTTGCTGATGACCGGGCTCGGTTTCCACGGAACTTTTGGATTTCATCCCACCATTCCTGCCCTCTCAAGCATTCTTCGACTTCAGTTTCATGTTCCTCAGCCGCACTCACCCCATTGACGATAATTTCATACGTAGGCAGTTTCCCCGAAGCTAACCAGAATACCAGGACTTCCGCCTCGATTCGCAAATTTTCAAGGAGAGATTGCACTCTACCTCGTTCTTCTTCGACGTCTGATTCATATTCAACGAATACGGCTACGCGGACTTTATAGGCCTTTTTCCAAGCGGGCACTGTATTCAATATTACTCCAAGCTGAAGAATCAATGTATCTGGAAATCACGATTAGTTGCAAATCCGCGGTTTGAATTTGCAGCAGACTCACATGTATCAAAATTGGTAGTCAGGACATTAGGCTTATCGTCCCCTTCAGACGCAATCTCCGCTGACATCTGAATTGGCCATAAGTCGATGTATTTCTTGGTAGATTCGTCCGAATCCTGTTTCGTGTGGGGAAACTCCAAGTCTTGGAATCCCTTCGCAACAGCGACATTGATCTGTAAACGTAGAAGCAAATCCTCGAGAACAGTCACATAGCTTGTAAGACTCAGCATTCCTTCTGTCTTGCAAGAGTCTGTGGGTAAATCGCCGGCCATTTTGGCATCTGTGCTATCACGGCGGGGTTGCTTTCGCACTTGTTGGGAGACAAAAGAGGATCTGCCCGTCGGAGACCATAGCATTTCGGGTACATCGATTAGTGGTTGGTTTCTCCTCAGGTCGTCAAGGTTATAGAAACCCATTACCGCGATATTAGGTCTCATGCCTCCTAGCCCAGTGCTGAGAACAATGTTTCGCGCTCCCCACTCGAGTCCTGGAGAGATGGCAATATTGACGAAAGCTTTGATCTTTGAAAAATCGATATATTTTGTCCATGCCGCTTGCTGTCGGCGTGCTTCGGGAACCGAGCCAGCAAAGTTGTCTGTAACAATCACATGGCCAAGTACATAGAGGCCCCCTTTCTTTAGGGAATTACAAAACTGTATGAGTTTATACTGCCGCCGAGGATCGTTTACCAGGAGAAGGATTTGTGGCCGCCAGAATTTGACGTGCTCTTGCTTCAATCGGAGTAGGTACTTTCGGACTTGGTGGTAGATGAGACTCTGCGAGACATCGCCCCAACTCTTGGGCGGGCTAGCGTAATGAATGATGAGGAAAATGAAGATTAAGATACCAACGCATCCAGTAGCGTAGAGACCGTCCACGAAGAACATGGCTGTTCCTGAAACAAGTGTACCAGCTAAAGCAGTCTGCCAATTAAAAAAGTGGAATGAAGGTCGAAAATTGGGTGCAGAGCCTATGCTAAGGAGGAAGCAAGCTAAGTTCATAACAAGAAAGGTCATCTAAATCAGTTAGTCTTTACTCCACCGATTGTAAGACTTTTGAATAAAGATGAGCTCACAAGATATGTCATTGTAACAAAAGAGGCGATCTTATTAAGGTCGAAAAGCATAGTAAGCTGAGCAACGACAAAGGTTGCGATGATAGCATAAGTTGGTTCGTCTCCATTTTTTGTCCCCTGTCCAAAGACCGAGAAGCCTGGAAGAAGGTTGTCTCGCGCCAAGGCTTGTAAGAGCTTGGCGGAACCTATGACGCCCATTAATGTAGAGAAAAATGAACTTGCAAACTCTCCAGCAAGAATTACCACGCCTGAGATGTTCGTATCCTGAATCACGTTGGCATTCCTGACAAATGATGATCTTGTGGTCGTTGCAGCCATAGCCAGGATGACGAGAGTATACAAGACGAATGTAGTCCCCAGGCCATACAATGTACCTTTAGGAATTGATTTGCTGGGATTTTTCAGGTCTCCAGACATACTAGCTCCAGCAAAAATGCCTCCTGTTGCAGGGAAGAGAATGCCAAAAAGGTCTTGAAAGTCCTCCTTTCCATGAAGTTGACTGCCTGCAGCACCTTTCGTAAGCTGGGGTTTAAGGTTACCCAGGAAGGTAGTCAAGCTAAGACCAGTGTAATCGATGCCCAATTTCCTGCTTTCGAAGGGTGAAACGATAAGAGCTGAGAAGGGAATGCTAAGAGTAGCAAGTAAAAGTATGACTAGTAGCCCATTACTAGCACGGGCGAAAATGGACGATCCAGCCAGGCAAATACCAGTGCACAGCACTAACACTATTGTAGACCAGAGGTAAAGATACCATGTGCTTTCTGGGAGGATATTAGACCAATTGCCAGAATCAGAACCGAAATTTAGCTTGATGCAATCGATAAGACCAACAGCATTCATGCCAGTATTAAAGGCAAATCCAAGGTAGAAGACTACTCCAATCGAGCCCCCAAACTCGGGTCCCAAGGATCTCGATATCAGGTAATAAGCTCCGCCACCACGGACCGTACCATTAGAAGCAATTGCAGACAAGGAAAAGGTCGTGATAAGATTAATGGCGTAAGCGGCAACTAGCATTCCCATTATGCCATAAACACCCGCTTGGCCTGTAAAGCGTTAGTAAAAGTTTGATGAGTTACCTATTCTGATATGTTTTCCTCGTATGGCAGACAGACCTAATAGAAATCCAAATCTTAAGAACATAAGGATACTGAGCACATTGAGGCATGTTGGTACGTAGACTCCTGAGAACATGCCCAATTTCTCACTGCCTCCAATCGGTCGAGGACCAAGTCCAGGTCTTGGGGCTGCCGGATCTCCATTTGCCCTTTTGTTCTCCATTTCGTTGAGCTGTGCGGTCAAAGAACTGGGTTCCATTGTTTCCGAGATTGACCTCCTCCGCCCACTAGCAGATCTCCTTTTTGTATTCTGCGAACCATTGCTCCCATCATCAGAATGCGAATGCAAGCGAAGGAGTCTTTTCGTGAAGGCATGTTCTCGCGGGGGAGGAGTCGAGGCATTCGTGGCAGGTTCATAAGGATTCTCGCGTTCTCTCGAAGGGGAGTCCTGCTCTTCGGTAATATTGGAATAACGCCTGTTCAATTCGCCAGCATTGTCTGTTGCGGTACGAGACCGGAAGTTAGAATGCGAGGAACTCTGCAGTTGGGGTCGAGCCGAGCTAGACATGTTTTGAGTATATGCAATAGATAGCAATAGCAGTAACAAGCCCTTAATCTCCAACCGGAAGGAATTCCTCGCTTCCCATATGTCAAGATGGTCGAAAGTTGGCACGCAGCATGATTGATTGATTGACGATGTACAAAGTGGTAGTTACTGGCCGGAGGACTTGCCCTCCCCTCCCTCTCTCACTGACTTGATAATCCCTGTCCGTACTGGAAACGTCACTGCCCGCACCCGCACCCACAATCACAAAAACGCCACTGCTTAAGCCGGTGGTGGTGTGCACGTCTAGGTGAGCGAGATACTCGAGCAGAAGGAGAAAGGGAGCAGTCGTATGTAGACGGTATGTGCGTATATCTTGTATAATTTGTAAACAAATGCCGCAGTCTGGCAAGGCTGTCAGAATCTCTATTTACCAGGGCAGGGCAGGGGCCAGGTCAGGGAGGTAAGCCTCGAGCCGAGGCACCAGTCTAAAACGTCTGCATTGATTGGTCAAGTCTTTGCATCGCTGTCACGTGGGCGGAGATCTGCTCTTGCAGATATCTCAGCAGGACACACAAGGTCTGTTGACTCTGTTCTAGTATTCCGTATTCTGTCAACCACTATTGACAGAACGGAGCAGGACTTGTAGGATCCATCTTCCTTGATCTATACATATTTCTGCTCCTTATCAATAGCACAAGCCCATTCATTCATAGTCTGTATCCCCATGCAGTACCAGTACTACGTGAATCATATTGACCTTTCGCCAGAAGCAGTCATTTTCTTACCTGTGCTGCAACGAGAATGAGATAAGAACCTCGAATTCTTTCCATCATCCACACCCTCTCGCCCACCCAAATACAACGACGCCGTCATGTCGACTCCTCGAGATGGTGCTTCGTCCTCACGACCTCTGCCGGTCCCAATGTCATCGTCCCCAGGCTCCAACAGAGGCCGCTCCTCGGGCAGTCCCCTTCCCAGAGCTGCTTCAACGGCTCGATTAGCTTCTCCAGTACCTTCGCAGAGCACGGTTGGCACGCCACAAGTCCGCCAAATACCTACTCCAAGTCAAATTGGGAATGAGACTCAAACGTCTGGCAATATAACCCCTCTTGCCGGCCCTGCTCCTCACTCGTCTCTACCTGGGCCGGGCGTGTCAGCTCTAGCAGCAGCACTCTCGAATTCGTTTGGCCATTCGCCCCCAAAATTCGGTACCCCTCCGCTTCGACCCTTGTCCCCAGGCACTGCTGGCAAGGACTTACCTCAGTCGTCGGGTCCACAGAGCAACTATGGATCATTTGACGCGAGAGGACGGTCGATACAAGGAGCACCGGGGTCGATTGCTCAAAATGCCTATGAAGACCCTGATATTGTGAAGCGACATCTAGTTCAGCCTCCGGAAACATCACAAGGACAAGGGGGCGATGTTGCTCAAGACGGAATATTCGGGAGCATGACATTTCGAGGGCCCTCACCAGCAGGCAAAGGGAAGCAAGCAATGGAAGATGTAGCTCCTGGACTAGACGACGACGAATTTTCAAGTTTGCAGCTTCAGGGAGGTGATGTTACACGGCCCATATACAGATGGCAAGAAGAAGCCCAAGGGCGAGGTCGAGGTCAAAGAAGTCAGAGTTTCCACCTTTCAAGGCCAGTCCCGGAGCATGACATTCTTGATATTGGTTCAATCAAGATACCAGGAGGTTTTCGCCGAAATTTTCTTCGGCGTGCTCAAGGAAGTGCATCTCCCAATGAGGGTGATGCTGAAGAGGGTGCTGGTGGTTTACACCGAGGGCCCGGGCCACAACTGTTTACAAACAACTTTATTGAATTCCTGTCGCTCTATGGCCATTTCGCGGGTGAGGAATTAGAAGAAGACGACGAGGACCTCGAGCCCGACGAGTACTTTTCATCAGATGCTTCTGATGAAGATGGCAGCGATGACGATAGAGAACCTATGGAAAACAGTGCTCTGCTCACTCCCAGTCGCCGGAGAAGAAGGCGCAAAGACCGTCCAACAGCAGGCAAAGGTTCCCCTATGGGAGCTGCACTCTTACTCCTCAAATCCTTCGTCGGCACTGGGGTCTTGTTTTTGCCCAAAGCCTATCTGAACGGTGGTATGCTGTTCAGCAATTTGGTACTCTTGTTTGTCGCTGCGTTAAGTTATTACTGTTTCGTTTTGCTAGTCAACACTCGCCTAGCAGTCAATGGCTCCTTTGGAGATATGGGCGGCATTCTTTATGGCAAATGGATGAGGACCACAATCCTCTTCTCCATCGTCATCAGTCAGATCGGATTCGTGGCAGCTTACATCGTCTTCACATCTGAAAATCTACAAGCTTTCGTTCTTGCGGTGTCTAATTGCAAGACTCATATCAGCATTCAGTGGTTGATCCTGATGCAAATGGCCGTATTCCTGCCATTCTCATTGCTGCGAGATATTAACAAGATCACCTTTACAGCTTTGATTGCGGATGCCTTCATTCTGATTGGACTGCTCTACCTATACTATTACGATATTTTCACCATTGTCAAGCAGCATGGCGTAGCCGACATCATCAATTTCAACTCTAAAGACTGGACATTGTTTATTGGGACTGCCATCTTCACGTTCGAAGGAATCGGCCTTATAATTCCCATACAAGAATCAATGAAAAATCCTAGGAAGTTTCCATCAGTTCTTGCAGGCGTCATGATAATCATCAGTGTGGTGTTCATATCAATGGGAGCCCTCTCATACGCCGCATACGGCTCGAAAACCGAGACCGTCGTTATTCTCAACCTTCCTCAGGACGATAAGCTCGTCAACGGGGTACAATTCTTGTACTCGCTTGCCATCCTTCTCTCCACCCCACTCCAGATTTTCCCTGCGATCAAGATAACAGAGAATGAGTTTTTCACGATGAGTGGGAAGTACAATCCGTATATCAAATGGCAGAAGAATACTTTCCGTTTCTTGTTTGTGATGCTCTGCGCCGGGGTCGCCTGGATAGGATCAAATGATCTTGATAAATTCGTCTCGATTGTAGGCAGCTTCGCTTGTGTGCCGTTGGTGTATATCTATCCAGTAAGTCCAAGCCATCTCCATTATATCAAAGTAAACAACATGCTAATTAGCGTTTCACTAGCCCATGCTTCATATGCGTGGTGTCGCGAGAACCCACTTCCGAAAAGGATGCGATATCGCCCTCTGCATCTTCGGTGTTGTAGTCATGGCTTATACGACTATTCTCACAGTCGTCAGTTGGGCAGGAGAGCAAGAACCTAGACTCCCAAGTTATTGCGATAAGAAGAAAATGGGATTAATTCCTTAGTACATAACACCCTGTCCTTTCTTTTACCTAGATTAAATCTGCTTTCCATGCATAGCGTTGCGCGGTGCGCCTCTTTCATACCCTTGTTTCTATGAGCGGCTGTATTCTATAATCTTGGATTTTCGCGTTGTGGATATACATAGAGGAGGTATGGGAGATTGGTTGTGTCGTGTTATAGCCTCTAAAGAACCAATGTGCATATTACTAGTATCTGGATATTAATCCACCCTATTCCTGAATTTGTGGAATATCTTTACAGCTCTACTCGAGGATTTGCTCTTCCATACACCCACGTATTCCAATTCCCCAGCCTATTATTATCAATTCATATCATATCATGTCTCATCTGTTAGCGCTTATTATCATCAAACTATGCGACATACAGTATGCGACATCTAAACCCCCTGCTAGCAATCAATACATTGCAAGCTTGCCATATTATATTATCTGCAGAACATGACTGAAATAATCACAACTCCGCTGCCAGCACATATCATAACCACAACATAATAGTCCGTTCCTTTGACGACGAACGCTTCTAGCATGTATCCCCCTCGCTCACTCCCGCTTCACTTGCTACATACCCAAGTACTATAGGACTTGGTATCGGCATCGGCATTCACTTTAACAGGCAATACATGACCAGATTGTCGGCCGACTCGTCTTCACCTGACCGGGCGTGGCTGGCTTATAGCAGGTAGGTGTGCGTGCGGTTTTATTATCATAATGTGTGTGGTAGGTAGGTGTGCTAGGTAGGGGATGGATATAATGTGAGATGGAAGAAGGGATGTTGGTGAAAGAAAAAGAAAAAGAAAAGGAGAGGAGAAATAAGATAAAGTAGAGTTCGTGTCGAAATTCTGCTGCTGCGCTGTATATCTGGGGTTTTGCGTGTCGTGTCTGAGTCCTCGTCGCCTACCTACCTACTTTGTAAACACCGCAAGGTGGGTAGGTAGGTAGGTAGTATATCAAAGCTTCTCAAGCATGCCACTGGGGGAGATATCAGACACGGCACGTGATGTAGAATATCTGTGGATCGAAGACTTGTCTTGACACTTTGGCCAAGCTACGGAGTAGCTGTCTTGTCTTATTAACTTGCATGTCTGTTTTTCTTTATGTAATGTAATGTAGAAGTGAAAGCCCATCGTCCTCGTGTGGAAATGTGGGGGACTCGAGATGGGGAAGCAGTACAAGTACCCAGCCCTGCGGTTTAGAGCGAGTCCGTATCTGATGTCGAATATCTAGGTACGGAGTACTATGGACATGGAATCGTGAGACCACGCGATAACGTGCCCAGTCTTTCCATGCACCGGGATTAGTGGTGCGGAGGTATTGGATTTAAACTGGCGCCCGAGAGCTCTTTGTCTGGTGGGGTGGGCTGTCGCTGCGCCTCCACGAAGAGAGCCGTTGCAGATTCGGTGGGGTGATGAGATGCAGGCATGATATATGATTTGGAATGAGATAAGGATTTCAATACTTAGGCGTGTGAGAGAGAATAGGCAGCTGGATTGTTTGTCTTGGGATTCGATGCGGCTTCATACTTCATCGCTGTTGGGGTCACTGCCACCGAGGCGAGGTGAGGCTTCTTGTTCTTGGCACCATGGCTCAGCCTTGTCGAGTAAGGTTGATCTGCAGACATTAACGTATTACTATTGGATGGTCCGAAGATATCTACAAGTGTGTTGGCTCGTACTTCGTAATTGCTGACTCGGCTCGGGCTGTAGATGAAGAGGCTACGGCACGGCTACTCACTGCCAAGGAGAGATGGAGTCCAACTAGGAAGGCTTCGAGAAGGCTGAGAATAATGTTCGATGGGTAACACGGATGGGTCACCAGATGGATGGATGGATGGATGGATGGATGTTTTCCAGGGTCCAAGCCAAGTGCTAAAATAAGCTAAGCTCGGGCAGAAGACCAACCGAGAAAAAGAGGCTGTTGGATATCTCCATTATTACAGTAGTATATTGTCAAATCAGATACCTGGGATGGGATGGGATATAAGATCTCATTGTCCGATGCGAGTGTACGAAAGAAATGGAATGGGTGAGGGATTAACCACTCTTCTAGCAACTGTTCAGGGGCTCGTTATTATCTGTCCTCTCTTGCAAATGATGGCACTTTCATGCGAGCATGCGGCGTTGTGGCTCTGTCGTGAGAATTTACGAACGAGTACTTGGACGGATAAGTAAGACGTAAAGACTCGGGAGCTTAAGCCTTGAGGGAGGAGAGATGATGTCGTTCAAGGCGGATCGACGTTGGGAATCCACACTTGGGGATAGATTTACAGATGTCAACAGGGGTTAGATATGTCTCCGCGTGGACTAGCGTGTAGCTAAGCTTTTGTGGATCACTGAAGGATGCTTCCGGGTCTTACTTGGGTAGTTTCATACAGAGAGAGTACTTCGTACCTAGGTATGTACGAGTAGGCGCAGCAGTTGTTAGACTCACGAGGCATTCGACTTTTAGATAATATGAGCTCTTTCAAGTCAATGATGTTTATCCGTGAGGCAAAAGCTAGTTCATTTTTTGCATTTTCCTTTGGACTATTTCCTTTGCATACCCAAGAGGGTAGAGCTCTTGGAGTTCCCGAATCGTAAATCGTAAATCTAGCAGGGTGGCGAAGGAGATATCAAAATCGTCTCATATCTGTCTCATAACACAACCATCGAATCGCAGAAACGTTTCTTTTTGATGCTTTGACCGAAAACACCGCACAACACAGTACAAGAAATCGATAAATCATCTTACTGCACAGCACAAATCAGCCATCAAAGCTGCCCTGTCCTGTGGTCCCACCCTTGTCGATCGTTGATTAGTTCCTGCTCCTCCTTCCCCGCCAATTCCACGCTAGCTACCTACATACCACCACATTCCTCCGTACATAAATCCCCAAGCTTCCCCCCCTCACACCACAACCACGCCATTTCATCCTCTCTCCTACTTAAACAAATTGCCCTTCTTGCTTCGCACATAACAATCTGAATTACTTTTACGCATTCACATCCACATTTACACAACTCCAATATGACTTCCACTCTCGATTCCAGAGACGACGGCGACCTCGCCAAGCACAGCGCAGCTGGTCCATCAACAAATGGTGCTTCTGGCTACCACCCTCCACAGTCCCGTACTACGGGTCGCAACGGGGGAATGGTCAATGTCGAGCCACCAAAAATGGAAGATCTCCAACCTGATTATGCGCAAACACTCCATGCAGACGATGCTGCTGCGCAAGGCTGGTATGGTTCTATGAGTAGGTTGCGCCTCGAAATGTGGCAAAATTATATTCACTAATTTATGCGCTCAGTCAACACCCTTGGTGCATGTATTGGAAACTTCGGTGCTATTCCCTGCTGTATTATCTGTCCTAATCCCTACAAACCTGTCTCGCAGGGTAACGTCGGCTTGGTTACAAAATTCGGTAGATTCTATCGGACGGCCAATCCTGGCCTAGTCAAGATCAACCCTCTCAGTGAACGTCTCATTCAAGTGGATGTAAAAATCCAGATTGTTGGTATGTATATCTGTCATCTAAGTGCCATCGCATTTACTAATGAACTCACAGAGGTCCCCAAGCAAGTCTGCATGACCAAGGACAATGTCACTCTTCACCTGACCTCAGTCATCTACTACCATATTACATCCCCACACAAGGCGGCATTTGGTATTTCCAATGTTCGTCAAGCTCTTGTCGAACGTACACAAACAACCCTTCGTCACGTCGTTGGTGCTCGCGTTCTTCAAGACGTGATCGAGCGCCGTGAGGAAGTTGCGCAATCGATCGGAGAGATCATCGAGGATGTGGCTTCAGGATGGGGTGTGCAAGTCGAAAGCATGCTTATCAAGGATATCATCTTTAGCTCCGAGCTCCAAGACTCGCTCTCCATGGCCGCTCAAGCCAAGCGTATCGGCGAGTCCAAAGTTATTGCTGCACGTGCTGAAGTCGAGTCCGCAAAGCTCATGCGACAAGCCGCCGACATCTTGTCCAGCGCACCAGCCATGCAAATCAGATATCTTGAAGCAATGCAAGCCATGGCCAAATCTTCCAATAGTAAAGTTATCTTCTTACCAGGCGCCTCGCAAGTGGGATCTCAGATGGCCTCAGCACTCGCCGAGGGGTCCGATCAAGGCGGCCCTACTGCCGCTCAGAAGTATGACAATGACTTTGGAGGTACTGGCTCCGGTTTCCAGCAGGCAATCAATGCTCACGTTATCGAAAATATCTAAGCGATAGATGCTGATGATAACTGTGTTGTAGCATGGTCTACCTGAGTTAGCATGACACCTGCTTTCCCTACCTCGCAACAAAACCGCGATATAACATGTACTTTTATCTGCCGCTTCATTCGCGTTGGTAATAATGATGGATGGTGTTCCAATGGGGTTCATGATGAAATACCCCCCTTTTCTTTTACAGTCTTTGATGATAGGATACCCAGTCGTTAACGTTTGTTTTGGTTTCGGTCGGTTTTGGGTTTGGCTTAGGTAGTAAATAATCAAAAGATATTTCTCTGCATACAACCTTCTTTCGTGTGATATCGGCTGCTCAAATCTCATTCTCTCCTCGGCCCGATGTTTGGACGACGACTGCCTTCTGAATTGCCCTTTATCGCTTCGGAGAAACTGTCCTAAAGGTTTCCTCTTTCGATTCATCTACTCCCCCACGTAAAGCATTTTACGCTATAAAACCAAATCTCATTGTTTATTACTCGAACTTTTCAATAAACAATTTCCTTTTAATTCCACGTCAAAGCTGAACTAGCTTATACCCGTACTTGTGTACCTTTTACAAGAACTGCCATTTTTCTTCTTCTTCTTACGCCTGTAGAATACCGTTGCTTTCAGGGGCTCGCTAAAGTTCTTCGGGGGACTGGACTGTAAGTAGGTATCTTAGCAGGTGTTAGGAAAAGCTTGAGGTGAGAGGTGAGAGGCGAGAAGGTAATGCAGTGTAAGGTAAAGTAATGCGATGCGACAGTTTAGGGAGATAAATACTCATACTGATACTAAGTTTGTTTGGTTAGGATTAGTCAGTTAGTTGTAAAGAAACGGATGGATGAATGAATGAAAACTCGTTTTGAAATGAGCTTCCTAGCGAGGAGAGAGAAGCATGATGATGATTTATATGCGTATATACGTGCATAGAAGGTATATCCCTTTTCCATCTATCACTACCCAGTATCCATCACCCCCGAAATCGAAAAGGAGACAGGAAAAGGGAAAGGATAAAGAATGTGGGATTCTTCTGCTCTCTAGTAACAGAATGCCTTGAGCGCTGCAGGTCTAGTGTGAAAAGAAGGTGCGTGATATCGATTGAAGTACGTATACTCTTAATCGGGTTATTGGCTTGATAGCTTTGGGGCGTACAAGATGGGACATGTGTGGAGTATATCGTTGGTGGTCTTGTACTACCTTGCCTTACTGTACTACGTTACGTTGCACTGATCACAAATGCCTAGTACGTAGGTAAGTTGCTAAGAAGGGTTTCACGAGAATTTATGCATCTCTATCTTTTACAAGTCACCTACTCGCTATCCCAGCGGATTTCAGTTCAGCGTTTTATCTTTTGCTATGAAGGATCTTGGGTCGGCGGCTCCTATAATTCCGGGATGATTAATTGCTCTTGGGTGTTAATCAGGACTATCACTTCATTCCTTGAGGTCCTAGATAGTTTGCAATTGCGCACTGTGCGAGACGTTTGTCTCTGCAGGATACTGAATGAGGAGAGGGATGGCTTTTGATCTTGTATATTAGGGAATATGGGAGAGAGTCTATGCCCTAGGGCTTCGCATGCATTACAAAAGAAAACTTTAACACACCGTAGTAGGCAAGAAAATTGTTTTGGCCTTGTTCTGGTTATGGACTGTAGTTCTACGATCTGCCGCGGAGAATGAATTGATTGGAGGCAACTTATGTATTCTCAATTGCGAAAAAAGAGGAGAGGGGAAAAAGGTGCGAGCATAGATTTAACAATTGCATGGGCTTCGGCCAATGAAGACAGTACAGAAGTACAAATAGGAACAGAGATATCTGTCATCTTAGCCTGCATGCTCTTTACCACTCCAATCTTTCCCCAAATCAGTCATTCTTTAGAAAAGAACTTCGCACTGAGTGGGTTATCGAAAAGCCTGACCTTTAGGGACGGCTCCCCTTAAGCGATGAGACTATCACTAGCATATAGTAAGAAATATGGAACCGCAAGTGATGGTTAGAGTTTTATTGCTCTTGGAGTGCCCACCAACTGTGGCATAAAAAGTATCCCAGAGAACAGCACCTCAAGGTCCCAAAACTTTCTCGACTCCAGGCTATCCCCAAACGCCAGTCATTAGTCATCTCGCTTTATGCGCCTTCTTCAATCAGCTTCCCTTATCCACCTCCATCTAGACTTGGTCCTGCGGTTGTTGATCGCCTTGCGCTTCAAGATCCTCAGCCTTTTTCAACCCCTCTGTAGTATCCGCCATCGCCTGTCTCTCGGCCTCCCCATCCGGTTTCCCAAGCACTCTCGTAATCACACCTAAGATCTCTGTTTGATCTTCCTCGCCAAAACGGCCTTCCATCTCCTGGATAATAGTGTTCAGATTCTCGAGCTTGGTAGGTCGCAGATTTAGCATCATGATGACCTCTCCTTTGGTTATCTCCCAGCGCCGTAGCTCCTTGAGAAGGGTTCGTATCGTTTCATCGTTGTAGGGTATTGGCTGGCATGCGAGAGGTGAGGGTGCTTCGCGAAAGTACTCGAGAAGCTATAGAACTATCAGAGCTAGACTTTGCGATGATCTTCGGATTTCACCAACCTCTTTTCGTAGTGTCCATAGATTTCCTGGTCTTCTCACCACGTTTTCTGGGATCTTGCCATTCTTATCCTTTTCGGCGTTCTTTCTGATGTCCTGGTATCTTTTCCCCTGGTCGACCAGATGGGTGTAAACCTCATAATTCGTCAGCGTTGCCGACTGAGCTTCTAATATCTTCATCGTGAGTCGTCGTCAGATTTTGCTGTGGAGTGTGACGGTGGAGGACATGAGTTGCACCGCTGCCAATAGATTTGGCTGCATTGCCGTTGCAGTTGCAGTTGCATGCAGACGCAGACGCCGCTGGTTTTTCTTTTGCAGCCTTGCATTAACCCCACTATCGAGCTAAACCCAATTCGTTTAGACTGGTCTGGTTTCTTTGAAGCACGAAAAACTCTCAGCTTGCACGACGGCAGGAAAGAGAGTTTTATTAATTCATACAATTCCACGTCCAAAATCTAAATGGACGATACATACCAGCAACTCTTCGTCGTCCTTTTCCTCCCGTCATCATAACCCTCCTCTCTTCTCTTACCTCTTCCTACCAGCTCTCACCATCTCCTCGTCTATCTTCGCGCAGTTACCGCGGCTACTCATTTTTCGACAAAAGTCTGCAACAAACCGACATCTCTATCTTTCTTCCGCCTGCACGAGCTTCTAATCTAATATCAACTGCAATGGTTCGAAATATCGTTGTCCTTGGAGGCAACTCCCATCCTCAACTCATTCACGCCGTCTCCGAAATCCTGGGCGTTCCTGAATGCAACCGTATCCTCACAAAATTTTCAGTCGGGGAAAGCCGCTTGGAGATTCAGGACTCTGTTCGCGGCAAAGATGTCTACATCATCCAGTCGGGAGGTGGCAAGGTCAATGACAATTTCGTTGACCTCTGCATTATGATCTCGGCATGCAAGACTGGGTCTGCGAAGCGTGTCACCGCCGTCCTTCCTCTGTTTCCCTACTCTCGACAACCTGATGTACCCTACAACAAGACTGGAGCCCCTCTCTCGAAAGCCCCTACAGACGTCAACAGAAACGATTTCACCTTCGAAAGTCGGCCTGCCACACCTGGGCCAGGTCTACCCCAGAGTCAAGGCCTCTCGAATGGGCTTGATGGCCTACAAAAGAAATTGGGCAAAACCTCGATGGATCAGCAAAACGGAACCTCCTACACGAACGGTATTGCGCCCCCACGACGATCCAATACCATAGATTCGATGAATGAACGTGATGGGCGTGACCGTGGTTCCTCCATAGGCTCGCAGACCCCAACAACAGGCCCTGCCTTCACAACCCATGACTACGCAAATGCGGGCCAATTCAGCAAAAGCTTCTTCCAACCCAAACCAGGATACAAGCAATGGGTGGCACAGGCTGGAACGCTTGTAGCTGACCTTTTGACCTGTGCTGGTGCGGATCACATAATTACAATGGATTTGCATGACCCTCAGTATCAAGGATTCTTCGACATTCCTGTCGATAATTTGTATGGGAAATCATCATTGAAAAAGTACATCCAGACCAGGATACCCGACTTCAAAAACGCTGTTATTGTTAGTCCAGATGCTGGTGGGGCAAAGAGGGCTACAGCCATTGCGGACGAGCTCAATGTGGAATTCGCATTGATCCACAAGGTAAAAATCCCTCAAACCCTAAACTTGCGCAAACTTATACCTGCTAGGAACGTCGTCCAACTCGTATCACAGACCGCCAAAATGCCACCATGATGTTGGTTGGGGATGTCGAGAACAAAGTAACCATCCTCGTTGATGACTTGGCGGATACTTCGAATACCATTACAAGAGCCGCAAAGTTGTTGAAAAAGGAGGGCGCAACAAAGGTCTATGCCCTGCTCACCCACGGTATCTTCAGCGGAGATGCCATCGCCCGTATCAACGCGTCCGCTCTAGACAAGGTCGTGGTGACCAATAGCGTACCGCAAGATGAACATTGCCGCTTGTGTCCGAAGCTGGAAGTTTTGGAGGTCGGCCAGATCTTCGCTGAGGCAATTCGTCGTGTTCATCATGGAGAATCGATGAGTACCCTTTTCTGGGACTAGATCATAGGCGCTTCTCTGCACCTAGGGTATTTTCGTTTGTTGGGGGGCTTGCATTTCCAATCTTGGCGTTTAATAAGGAATCATCAATGGGCGTCTGTTATCTTGGGTAGAGGGCAGTGAGCAGCGAGCTTTCGCTTTGCCGTACCTACCATGTGCCAGATACAATTGCTATACCCATCAACCGCTTTGCGGATCATACTGACTTCCAATGACCTCGGAAGACTTAGACGGCCAGTATATTTGGCATCCACTGAACGCTTCCCAAGTGCTGGATTAGGCGTGGCGTGGCCCGTTGCATTTGTCATTTTGTCAATAAGAACAGTAGAACTTGGAGAATGATTCTGCATGAATTGAGTGATGATGTAAGAGTTTAGGTGTAACGATGAGTGATACAGTAACGTGTAACATGACATTAGTGGAGTATTTATATTTTCTAAACTACAAATCTCGAATTGGCTCTTTCCATGCGGTCAAGGTGCTGTACCTTGCAGAGATGAGGCTTGGTCGAAAGTCATCCTCCACGGGACGACAACAGTTCACACAATTAAGTTTCTACCTAGGCATGTACTATAGCTACGAACTTTCTTTGGGCAATATACTGATCTATACCTAATCATCAAACAACTATCTATACCTGCTACTAGCATAAAATCTATCTCACATAACCCTACAACCCCCCTCACTCAACCCCCCTCCCTCTTCCCCCACCTTCCCCACAGCAGTCCTACAAACATCCTCCCACACCTCCCTTAGCAACTCCCCGCTCACAGCACTACATTCCATATACTTATCACACCTCAGCTCCTGCGCTACCCTATACGCTTCTTGTGGGTATATAATCCCATTCGGATCTTGTTCTGATCTGAGATCTCTCTTTAGCCCTAGTAATAGAACGGGTAAAGAGTCGGCGAGGGATGGGAAGGTGCGGGGGATTTCTTTGCTCCACTGTATTGACGGTAGTAAGTAAGCATGTCATTCATATCATATTACTTCTGGATGGTATGAGGGTGTAATTTAATTGTAAGGGATAGGCGGGGCGTACAGACCAGGCGTTGGACATTTATCAAAGAGAGTCGCGATGAGATATCGTAGCACAAAATAACGACATGGGGTGTCAAGAGAGTCCAGGACTCAGGTGATGCTGTGTCGTAGAGCTGGAAGCGGTAGGGGGTGGCTTTGAGGTTGATGTCGAAAATAAAGGGCTGATTTATGTCTTTTAAGAGGGGAATTGCTTCGCCTTTTGATAATGAGGAGGAATTGGGACCTTGGCTTATTCGTCTAAGGAATTGCAGTAGTAAGTATGTGATTAGAACACAAGGCAAGGCTGTGTGAGGGGTTGAAAGGGGGGCTAATCAAGAGAAAGAGGACGAACGAGAGAAACGTCGACTTCCCACACTCAGCATCGCCGAGTAGTAGGATGTTGACTTTAGGGGGATCAGCCATTCTCACTAATATACATGTTTACTTTCTTCGGATGAAAAGTGAGAAGCTCATGATATCTATCAGAAGAAACTCCTTATCGGGCCCCTGTTATCTCACGTGGTGATAAACATCTACAATAAAAATTCGGGATCAACCTCCGATGACTCTACCTTTTCCTGGATATTCCAGCCTCGAGTCAAAAGAGGGCATGCGGCCACTCCCCTCCCAAATCCTCAAGAAACTTGAAGCAATCCAAGTTTCCAAAGTCCATTTCCACATGTCCCGCAGCAACCGCTGGAGACGGCCAAAACAAGATACTAAAACAAGAGGCGCAAAAGCCGCGCATAAGATGAAAGTAGAAGTTGAGGAGAAGACGGACTATAGTGCGTGGAGTCAGGAGAAGTTGGTTGAGCGAGTTACGCAGTTGGAGCAGGAGTTGAAGAATAAGAATCAAAGGTTTGCAATCTCTAATATCTGCTTTAAGTAAGTACTTATTTACTAACAAGCAAAAGTATAACCACGACCCCACCACCACCACCGGAAAAGAAGTCCTGGAAAAAGCCTCGTAACGAACGGGTCTTTGACCCCTCGAAATACAACACTCGTATGGTAGCATTCAAGCTCGCATATCTAGGGAAGAACTACAACGGCTTTGAGTGGAGTTCGGGCCAGACTACTCGACGCACTACTATTGAAGAAGAGTTATGGCAGGCGCTGAATAAAACCAGGCTTATTTTTCCGAAAGACACTCATCCGTTGGATCCTGGGGAGGTCAATTGGGAGGGCACGGAGTATAGTAAGTGTGGGAGGACGGATAAGGGTGTTAGTGCTTTTGGGCAAGTTATCGGGATAAGGGTGAGGAGTAATAGGCCTTTGGGGAAGAGGAGGGGGAGTGGGAAAGGTGTTGAGGTTTTGAAGGAGGCGGGAGGGGATGTCCTAGGGGAGAACAAGGGTCAGGAAGAGGAGGATATGTTCCATACGCTACCAAGGGAGGATGGAATAGAGATATCCGCGCCGCCTCTTGCTCCTTCGGAAAAGAAGTATGGATATGAGCCGCAAAATGATTCTCTTCACGATCCGGATTTCACAGAATGTCTCAACTTCGATCCCATAAAGGACGAATTACCGTATTGCGCGCTTTTAAACCGACTTTTACCACCAGATATACGGATCCTCGCCTGGTGTCCATTCCCGCCAGCCGATTTCTCAGCACGATTCTTGTGTAAGGAGAGACAGTACAAGTACTTTTTCACAAATCCATGCTTTGCCCCTATGCCAGACAACTTGGAGCCGGACGGCTCAAACAAAGCGCAAGGGAAGATGAAAGATGGCTGGCTAGATATCGAAGCTATGAAGCAAGCGGCAAAGCTCTTTGAAGGCCTTCATGATTTCCGGAATTTCTGCAAAGTGGATCCAGGAAAGCAGATTTCGAATTTTGATCGGAGGATATTCCACGCTGATATCGCTGAAGAAACTGATAGGATATCAGGAGCTGAGTATGTACGCGACGCTAGCTTCTACCCTGAAGAAAAAGCACCAGGGCAGTATTCCACCGGTCCACGCGTCTACGCCTTCAACCTCCACGGCTCGGCGTTTCTATGGCACCAAGTTCGACATATGGTCGCTATACTGTTTCTCGTAGGCCAAGGTCTCGAACCACCATCCATCGTCTCGGATCTCCTCGACGTGAAGAAGAATCCTCGACGACCTATATACGAAATGGCATCCGACACGCCGCTCGTCCTCTGGAACTGCATTTTCCCGCACGAAGACGACCCGCTGCGTAAAGACGCCATGCAATGGAATTATATTGGCGATGAGCCGGGGAATGGGGATGCTAAATACGGGACTGATGGTCTTATGGACAATCTGTGGAAAGTGTGGCGGGGTAGGAAGGTTGATGAGATGCTTGCTGCGGCGCTGATGTCCGAAATTCACTATAAGAATGGAGCAACGGTCGAGGAACTGATTCCCGGTAGGAGTAAGCTGGGGAGGAGCCAGAAGGTGTTTGATGGTGGTGATGAGCCGCGGTTGCACGGGAAATATGTACCTGTTATGAAGAAGATGTTGCTGGAAGATGTGGATACTATTAACAACAAGTACGCCGTCCGAAAGGGGTTCAAAGATGCAGCGGATATGAAGGAGCAGGGCTATAAAAAGAGGCTTTATTTGGCGAGGAAAGGGGAGGTTGATGCGTCGGTAGATTAGGCAGTTGTTGATATAGCATACAAGCAAGATACCCATCTCCACCAACCATTACAATGTTCATCCCATCCATCCATACGTTCAACAAAAGCATCTATCTCCCCATCTCAATAACCCCTCTCCTTATCCTTCCCACACCCACCCCCAGGCTCAAACAAAACCCCCCTCCCACCCCTCCAAACCGTCTCCACCACCCCACGCCTTGGCAGCAGTCTAGGGAAAACCACCACGACCTGCTCCTCCCCCTCTACAACCACCACCAAATAATAGCGTACCTCGAACCCCCTAAACGCCTCATTCACCAATATATCCTGGATCTTCTCTGTAGGTATAAAGCGCGTCGTCGCGCTACTCAGATACGTCACCGAGCTGGTCGACGTCTGGATTCCCAGCCCCCTTAGCACGAGCAACGATTCCGTGGTATGCAGACGCAGCGTAAGCATATACAACACCACTATTGAACTCGGCACTATAACGACGGCCGGAATACTGGCTGCGAGCCTTGTGAATAAGAGGCCGAGACTCGAAGTGTTGATGTGGCCGAGGAGGAATAATGCATAGTCGATACTGGGGAATTCAGGTGGGGAGTTGTAGGTCTTAGGTGTGGAGGAGAAGGTGCTGAGGAGGTATTTCGAGTAGAGGAGGAGTAGGACGCTGAGGCCGAGGGTCAAGCGGAGGAGGAAGGCGAGGAGGAGGAGCAGGCGGAGAGGCAGGGTGAGGGAGGGATAGGTGGAGACGGTGTATTCAACTGTTGTGGGCGAGGGCCGCCGGGTGCGAAGGTGCGGTTGTGTTGTTAGCATTGCATTGCTGAGTTGTTGGTGGAGGTGAGGTGAGGTGAGGTTGAGGAGGCTGAAATTTTGATGGATTAGGGGGGCTTATCGATAACGAAAAAGGTTCGCCGCTCATGTACCACTCACGTATCACTGCCAGAGGATAACAAATTGTGAGTATTGTATCGGTATAGAACGCTTTTGTTTTCCAGCTATAGACAGCTTTCTCCTTCATTTCCCTCCCAGCATATGCCTTCTCCCATTGACAGACATCCACCCCCTCTTCACTCCCCAGTATCAATCTCTAAATCGATCTGCACCCCATTACTGACCCCATAATCCTCAAGCGTCAACTGATCCTTAAACGGCCGTTCCCCCTGCCTCTTCAGCAGAATCTCATGCGGCTGCCTACCAATCCTCGCCGCAACCTGTGCCTTGAACAGCTTAATCGGATCACTCGCCAGACACGGAATCGCTGCTTTCGTCCCCAATCTATCATTCACATGGACTATAATCATAGCTTCTCCCGTTGGTTGTGCTACCGGCGCTGCTGCTGCTTTCTCTTTTTTCCCCTCCTTCTCTCCTTGGCTGTCGGATTTAGGTTTCGAGGAGCTTGAGGACGAAGAGAGACCAAATTTATCTGCAACGCCAAACTTATCCTCCACAGAATTCCCCTTGCTTTCTCTATCGCGCTCCCGATCTCGATCTCTTCGAGGCGAGCGTGATCGATTCCGATAACCCCTTTCTAGTCTTTTTTCCTTCCCGTCATCGTTGTTGTTGTCGCGGCGCTTGTTGTCTTTCCATTTGAACCCGCCACCACCACCTCGTGGCTTGTCTCGCGGGCGATCCCTGTCGTCGCGACTGCGGGGAGATCTGCTGCGGCGTCTGGAAGTCGCATCGCGGGAGGGAGGTGGAGATTGAGAGCGGGATTTGTGGTCGGCCATTTTGTTCGTTGTGTTGTGGAGAGAGATTGTAGGGGATTGATGCAAGGCTGAGGCTGGAAGGCAGCCGAAGACTAGCGCGTGCCAGTCAGTGACCAGTCCAACTTCTTCATACTCTTTTCAAAAATATAACATCACAATATAAATGAATCCATTCCTAGGAGTGTTCTGTTAATTTAAATAATCTAGAGACCTAGAGAGATTGGGAATAAAGCAAGGTATTATGGTATCACATGGACAAGACATCACAAGATAAATCCGACATTTTGAGAGATATATGCTTCCATTCGCCATTTTATTTTACGGACTAACCAATCGTCGTCCTATAAACAACTCCATAAAAAGGTAGAAATCCTGACAATGCCACCAGCCTTACGCCAATATTAACAACCAAGCACGCCAGAGAGCAATAATGAGGATCGAAGCCATTATGTTACAGAAACGAGAATCGACAATCATTGCTTGTTCTTCTTCTTTTTCTTCTTCTCTGACTTGTCAGCCTCATCCTCATGCTTCCGCTTCTTGCTGCTATCCGTACTGGCGGCAGCCTGAGCTTCCGCGGCCTTCGCCTCTAGCTTCTTTTGCTTCTTGAGGTCTTTCTTGCTTGTCTTGACTGGGGTACCATCAACGATACTGATCTGGCCATCCTGGAGTTTGCGCTTGTATTTCTCGAGACTCATACTTAAGGTAGCGGCATGAGCGACATCTGGGTCTATTGGAGCTGCTGATGAAGCTGAAGATCCAGACTTTGCTTGTCTCTTTTCTTCCTTCTCCGCTTTCTTAGTCTCTTTGGCCTTTCGGTCAGCTCTTTTCTTCGACTTCTCCTCGGCCAAAGCGACATTCCGCTCATGACGCTCAATCTTTCGTGCCTTCTTCGCTTCTTTGGTGTTCCCAAGTATCAAAGATTGCCACTGTTTAGCTGGTACTTCATCATCCTCTTCATCTTCTGAGACGGATGAAATTGATTCGGCAGTGCCATTGGACTGCTTTTGGGCAACTGGCTTAGCCTTGGTACCATTCAATGATGGTGGTGCCAGGCCGAGTCCAGCATCAACGTCGGGCATCTCCTCATCCGAGTCCTCTGACTCATCCTCCTTGACTTCCTCGATCAGCTTCTTTTCTTTCTTTTCTTTCTTGTCCTTCTTTGGCTTCTTCTCGGAAACAGGGGCAGCAGCAGCAGTCTCATCACCAGCAAGTCCATCAGCATTGGCGTTGTACTTTCGTGCCTCCTTGATCTCCCACTTCCCTGGTGTGGCAGCTTTTCCATTTGGTCCAACTGCGACACCTTTTGGTAATAAGGGCTTGCCTTCCAAAAGTCTAAGGTGTCGCTCAATCTTTGAACGTGACTTGACACCCAGTGCAGATCTCTCTTCGTCGTCCACATCATCGCCCTTGCCCTCGCCCTGAGCACTCCAGTCTGAAAGTGCATCGACACGAATACCAATAGCCGCCTTGGCTGCCAACATACGAGAGATCTTGCCCTTGTTCTTGCCAGTGGCTTGACCAACCAGAGATGCATGGTAGATGAGACCGTATTTTGGTGTGTCGTGTTTCGTCTTCAAAGCTCTGAATAATGCCTTCTCGGCACCCAGGATTTGAATGGTACTGGCAGGGCTCTTTGCGAGGCTCATGAGCGATCCAGAGTGGGCAATCAGTCTAGCTCCGACAAGTTCTCCAACCAACTCAGTCAAATTGGGTGCGATAGCTTGCATACGAGCAGTGAGGTAGGTTGACAATTGCTGACGGTATTCCGTGAAGCCAACGACCTGCTCTGCTAAAAGCTGGATGTTGTCCAAATCCTGCTCAGTAATCTCGGTACCCATACTGACCTCGGCGGCAGACTTGACAGCAGTCTCGATTTCTTCAGGCAAAATGTCGGCAAGATCAGTATTTTGACAATTTGTACGCATACCGACCTTCATGATGATTCTGGAGTAGGCTAGGTTGTCATTGACAATGCGACCCATCTCGGGGAAATGCCATCCGTACCATTCCTTGACGCGCATAGCGTAAGTGTTTAGCTCTTTGTCTAAGTCGTCGAGGAGTGCGATGGCTTGTACGATCATAGTATCGACCTTATCGGGCGAGAACTTAAGCTTGTGTCGAGAGAGCGAATGTGAAAGACCAAGGGACATGGTTGCGATGTTTTCGGGTAGGAGACCTGGGATGAGGGAAGGTAGGTGATCGCGGATTGCGCGGTAGAGATCATTAGTCGTAGAGTCGGACACAGGTGTCAGGGTGAGTCCTGGGAGTTTGTTGATAGCTTGTCCCAGTTTTGGGTCTGCCACAGCCAAAGAAGCCTTCTTTTCATCCTTGAGTGAATCAAGAAGTTTGGCGAGCATGGGCGAAACCTTCCCCTCGACGAGAGACGCGACTTCCTCCAGTGCAGTCGCAGCACTGTCGAACTTCTCGAAATGCTTTAACTTGAGACTATAATAGAGGGGTAGAGTCAGAATTGGGCCGCGAAGCTTCAGAGACTCGATTGTAGCTCTGCTCAATTGCACTTACAGTCCATTGATACCCTCAGCGGTCTCAACTTCTGCACCTTCGCTCTTCTTGAGAGCTTTTTTGTCGGCCTTGAAAAGGGCAAAACCAGCACTGGTTTCGGAAAGTACGAAGAGGCCCATCTTGAATTATGGCCAACGTCTTTTCGTGGTAGTTGTGTTGGTACTTGGTGGATGAATTATCTCAAACCTTAAGCTTCAAAAAAATTATTCGTGAAGAAAGTGCGGGAAGGCGCTAAGGATAAAAACCAACCCACGATTGGCTTAGTGTCAATATCAGGTGACGTCCCTCGATCCATTATGAACTTGCACTTGCGTAGCTCTAGCTACCCTACTTCACCTACCTAATTACCTAAAAAACCGTGCGTCGGTGGAATATCGAGCTTCGAAAACTCACTCCATATCCTACAGCATTTCGCCAAAATGGAGGGTCTTTTCTTTAATGTGAACAATGGGTAAGAAGCTCCGAATCATCTCAAAAGCGCATTCGCTGATCATCCCAAAGCTACATTGAAGGCATTGTACGCGGATACAGAAATGGATTACTTACGGGCCAGAACTATAACAACTTGACCCAGTGCGAGACGATTGATGGTGGGTTGAACTGGAGTATACCTGTTTTCTCCTGCTAATCCGCATCAGACCTCAAGCTGCAACTCGGCCCAGCTTATGGCGACTTCCTTGCATCTCTTCCACCAAACCCCTCAACCTCCATCCTCGCCGAAAAGACCACCGATAAGCTCATCGCAGAGTTCCGATATGTACGAGCAAACGCTGTTGGGGCCCTTGCGAAGTTTATGGACTACCTCACCTACGGCTACATGATCGATAACGTCGCACTACTGATTACTGGCACATTACATGAGCGAGACACGAGAGAGCTGTTGGAGAGATGCCACCCTCTAGGCTGGTTCGAAACTATGCCCGTTCTCTGCGTCGCAACAAATATCGAAGAACTCTATAACAGCGTTTTGATCGAAACGCCACTGGCACCATATTTCAAGGGCAGCCTGAGCCACCAGGATTTGGACGAGCTAAACATAGAGATTGTTCGGAATACCTTGTACAAGAACTACCTTGAGGACTTTAACAACTTTGTCAACACAGATCCGGATATGGCGGGTACACCGACTGCGGAGGTTATGACGGAGATTTTGGAATTCGAGGCAGATCGGAGAGCTATCAACATTACGCTGAATTCCTTTGGCACAGATCTATCGAAGACTGACCGGAAGAAGCTGTATCCAAGTTTCGGCCGGTTATATCCGGAAGGCTCGTACATGCTTTCCAGGGCGGAGGATGTTGAGGGCGTAAGATTAGCTGTGGAGGGCGTTAGTGATTACAAGACATACTTCGATGCAGCGGGCATGGGTCAGAGTAGTGCTGGAGCAGGTAATATGAGTGGAGGTACTGGTGGTGACGGGAAGAGTTTGGAGGATTTGTTCTACCAGAAGGAGATGGAGATATCAAAGAGTGCTTTCACACGGCAATTCTCCTTTGCGATTGTCTATGCGTGGGTCAAGTTGCGGGAACAGGTACTTCTTTCCTATTCCACTCTAAAAGTAATACTAACATGGGATATAGGAAATTAGAAATATCACCTGGATTGCAGAGTGCATAGCACAAAACCAAAAGGAGCGGATTGGCAACTACATCAGTGTATTCTAGATTGGCGTCCTGATTATTAATTCTCTTTCCATAGCCGGGCTTCTTGCTGTCAATGTTGTACTGTTATATCTGGCGTCCGGAAATTATGGCATGACTTGAGGGTGGTATGGCATTATCAGTTTCGGTCCAGAAAAACATTATGCAATACTGTATTTTACAGTTTCCAAGTACACCTACTAGCCTTGAGGCGGTGCTTTTGACATCTTTCACATGGTTCCTGACGGTATCTCACCTTCGTCTTGAGAATGTGTCGAAAGCTGTGAGTGATTCAACCCGGGACATCTAGCAGAATACACTCTTATTGTTACTCGATCCAAAGAAGGGAATTGGCATTTCCACTTTCTTCTGCTCTAATACACACTCAGGTGACAGCTTCATCCATAAGTTCTCATCCTATTTCTACAGCCCATCAACCTATACACAATAATATACAAATTCTACAGACTAATCTCTCCCTGCCATGTCCCCTCCGTCAACCCCAACGTCCCCACCAAATTCTCCCACCTATCACTCCCCCTCTCCTTGGTCCTCAAATACCTCAACAGCTTTTGCCTCTTGTGCACCATTACCCTCAAATTCCGCTTGTTAATCTTATCCTTATTGCCCCCCTTCTTCTCCAACTGAGTGGCAAGGACCCTAATCTTAGCCGTCAGAATCGCAATCTGCACCTCCGAACTCCCTGTATCCGGCCCTGCCCTCGGCGTCTTCTTGGGTAGTTCCTTGCCGTCAAGAATCTCTGGGTTTATGGGAGCACGAGGTCGTAGCGTCGAGTCCGTGGTATGGCGTCCGAATGTCTCGACGCAGCGCTGGATATTCGCGCGTGTTTTATCGGCCTGCCCTGCGTTGGCGAGACTCACTATCCGTGCCAGCGCCGTAACAGCACGTTCGTGTCCCTCGTCGTGCACCTTCTTATCCGCAGATTCTACCGCCGGGTCTCTGAACGCCGTCACCTTGGCCCTCGTGGGTTCCGTAAGCTCATAGCTGTGCGCCAGACTGTCGGTCAGCTCGGAGGCTGTCACGAAATGGTTCAAGTAGACGTCATCCCCTGACTTGACTTGCACGCGCTGTTGCGTGCCGTCGCTGGGGAGGGCGTCCAGGAGGACGGAGGCGGATCCGGATACGTTGTCGAAGGACTCGATGAAGGGGGTTGTGATGCCGCGGACGGGATCGCCCAGGGCTTTTTTGCGCTCTTCTTGCAGGATCTTTTGGCGGGCTAGGTTGACTGTCTTCCGTTGGGCCGATTGAGCGAGTGCGTAGGGGTCTTTATGGGCTTTTCTTTGGGCGAAGGTTGAGGCATTGGCTGTTGGAATATGGGCTGTTGATGATTGAGCTGGTCGGAAGCATACTGGATATTGGGTTAGTTTGAATGGACAATTGGGTTTGGGTGAAGTATAACTTACAGCTCACGCCATTCAGGCGTTGTGGGGCAGGTATTCGTGGAGGCATATTGACTCTATTTTGAAGCTGTCGTCTCTTTCAGTTGAGTGTGAACTTTGAGAATCTCAAGATGCGAGCTTTAAGCTAAGGCTGTATGGAGATTAGCGCCATAATCACATGTGGCTTGTGGCATTTAAAATTGATGAGGCTGAGGCTTGAGGGCATTAAGTTTAGCGAGCATCGCGAACTTTCCGCGCACTCGGAACGAATTCTTTTCAAATTTCTTCAACGCTTCGAATCCAGCAACCTACAACAACACATCTTCCCAATATTTGACATCGACAACCGTCAAATTTAATTCGCAAAGATGTCGCCTTCAAACCTCCCCCCAATCTTCAATGCGACCTCGCAGGACATTGAGATGCTCCTCGCAGCTCAATCCCACCTCGGATCCAAGAACTTGCAGGTTCACATGGAACCCTACCTGTGGAAGACTCGCCCAGATGGAATCAACGTTATCAACATTGGCAAGACCTGGTACGTACAAGAGGGAATAAAGCTAAAGGAGCTTATGCGCCAACAAATCCCAATCCCAAGCTCAATCTCAGACCAGTTCTAATGAATCTTCGTCTACAGGGAGAAGATCGTTCTCGCAGCCCGCATCATCGCAGCCATCGACAACCCCGCCGACATCTGTGTCATCTCTGCCCGTCCCTACGGCCAGCGTGCTGTCCTGAAGTTCGCCCATCATACCGGTGCCGTCGCCATCGCAGGACGTTTCACCCCTGGTAACTTCACCAACTACATCACCCGCTCGTTCAAGGAACCGCGTCTGATCATCGTCACCGACCCGCGCACCGACGCCCAAGCCATCAAAGAAGCTTCCTACGTCAACATTCCCGTCATTGCCCTCTGTGACACCGACTCGCCCACCGAGTTCGTCGACGTCGCCATCCCAACCAACAACAAGGGTCGTCACGCCATCGGACTCGTCTGGTGGATGTTGGCCCGTGAGGTTCTCCGTCTCCGTGGCTCCATCGCCAACCGCGAGACAGAGTGGGATGTCATGGTTGATTTGTACTTCTACCGCGACCCTGAGGCCGAGGAGAACAAGGAGGTCGCCGATGAGGCCAAGGTCCCTGGTGCTGATGAGGTCGGCCCAGCTGCTATCGACCAAGGCTTTGGAGGAAATGCTGACTGGGAGGTCTCTGGTGCCGGTGCCGGTGCTTTCGCTGCTGCCAGCGCTACTACCGCCGCACCAGCTGCTGCTGGCGGTCCTGGATGGGACGCTGCTGGAGGTGATGACTGGTAAGAATCCCTTCATCCAATTATATAATACCAAATGCTAACGTGACATTTTCTAGGGCTGCTGCTCCAGCTGCTAGTGCCGAGTGGGGTGCACCTGACGCCAAGGCATCCGAGTGGTAAATTGTCTTCTCAGCTTTCTTCATTTGGCTCTACTGCAAAGGTCAAATTGGCGGTACTCATGAGGGAAAGATACTCTACCTGTGTTCATTCTTTACACGTTTAGAGGGAAAGCCCTGTACTGTCAAGGCGGAGAAGTGGACTTGACAGTTGCTTCACCTTAGCATTCAGACCTACTTGTTGTTGTGCCATAGAAACAGCAAAAAAAACCATGCAGTAATCAAGAATTATTTCTGCAAACAAACTCAGCTTCTCATGAATATACTCAAGAATCCGATCTCATTCATATTCACGTATACAGACTCTCTGTCTCTCTCTCTCGCTCATACGCACAACTGCTTAAAAGATTAACTAACATCTTCATTTTCCTCTTCCTCTTCCTAACGCAATACTTTCTTCCATTCCATCTACTTCCATCCATCTCCTACTTATCCAATCTTCCTCTATTTCAATATACCCATCCACTTACCTCTCCGTCCATCCATCTACCCACTACTATACATCATATGTATCATCATGTCGTAACATATACCGCGCTATGTCACGACATCAAACAAAGTTTTATTATTCAGAAGAGTGGGAGAATTAAGTCACGTTTTAAGGTCTCCACCCCCCCGCCGCGCCTCCCCCTCAGGAGCACCAGGGGTAGCGAGTTGCTTATGTCATATACCTCCCTACCAAACCTACCACACCAGCCACTCTCACATTACAGTACACATACATACCTGCTAGCTACATAAGGTGGCCAGTAAGGTCTTTGTCTCTCCTCCACTGAGCCCCTCATCTACGAATCACAATGGACAGTCACAAGGGGTGGCTTGGGCTTAAAGGAGAGTATGTCTCAGTTCAACAGATCACGCTCACTCGCACTCTAGGCCCCATGAGGAAATCACTCGTCCCCTCTGGGAGCTTAGTCCCCATCAGGAATCCTAGGCCCTCATCTACTCCACTCACAAGTCCGGGAACAGAAGAACCACAGTGTGTATGTAATTACTCCAAATACAAGCCTATCCAACTAGCCCCATCCAGAGGAAAACACCAACACCAATCACGCTATTCCCTTGTGGGCAATTTCACCACCCAAAGACCCCCGAAAACGCCTTCCAAAGCAGTAAGCCGCAGACCCAGATAAAGTCTACGGCCTCCACATCATTCTGACCACCCAAGCACCTCTACCATGCGCTGCACGTCACACCCGGGACAGGGGGAGGACAACGGCAAGCCACGGGAACTACTGCAACCTGCAGCCCTTGCGGCTGGACCGTTCCCATGGCAGTGGGACATCCAATCATAAGTCATAACGCTCGTCAATAAAGCAGCCAGGCCGCGCTTAAACCAAAACCAAACCTACGCTGCGCCAAAAGAAAGGGGAAGAAGCGACGCCGACAACAGACTGCCGTTTTGGGAAATCAAAATTTTGCGACTTGAAAAAGGAACATCTAGTATTCTGGCGATGGGTAGCGCGCGCGGGCTTGCTTGTATTCTTTGGGGTGTTTGCGCGAGGCTTTTGTCTTCATTGTTCTGAAAATTTGTCAGTTGGTGTTTTTTGTAACAACAAGCAAGAGTCGCTCAAAAGCGAACCATTGAGGAAATTAGAAATGCGAAATGAAGAACTTACGAAACGCGCTTCTGTGTCCATTCGAGATCTCTCTTCACCTCCTTTGCATCTTGGTAGCCCTCGGCCAATCTGGCTCTAGACCGCGCAAGGCGCTGCTGAGCCAATGCCTGCAAATCCTGTAGTTCGCGGTGCTTTGCATTAAGCAATCCTGATCTAAAGAGTTGTCAGTAAGCCTGAAATTGCTGCTGTATAGTTCTGAGACTTACGTTTGCGCCTGGACAGCCAAAGTGCGGTCGAGAGGAAGAGGGTCGAATGCGCCGTTGAAGCGATCTTGCATGTATTCTTGCATATCTACGCCATTGGCAGAAGAAGTGCTGTCATACTCGCTGCTCGAACTCCCTGCATAACTGTTTGAAGTTGCAGAGTAGGTAGAATTGCCGTATGCGGGTGTCATGCTTGCTCCGGTAGTGACAGACTCAGCGACCTCGGGAGGTGAAACTGAGTATCCGTGGTTTTGAGGAGTGTAGTATTGAGCATTCTGCGATTTTGAAGGGACGGAAATGGGGAGGGAGGTGGTCTGGTAGTAGGTTTGCGGGTAGGCCATGATGATGTAGGTGATGAGGTAATGTTAAACGAAAACGATTTGCTTGGTGACAGAGAAGTGTTTGGGAGTGAATTGAAGGCAAGAGCGATGCTGTGCAGTGTAGATACAAACGGCGAGCAAGGACAAGCAAGTATGGATCAAGGTTGAGATGAGGTGAAGTAAGGGGACTTGTGTTTGTAAGACAAACTGTTTGTATGAGAGTGAAGTTTTTGAGGTGAACAAACGGATGGAAAGAAAAGAAGGAAACTCTCCAAGAAGGTCGCTCGACCTCCCTTTTATACCTTTTCAGGAGTCTCCCGGCTCTAGCAGTGCCAGTCATCGAGGGGGATGGACTTGACCCCATCCTCCTCGTCCGTATCTATGACCCCGCTCGAGGAGGAGGAAGATAGGCTGATGGATCAAGGGCTTCTTGACTAGTCTTCTCCCACCGCTGCCCCCGATCCGTGCTGCCGCCCTCTCATGTCTGTCCCGAGCCACCCAGCCATGCAGTAGTAGTATATTCGTTAGGTTGATCCCTGGGTATTCTAGCTGACGGAGCCTGGCGCGGATTGGTCTAGACTAGAGTTTTCATTGCTCAGAGATAGCCGTCATGCCATTGAGTGTGCCGAGGGCGTTGGCATTGGTCGATAGGGGGAAGGGGGACCGTTGATCTCGTTGCAAAAGTCTTCGAGGCAGCAAGGCATCATACCGTGAATAGGTGAGGCGATTTGATACCTACCTACCGGTCATACCTACCTACGGAACAAACGAACAAGCGCGCTGTCACTAAAGCAGCGACCAAGTGAGCAGCGCATTCCGAATTGGAGTTCCCACCACTAGCCAGGCCAATGCTCTGCTCTGCTGCCTCATCGGGGGCAACAGTTGGCTGATGGATGGCTATTGACTGCGGAATGGGCGAGGATGTGGATGTGGATGTGGTAGAGAGTCAGGCTGCAACGCATAGAAACGAGACGAGACGAGAGGTTGAGTCGAAGATGGACGTAGGTATGTATGTGTTGGCAACATTTTTTTTTGAAATCAGCCCGGGAGCCCCTCCAAAAAATCAAACACCCCTGTTCAAGCCACCCCTCCACAACCCTCCTTGCTTGGCCCTGGCCATTGACCATGACGACCATTATTGGCCCTCTGGAGATCATCTACCTGGGTATGGTGGAAATACAGTAGAAAAAGTAGTGGGGGGTAGTAGTGAGTTTAACTCTTTCTGGAGTGGTAGAGAATTACTCGCAAGGTACACTAGGCTAGAAATAGGAATTACCAGATGTGATGCTGCTGTTCCATCCCAACTTCCATGCTAGCCAACGATCACAGGACCGCAAGTCCGATGCGGGCAATCAATTACTGATAAAATCAGAGCAGTGGCATCCATTTACCTGCTTCTGCACCAAAAGTATAAGAACTCCCTCCCCCTATTCATCAATTCCAACTAGGAACCCAAGTCGACACCATCATGACTGGACTGACTTCGCACCTACTTGGGCACCTAGGTATGTCCTTTACCAAGATCCTGTTTCAAGTGTCACGCCCTACCTAGTAATCGGGTAACCCACGGGATTGTCAATCTGCAGGTTTCAACGGTAACGGCCGAATGGCCGCAGGGCTGCGTATGGGGAAGAAGTATATCAACCAATGGGGCATATGGGGCGAAAATGGGTTGCCGTCAGAGAAGACCCATGCGGAAGGACAGAAACAACCCTTCAGATCACTTTGCTGCATGGCCAGCGAATATCTGCAAGCCTGCTGCAAGGGAGACGCCTATATTTGAAGATTTTATCGCATTGGCAGATTATTCTAGTGCATGCCATGTGAACCATCCAACGCCCATGCTTCCCCAAAATCGCTGGAAACACCGCCTCTATTCTACCCAAATATATTCAAGAAACCCCACATCCCAATCCCACTCAATACCGGTATCGTTAAGTTGTCATCCCACCCAAAGATGTCAATGACCTCGCTGGCTGAAGCCGCAAAGCCTGTCCATAAACTCATTATTGCTAAAGCCAAACCGCCAGAAATGCTCGCCTGTGCCTCGGTCAAACCAACAAGGTCCCTAATAGGCCCTGGCAGGGACAACGTTCCTGTGAACTGTAAAGGCCAGTTCACGTCCTCAGGAAACTGGCCGTTCCGTGGTACCAGCCATCCCCAGAATCCGGCTGCAGTAATGACGCCGACGAGAAACGCTGCAAGTGACCCCGCGAGAGATTTTCCACGCCTGATACGAGGCGTGTAACGTCCATATGCCCGTCCAACGGTGCTCGCGGCGGTGTCACACCAGCTTAGGAGAAGTATACCCATGACTCCGACGTCCTTAGGGAAGAAGCGCAGGGAGATCCAGGCTCCTAGGAGGTACCAAATGACCCCGTTCCATCCTTCGAACTCGGTTTCTCGCATGAAAGCACCGAGAGCTCGGACATAAAAGCGATTAAAAGATGGGAATTTGAAACGGGCATAATCAACGGTTGCAATCGGGACAAGCGCCGTCAAAAGATACGGGTGGATATCCGAGGTCTGAAGACCATGTACATAGGCCCAGATAGTGAAGAATCCAATAGAGACGTGCAAAAGTTTTCGTGGGACCTCATGCCGGTGCACAAACGATCTCCATTGTCTGTGTATAGGAATAAGACCCAACGGACTAGGACTTCGACTCAGATCCCTCCAGCTCCATCCTGAATTAGCACTTGTGGGCGAGAGATGCCCGTTCGATGTAGCCCCATTTGGAGTTACAGGCGGAGGGCTTGTGATAGTAGAAGATGTCGTTGCTTTAGCTGGAGCATGGCCAGTGACTTTTCGTATTCTCATAGGACTTCTGCTTTTTGACCTTGCCCTTCTTAAATCCGCGCTTGTTTCCTCTTCTTCATCGAGATCTTCGTGTATCGGCTGTGGAGCTGCCGCCCTCTTCTTAGCAGACCTTGTCACCGGCCCGAAATAGCCATCTTGCGAAGTTGTTTCCCCAGCTTCCGAGGGTGTTGGTGAAGGAGAAATGACTCTTGGGGTTGCCGGAACGGGGTTCGAAGACGATCGCGACATGGTGAAAGGTGGTAGTGAGGGCATTCGAATGGCACCGGTGAGTATACGCTGTAAGCTGGGGAGGCCTAAAAGCCAGTTGGAACAGTGGAGATGTTTATCTTTGCGTGAGGCGCGTATTTTGGCGGTAGGATAGGCCGGTGCGACGGCTATTGGATCCAGTGGGAGGTGAGGGAGAGAGGCAGAGCAAAACTGCGCTGCATGGTTAGAGAAAGATATGATGCTCTCTGGTGCGCCGTCTCGTGGCACATCGATATGTGTTCTGGAAAGATCGGTGATAACTGGGACTGGGGGCTTCTCGGATGGGAAGAAAGTTGGAAATTTTGGGGTCTCCATTACTCAGCACGCGACCTGATGGATCACATGCAAGCCTGCAGTTATTATATTGACCATTTCCTTTTCCTTCAACAGCATTAAAGTTATATGTCTATGTCTATATCTATTGTAAATACTATATGTTCGGAAAGCTGCTTACTTAAAAATACCTACCTGGGAAAGCATTAAGATTTAGAACTATGAAGTCTTTCGACCTCCCAAGGAAGAAGGAACGGCGGTGTTCTGTTGGAAAATCTCAAGCGGACGCCGATAAGATAAGGCCAATCGATATGTAAAATTTTGGGTTTGATGGGCGCAACTTCTTCAGACTACCCAAAAATACATTACATGCGCCATGGCTCCTGAAGCTGCCAAAAAGAAAGACCCAAGAGCTTGGGATGGGCTTACCCCTCCTCTAGCAGAATGGATATTAGATGCTATTTCCGCCATGGGCTTTGACCGAATGACCCCTGTGCAAGCTTCAACCATTCCCCTCTTCACCGGGAACAAAGACGTTGTAGTCGAGGTATGCTCTGAATTCCTCTATCTCTTAGCATGATACTGACAAAGTGTAGGCTGTAACTGGGAGTGGAAAGACCCTGGCATTTCTAATACCTGTCGTCGAAAAACTATTGCGACTCGAAGAGCCCATCAAGAAACACCATGTCGGCGCAATTATCGTCTCACCTACTCGAGAACTGGCAACACAAATACACACCGTCCTCCGTACCCTACTCAACTTCCACCAAACGTCCGCCGACGCTCTAGTTCCTAACGAAGATGGAGAGACGAAGAGATCTACCTCCTCACATTCCGTTCTACCACAGCTTCTCCTAGGTGGGACAACTACGCCGGCGCAAGATCTAAGCAGGTTTCTCAAAAATAGTCCAAATCTACTTATATCTACTCCCGGAAGACTCCTTGAACTTCTCTCGTCTCCGCACGTACATTGTCCTCAATCTTCTTTCGAAGTCCTCGTCCTGGACGAAGCGGATCGATTGCTAGATTTGGGATTCAAAGACGATCTACAGAAGATCTTAGGACGTTTACCGAAGCAAAGACGCACTGGTCTCTTCAGCGCAAGTGTCAGTGAAGCGGTTGGTGAGATTGTCAGAGTGGGATTGCGAAATCCTGTCAAAATTGCCGTCAAAGTGAAGACCGCAGCAGGGGATGATAAACGGACGCCAGCGAGTTTGCAAATGTCATATTTGCTGACTCCTGCCAGCCACAAATTTCCTGCTCTCCTCTCGCTGTTGTCACAACTGGATCCTGCGCCCCAGAAAAGCATTATATACCTCTCAACTTGCGCAGCAGTCGATTATTTTCAAGATATCCTCGGCGCATTGCTTCCGAAGCAATTCTCCTTGGTAACCCTCCATGGGAAACATCCACCGAACGTACGACAGAAGAACTTTTCAAAATACATCACAGCAGTCACACCCACAATTCTCCTTACTACCGATGTAGCAGCACGTGGTCTCGACATTCCCCAAGTTGACCTAGTCGTGCAAATCGACCCACCATCCGAACCTAAGGTCTTCCTTCACCGCTGCGGACGAGCAGGAAGAGCAGGGCGCAAAGGCCTCAGTGTAATATTCCTCCAGCCCGGCCGAGAAGAAGACTACATCCCCTTCCTCGAAGTCCGCAAGACGCCAATTACACTCCTCACCACACCCACCATCGCAATTACAGAAGATGGAGCGAAGGCGACTGCAAAGAAGATGCGAAAAGAAGTTTTGGCCGATAGAGCTTTATATGACAAAGGCCAGAGGGGGTTTGTTAGTTGGGTAAAAGCTTACTCTAAGCACCAAGCCAGCAGCATCTTCCGCGTCTCCGACCTCGATTGGGCAGACCTAGGGAACGCCTGGGGCCTGATTCGTCTGCCAAAGATGCCGGAGCTAAAGCAATGGGAGGGAGACAAGAAGCTCGGCGTGGAGATCAATATGGCGGAATACGCATACAAAGACAAAGCGCGCGAGAAGGCTCGCAGGATAGCGATGGAGGAAGAGAAGAATAAAGCGCCGTACGTGCCTAGTGAGGATGTGATTCGGAAGCGTAAGGAGCGGGAGGCGTGGAGTGCGAAGCATGAGCAGCAGGATGTCAAGGAGGCGAGGAGAGAGAAGAAGAGGAGGAAGAGGGAGGCGGAGCGAGTGGAGAAGATGACCGATGAGGAGAAGGCTGGGGAGGCGGAGGTGCAGAGATTGATTGAAGAGGTTAAGAGGAAGACGGCGGAGGAGGAGAGTGAGGTATGGAATGGTTTTGATAATTAGACTTTTCGCCTTGAATTTGGGTATCAAAAGAATACTAATACAAGCTATTAAACCTACATGCCTTTTCTCTGGCTTCTCCCTATTCTTATGCTTCTCATAACACAGCAGTGTACATATCATGTAGCACTCGTCGTTGTCGGAACTCTAACCCCAGCATTCAAATCCCAATGCCCCTTCTCCAACCAACTCCCCACACTCCGCAGCTCCATTTTCTTTTCCAGAGCCTCCCACGGATTAACATTAAAACTGGGATCATAATACCCCTCCCACCACCTCTCATTTCTCCGTCCTCCCCTCGCAGAACCCCCACCCCGTCCCCCTCTCATACCATCACCGCCTCCACCTCTACTCGAACCCGCAATAGACTCTACCGCCGCCGCTGGAGGACTCCTTATCCTCCCCTCCGTAGACGCTGAATCTGTGTACCCGAGTGGAAGTGCAGGTGGAGGCGGGACAGAGATGCCTGGCTGCGCACTAGCTAGTATGGAGTCGATCTTCGCTTGCATCTCATCTGCTGCTTCTGTTGCCTTTTCTGTAGCTTGATTCTGCAACTCCAAACTTCCTTCCCCTCCGCTTCCTATCCCCCTCAACTCCTCAACCGGAGCAGGGAGACTCGTATCCATATAATTCGGCCTCTCCTCATCCCCACTCTCATCATCTGCCCCGCCACCATATAGATTTATCTCAGCATCATTGCGTGCATGAGAATGTGCTTGCAAGACCAAAGGTGCTTGCGCCTCATAACTAACACCTCCACTCCCACTCCCAGTTCCAAAAACCCTCGCGCGTCCCAACGCAACATTATTCCCGCCACTCCCCTTCCCCTTCTTACCCCCGCGATCAAGATTCTCCAACTGTTCGGGCGTCAGCTGTTCTTGGCCGTCAACAAACGCGTCGGTGGCGCTGTTGAACTTGCGTTTTTTCTTGGAGGGTGGGGCGCCGAAGGATGAGAAGCCCATTGCGAGGGCCATGGCGGCTGCTTCTTCGTCGGAGGAGTCAGACATGGTTGGGTGAAGTTGAGTTGGTATGGTATGGGGGGATTGTTGGGGGTCGGATTGGTGATGTGGGGGCTAGTGGGAGAAAGGGGGGGGGGGTTGTTTGAAGTTGTGAGAAGAGGAAGCGAAAAGAGACGAGGCGGAGGTTCAGCCTTGTAGGACTGCGTGAAGGGCTAGCTACTCCGTAGAGTAATGCATGACAAAGATCAATCGAACTGCACTTCGTAATAAGAAGCTTTTTTTTAATCTGATTGTGCATATGTATTTTTCTAACATAGATTATAATCTTGAAATTTCGGGCTGTTGTAGATTCTGGACCCTTGTCTTGTGGTGAAGTGCCTCGATTCTTTAGTCTACCTAGCTTTTGAGATATATTTCTCGCAGTTGAAACCACGGAAGGTGTGTTAAGTTTTTCGTAAGAATAATTGAGCATAGTATCAAATCTGGAGTCTAGACATTCTTCATAAAACCGTGCCTTTATATCTTACAGCTCAACTACTACTCCAAGTAAATACATACAAATTTCAAACCAAAAGCTGAACCTAAAACCTAGGCAATCTATTTTCCCCCGCCACATAAGGTAACCCAGCTTCCTCCCTAGCAAGATCATTAACCCACCTCTCCTTCGGCACAATGCCCTCCCCACTAGCCCACTTATCCGCCAAATAAAGCCAACTCAAAGCATTCCCCACAGTCCCAACCTCATCACTAACACTCACCTTTGCATAATCACTCATCCGCCCATACAACTCCTCATCCATCCACAGCTCCATCAACCGTCCCGCAACACCCTTCCAATCACCCGCGTCGACCAGAAACCCATTCTTGCCATCTTGCACCTGCAGTGGGATGCCACCACAGTTCGTAGCGATGACCGGCTTGCCTTTGTGCACAGCCTCGGAGACTTTGACCTCGAAGCCTTCGCGCGTGGAGAGTTGGAGAACGATGTGCGAGGCTGAGAGGAGGGTGTTAAGGAGCTGGTCGTTGGGTGGGAGGCGCATGACGGAGATTGAAGGGAGGAGGTTCGGGTATTTGGTGTGCAGGGTTGACATAGTTTGGTCGTAGATGATGGTCCCGTCTGGGTCGTCGACTGAGCCGTTGCCGCAGCTGGAAATGTCAGTGGGATGGGAGAGGGGAAGAGGGGAAGAGGGGAAAAGGGAGAGCTTACATTACAAGTTGAGGTGCTTCTGCAATGGGGTTCTCTTCGAGTAATAGGCGGCGGAATTCAGCGTAAGATTCGATGACATCTGGGATGCCTTTTGCGGGGTCGAATCGTGCTATTTGGATTATGTATTTCTCTTCGATGAAATTAGCATGTTATCAATCTTCAGACTTGGTCCTTGCAACGTACTGTTGGGCCATTTCAGCTGGGTCCTTGTAATACATTAGCTAAATACATCGACAAAACCGTGAGGTGTGTAGGAACTTACATTCTCAAATTGTGACATTGCTCGTTATACATATGTCCATAATATCCTTGGTCCCATATATTCAGATCTTTATTGAGGCCGTCGAGCCAGTCGGTCGTCGCAGGCAAATAGCAGACTTTCGATCTTGGTACATTGGCTGGGACGAAGGAAGGAATTGGGTGACTGATAAACATATCCGCATGTTTAATCTTTGAGAACAAGAAATCCCAAATATCTGCTTGTGGTGTGCCAGGCGTGTCCACCAGATCACTTCGGATTTGGATATGGCTTCGATACAGAACAGGTCTATCTGGAGTCAAGTTCTTGATTAACGGGATGAGGCCAGGCATTTGCGGATCGTCAATCTGTTCCAGTTAGAAGAGTCCTCAAGGGGGAAAGGGTAAGTACCATAACAACATCTGCTCCACCTTCAGCCGGAGGTCGCAGAGGGCCGCCTGGGCTAAGCCAGTAACGGTTTGCATTATCTTCGATCCAGCTATTCAAGACTTCCTTGTCTTCTGTGGTGATTTTCTCACTGGGCTGGGCAACACCTTGCAGGGTATTGTGGATTGTCTTTGTGATGCGAAAGACACCAGGCTTCGGCTTTGGTACATACCTAGAGGCATTAGATCTCTATAGAACCGATATGATCACAATTAAACCCACCAAGTCATGTCAACTTTCAATAGCTTGGCCAGACGGACAAGAGCATGTCTCATAAGAGCAACGCCTCCACCTTGTGGGGTACTGGAGAAGAAGGCAATTTTAGTGCCCCTTGCCCTGAGAGATGTGACGAACTTCATCATTGCATCCCAAGTACGGGGCCCGCAAGTCGTTTGGAAGTCGTCAAGAGTAAGGATGCGGGCTTGGAATCCAGAATCAACCTCGACGAGGCCTCTATAGCCCACTTGCTGTAAAGGAGCAAGACTTGGGCCAAAGTGCCTTGTAAAATGTTAGCCGGCTTCAATAGAAGATGTGGCGCTTTGTGGAACGGAATGATACTTTTCGCTATTAAAAGGCCAAATGAAACTGCATATGACCAAGATAATAAACTTACATGATGCATTTTCTCGCCATAGAATCTGCTTGCTCGTCGATACATTTCTCACTCCAATAGCTTCGATCCTTCATTTCAGTCTCCAGTCCGTCCAGCTCAGGCATGATGGAAATGGGTACAATGTCGATCTTCAACCAGAGTTTGGAAGAAAGCTTTGGGCTACGCTTCATAATGTCGTATGGTACTCCCGCTCCAATGAATTTGCTAAGATTCTCATGTTCGTATCTCTCCAACTCTCCAACTACATAGTCAGCAATAACATCAAGGCCCTTCTCCAAACCATCGCCTAGTTCGATGGTTTTGACAGAGAAGTCAAGTAGATAGACGGGATCATGGATAGCAATTGCTATGACCGCGGTGTTGTGATCACTAAAGGCAGCCGAGACACCAGCGTAGAGAGGCTATCATTTTCAATTTCGTATAGTGATCGCTTATTATGAGGGGGGAAACATACGGTCAAAGCAGCGGCAAATTGCCCTTCGGACTGAACGGTTTCACTGACTCTGCGTGCATGGTGTATAGAGGAGCGTCGTTGGAAGTCATGCCCCTTCTTGAAGGCTATCATGGCCCATACGTAGGGTCTCAGACTTTTGGGCGTGTGTTTGGTAGGAATTTGCGCTCCAATATTGTCAGATGTGTCATCCTTGATTGACTGGAGGAGTGTGGCGTGGTTAGGCGTAGACATACTGTAGGATAACTTTTAGTATAATTGAGAAATGAACAAGAAGCTCAGAGGGATTCTTATTTGAAGAACTCCAGATGAGAGCAGATGAGAGCAGATAATTGCCACGACGTTTGTAACACCACGATGATAGGGCTCCCGACTAATACTTTGTGGTGCGATCCGCTGTGGCCGGTTTATGCGGGAGACTTCCGCCAAAAACATGTGAATAATTGACCACATTCCTCACTCACGTCACACCGACAATTCTCAGCCTTCTTGACAGGGCTCCCACTTGCTTCCTTTCAAACGCCGGATGGACGGACTTACATTCAACTCGTATCTCACTTAATTGATTATCTGTGCACGGTAGGGCCAAGACGCACCTTATACCGCTAGATGGCTTTGAATACGCAGGTGCATTCAGACTGATGAGAGAGGAGGATCTTCAATTTCCGTCTTGCCTCAGGTTCTCATCTTACAAGAAACGTAACGCTTGATCGAAGCCATGAAAGTTTCGTCTCTGCCTCTTTTCATCCCGTGAAAAGCCTTTTGAATAACCACAGCCCGACATCTGCAGTCATCTCTGTACTTCTCTTCTTGTTCATGGCAACTGCCTCTGCCCTGACTATCCATCAAATCATGAGCAAAGCCATGCCTTACATCCCTAACCAAGTTCCATTTATAGGTATCCTTCTCAAAGCCATAAAATCCAACCTCTCTCTCCATTTTGTCCGGGGAAGCTAGATCAAACATGCTTTGTCTCGCCTCGTTGCCCAGCATATCATACTCAGTGCCCAAAATGTATTCCCATTCAGGAAGATGATGTTCGCATATCTAGTAGTCAATAAAGGATGTCGCAAATCTTGATTCGGCTTAATATATTCCCATTCCCAAGCCCGACCCCATTCCTTCAAGACATCGATATATTTCAGGTGTCGGTAAGGTCTCGAGCTCTGCTTCTCTAGTGGCGAAGGGGTACTAAGACACAACGCCTTTTACAATTTTGCCCTTCAACTCTAGCATCTGGGCAGCTGAGATATTCAAGTTTCCGCCTGCACTGAAGCCCCCTAGGACTACACGCGATTTATCGATTGACAGTGTCTCATCTTCCAGGATGCCTGTGTGGTCGCGACAACATCCTTCGTAGGCTCTGGAACTTGCTTTAACGCGCCCTGCTCTATTCGATGCTAGCGACTAGGATATTGAACTTATTTGAGAACGCAGAGCAGAAACCGTCATCGAATTGAGCATCGAGTAGAACGTGTCCTCCGGCATGAAGGTCGATATATAGGGGCAGCAATTCGCCAGCCTTGTGGGATCTAGGGATGAATACTCGATTTCGAAGGCTTGGTCGACATGGGTACGCCTTTATGATCGATGGCTGGATGTGTTTTAGAGGCGGCTTGAACAATCGTACTATTGCAAATCCCAATATCTTGCCTAATCTGAGGCCACATATGTTAACAAAGAGTGGTATGTGTATCGTGAGTGATAAATCTACTGCGAGAAAAGGCGCGTATGTGCTAGGCGTTTGAGAAGCTATATTGGATTAGGAATTCTCATCTTTCAAAACGACACGACGTCATGGTTGTTCCATTTGATACGAGACGCCCGAATACAACGTTGGATATGAGCAGATCTCATGTTCGAGAGACTCTACCCTTACAATGGTACGAGGTGGAGGTGTTGGCCGCTGGACTCCTACTCCCTGCCCCTGCCCTTGAATGGAAGTAAGGAGGGGCGGGTTGATAGTACATTCTGTCTGTGGCAGTGACCGTCAACTGAGTGTGGCTCATCGGATCTGATGGCCAATTTGAGACTTTCAGGTTTGCGTGCCGCATGTACTGTATATAACACATCTCAGGTATGAAGAAAGAGAAGATCGTCCAGATACTGTACTCGAGTAATGGATTGGGATTGGGATACAGTAGCGCGAAGGGCATTTCCCGGTCACCGGATTCTGGGCACCACACGAAGTAATTTTCAAGCACTTGGAACTCCTAGGTATCTAAGTTTGACTTGATAGTCCTCACCATAGGCAGAAAACCCTCCCTCTATGTCGGCCTCCTAGATTCTTAGTGAACCTTTAATGGAGTTGGGGCTTTGGTGAGTACTAAGAATTTCAAAACGGCTCGTAATTCCGAAATCCCATTGCCAAAACAGCCTATGTCAAACTTCACCTAAGAACTAGATGCTGGATTGAGTAGTTCAGGGCGAGGTCTGGCTTATAGGAACCTCAATCATCTATGTGTGAGCAGACAGGAAGTGCAAGGGTTTCATCAGCTCTCTTTCGCGGCATATTCGCCGCTTCCTTTGAATTGAAAAAGCTGGTCCTCAATACAGTTTTGTTTTCTGTTGCGCACAATGTCTCAACATAATCCAGAGATTGAAGGTCTCTTACAGTGGGCGAAATCGAACAACTCCTCTCTCCACCCAAGCGTTGAGATTTTCCAGGATGCAGTAACTGGACTTTCTTTCAAAGCTGTTAAAAATGTTCCTCCCGGAACCAACTTGGTCAGTTGTTCATACCAGATCACCCTTTCCTACCTCAATGTGGCCCAGATTTCTTCAGAATTCGAGTGTCATGGATCTCAGCAGTTCCCATCTGAGTTCATTGACGCCTTGAGCTCAGAAGATCCGAATATCATTGGCCATTTCTTTCTCATCCAACAGTTCTTGATGGGCGCGGACTCGTTCTGGTGGAGTTATATCAGACTTCTTCCACAACCGGAGCAGCCAGAAACGCTCGCCCTCCCAGTATGGTGGCCCGAAGCAGATCGAAAGTTTCTGGAAGGCACGAATGCGGAGCCGCCACTAGTGAAAAGGCAAGAGCTATGGAAAGATGAGTGGAATAGAGCAATTGCCATACTTAAGCAGCAATCAGGTCACTGGGAAGACTACAGCTATCTCCTTTACCAGTGGGCTGCAACCATCTTTGGCACCCGGAGTTTTCGACCCTCGTTGACCATTCCGGCAGAGCTCTTTGAGCACGCACAAACTAGCCAGAACAACAACAAGGATTTGATTTTAGACCATGTCAGACACGATAAATTCTCCGTTTTACTCCCTGTCTTAGATATCGGAAATCATAATGGGATCAACGCAGTTACCTGGACGAAAGACCCGAAAGCTGGGAAATTTGGCTTGTGCACGCGCGATCGAGTTCAACAAGGTAGCCAAATCTTCAATTATTACGGAAATAAGTCCAATAGCGAGCTACTTGTTGGATACGGCTTCACTCTTCCTAACTTGGAAAACGATACTGTCAATCTGAAGTTGACTCCGCCCGCCAAGGCTGCTCAATTGCGGAGGACTCAGATATCTCATGCTTCAATTCATAAGTATCAGCCTGGAGAAGAGTTCATGTTCATGGTTCGAAGGCAAAGCCATGTTGGGAGAGTAGATGGTGGCCTTTTGGAGCTCGAATTCTTCTCCGCTGGTCTGTTCGATACAATGGCCTGTATGATGGCCAATGCAAGAGAAAGACAATTCATTACCGAGAATCCAGACTACTCTGTCGAAAAAGACTCTGCCGTATTTGAAGGGCCACTAGCTCGGAATGTCATGTGTATTCTCCGGGTCCTTTCTGATAAATTAAATTATGACTTCAGACGAATTCGAGGAATTGGTGCGACTTTGAGGTAAATGACTGTTCCGGCCACTTCTGGTTACAATAGGAAACATTACTAACATTTCGAAGCGAACCCCAAAATAGCAACCAAACCATGGCCTTGGACTATAGAAGCAGACAACTAGACGTCCTCAAAGAGGCTCTTACTCCGATCTCAAAACGACTCCAGTCTGCCGCGTCTTTCAGTTCCCTCTGCCAGCATCCTCACCACAATCAACCACCAACATATGTCGAAGGCTCCTTACGTCAAATGCATACGAACATTGAGCTCTTGTCTCTAGAATGTGCATTTAGTTGGATGCAGATCAATTACCCTGATGTCTATGATGCTGTGGTAAAGATCATTTCTGAAGACCAAGAGGAGCCACTTCCACTAAATTGGGTTGTGCTAGTTGTGGACTGGGATCATACGTACTGGACTATTTGGATATATCTTGTCTGGGTGCTATGGGCGGAGGAAGATATAGCTTTTCAGTTGAGGCACGCTAGTCTAAGCACCTGGCTAATTGAACTGAATACGTAAGTAATTGTCAACTTTCAAGTTGCGCAACTGACATCTCGATATCTTAGATACTTTGTCGATGAGAAAAATCTTGGCCAGCCATTCAGTACCTTTTACGCCGACAATTCCGAGCAAGATACTATCAATCACACAATACGGGAAATCACTCATCTACCTCGGTTTGACTCAACGCGTCTATGGCTCGAGGCCGAAGGACCTTCCTCGGAGGCTCTACGCAACTTTGCCAGCCTTGTGGTTCGAGAAGAGACAGTCCCTGCTCGATTTGATATGCAGAATGTGGAAGGTGCTGCCGTGGAACAAAAAATGCTGGTTGTAAGCAAGAGAAAGGAGCCCCTGAGGGTGTCACTTGATAAACCTTGGACGCAATTTTTTATCAAGGACCCAGGATATTCCCCGACCAGTCCTTCCGGGTGTAATCCTGCGAGGCTGGTTTGACTGGCGTGCTCTGTTTACACGTGGTATATTGGGGTCTGCTGGTATTCACCACTTCCAATATCCAGCATGCGCTAATAGCATTGTGATATTCCAATGCTCCACTAGATGTTCCAATCAATGTGGTGCTTCCTTTTCAAAGACCACCACGCCGCCCCGAGAACTGTTCTCATCCATAAATTCCTCGTAAAATTGACACCTTCAACATCTTACTTCTGAACCTGTCCCTTTTCTTCCACAACTTCACCATGTCTTCGTGCATTGCGCTCAATTGTCGGTATTCGCTTTCAGTAATTAGGCCGGTGTAGGCCGGTGTCAGACTGCCGTTTACTCGTCTGCGCCCACAACAATTCCACTTCCTCCGATCTTCGGTATTCCTTCACCCAGGTCCGACACCTGTGATATGGAGGAAGGTCCCTCATAGCATATTCATTAAACTCCCTAGGTTTGTCCCAGATTCTCTTCAGAAGAGCCAATACAACCAACTCCTTGAGGTTCTCGAAGACGGAGACCGTCTCTTCAAGTTTTCCCATGAAATAAGCATCGGCTTCTCCGTCTCTCCCATACGACCAGCCTTGATAAAATGGCAGAGAAAGATTTTTTGCTCTTCTTTCCTTATCGAACAACCTGACCCATTCATCGGAAAACATTGCGTACGGTATCAAAAGGTCTGGCGCTGCGTTGGGGCGTTAGTGCTGGATGTAAATTTGAGTATGTCATATTGCAGTCAGTAAATACCAAGCAGTAGATGAGGAGATACTTTGCAAGAAAAGACGGAAGGAAGCTGTCACCAGGAGGCTCGTTTGTTATGTTTATCAACCATGTCACTTCTAGTATGAATTGAGATCCTCGGTCCTTTTCGATACTTCAGCAAAACAAGCGTACTGAAACACGACGGCTTTGACTGAAAACTCATTTAGCGCAAGAGTAACAAAACGTATATACTTCTAAATTATTTACTTTAAATTCTCAGATTCAGTGGCTATATCTCTTAATTGTTCTTTACGACAAAAATAAAAAAGCACTAAACGCAGATGACATACTTTCTCGTGCCATACGATCTATATCTTCCCCGGCCCTTCAAAAATTACAAAAAGATACATACAACAGTAGGTATTCGCTGGTGGTCACCCACCCAACTACTAATCTACCGATCTGAGGCTTGTGTATGGCAGAGCGGACGGGATGCCCAATTCTCCTCAGTCTATGGTCGTATGTGACAGTACTCGTGTTATTTCACTTCATATACATACATCACATGCGGGTGTGCTGGCTAGGAAGTCGGGTCCTCGCTTAGCGATTCTTACCCCTTTTCTAACTAGGTATGAGAAAGAATGTGAAAAAATATGGGCGAGAAAGAAACATTATGGAATGTAAAGTCACTCGGGCCTTGACCTTGTTTTACTCACTGGGTGTGTGAATTGCTGCGTCGAATGTGTGTTGGAGTGGTGTACCTATTTCAAGGTACAGATAGGTATAGATGTAATCGTGAGCGCTAAGTATTGCCGGTTGCTGTCTGTGGACATGGTAGCACGTGTCCTAATACGCTTGAAGTTTACTACCTACTTATCTAAATGTGTCCAGAATCATTTAATTAATAGATCTTTAGTCTATACATGAATCTCTGCTCTGCAGATCTGATCGACAGGGAGGGAGGGGCTTCATTTAGCAAACCCCTGGATCCGGGTAGGTAAGACTGAGACTTTTTAGGACAAACAAATAATAGCTCTACAGCTCCAGTATCAAGCAACTAATGACCAGTATGACGGTCAACTTTCTTTGTTGATAATAAGGAAAGGATATATTGCTACGGGTAGTGACTATAGTCAAGGCTGCGAGGAAATGTTGCTGATACAATAACCTAGAAAGAAGGCGGGGATGTATGGAAATAGAATGTTATGTCATTACCCTCACTCATTTAGTGTTCAGTTCTAAGGTTTGTTGGAATGCGCGTAGAGGTAGATTACTAGGAAGAACAGTTGCTACTGTAGGAGATCTGCTAAGCTACTTCTCTCCAAGTAAGGTAAGCTAGACTGAGGAACTCATTACCTAGGTATCAGATAGTACCTGCTTAACTAGCTTTGCAGATTCACCAAGCCTTGATATGTCTCTATATACAATCTAATCGCCACCACTTTGTTGGTATACCCATACATACTCAAGCCAACTAATGCCCAGCGCCGTGCAAATGCTCCATCCAACCCAAAAACGCCATTTTGCTATTCCTCCCAGATACGCCACCGGATCACAAAATCACTTTTCCGCAGCAAGCACCATCTTCTCCCGCTCATTCTGCCGCTTCTTGAACTGTTGCTTCGTATGCTTCCGTTCATTCTCCTGTTTCCGCTTAATCGCCTTGAGCTCCTCGCCCTTGATCTCCCCAGCCTTCTTCACTACCTTCGGGATATGCCTGTGGCGATTGATACGTTTGATTTCAGGCATGTGGGCATAGCGTTCGGTGAGCGCTTCGTTGTATTCGAGCGCTTGGCGCTGTTTGGTTGATTTTATGCCTTCTCGTGCGGAAGCATTGGCACGCCTGTTGACGCGTTAATATAATCATTTCTGGGAATAGAAAGATGGGTTCTGAGGGGTGACATTGACTTACCATAACCTGATATTCCCATCATCCGAGCCCGAGAGCACATATTTAGAATCGGGCGACCATTGGCAAGAAAATACTCGCTGCATGCGCTTTGTATGGTATATGTCCCGACTGTGGCCTTTCGTTCTACTCCACAAACGGATGGTCTTGTCGTAAGAACCGGAGACAATTTCTTCTCCTGTCGGGGAGAATTCCACATCCATTACTGCTGCTACATGATCTTTCAAAATATTCAGTGCGCGATTCATCTTCCTCATGTCGAAAACTGTAGATTATATTATTAGCGTTTTGGATTTGCAAACTGGGGATGAAAACGAACTGTAAATATTATGGTCCTCATTAGCTACAGCAAAGTTCTGTAGACGTATTAGTATATTTTCAGAGAAAAGCTCGAGCTACTAACCATTGCCTCCATAGGATTCCAGGCTATCTTGTTGCTAGCAAAATTGAGAATGGTCTTTGCGAGGGGCATAGATGTCCTCAAGTCGTATAAAACTATCGAGCGATCGGTCCCTGCAGAGGCAAGTATAGAATCTTCAACTTGATTGAAAGCCACACATGAGATTGTGTCGTGATTGGTGGGCCATTTCAAGACCTCGGGAGGTGCGCTGGTTCGTTCTAAATCGTATATGGAAACCGAACTTCCTGATGTCGCAAATACATTCTTCGAGCGATGATGTGAGATACCGGTAAACGCATTTGCACCAAGCCATGTAGCTGAAGGCGCCGCGCCTGCAGGCGTATTATATGGATCGAAGAGTTTGACGGTTCGATCACTCGCGCATGTCAATAGCTTTTTATCCAAAGTCCAGGCCATCGATTTCACAATATTCTCATGTGCGGAAGTTGTCCAGGTCTCCTCTCGACTTGTTAGATCCCAGACCTTGACAACACCATCTCCGCTTCCACTGGCAAATCTTTGTAACGAATTCGGATCCTTCGCCATCGAATATACACCATCTACGTGTCCCTTTCCCATCTGTCCCACGAAGGGGGCAGCGAACATTCTTTCCATCTTCGCGGCATTAAGGGCTCGAGTATATTCTAAGGGTATATTAGTATGCGCTTCATGGGATATCTCGAAAGCTGACGAGACAAGCGCGCAAGAAAATTTCGAGGGCGCCTGAAGTAATCCAAGAAGAAGGGTAGAACATTACGCACCTCTGGCCTTTGCGAAGGGGTGCAATGCTGGGTCCAGGTTTCGAGGCATTCTTGCGACATCAGAACCCGGGGTTTGGGCCTGCGCCGTTGGGCGAGAGAGAGTTTTAATTTTCTAGGATTTGTTAGCGAATCATAATAGTTGCTGGCATATATACACATCCATACCATGTTGGGCTCAAAGTGTTGTGGGCATTTCGATGTGCGTCTGTCTGCATTTGCTTCCCCGCGAAAAGTTTGGTGGTTGTCGAAAATAAAAAGGCGGCTGCGACTTTTCGGCAGGGATCTAATTTTTAGCGCGGATCAACCCTTGCCTTGCCTTGCCTTCAGGCACAGCTCCATACGCAACGCATTTGACTGTAAACACACGACACTGAGCATTGAGCACTATACTCTCTGTCAACCACCACAACACAATCCAATATGGCGCCAGCAGATTCAGCCAGGATAGCAGAGGCCAAGAAGCTGGCAAAGACGGATCCGAAAAAGGCAGAGGCGCAATACAAGGATATCATCTCCAAACCTCCTTCAGTCACTTCAGAGGCTGCCGTACGGGAATATGAGACTGCGCTGGTCAGCTTGGGAGAGTTGTATCGGGATGGAAAGTGAGGCATCTAGTCTGTGGAAGCTATGGGTCAATACTAACAGAATGTAGGAGAGCAAATGATTTGGTAGACTTGATTACGACGAGCCGGACGGTGTTGTCATCTTTTGCAAAGGCAAAGACAGCAAAGCTTGGTATGTTTGACTATTTGAAGCTTTATCAGAGAAAGTTATGTATTACAACTAGATGGCTGACATAGCTTTTCATAGTTCGACAACTTCTCGACCTCTTCCATGCCATCCCAGACACCACTGATATCCAAATATCCGTTACGAAATCATGTATCGAATGGGCCACCTCTGAACGCAGAGGCTTCCTTCGCCAGAACCTCGAGACCCGTCTCGTCACCCTCTATATGGTCAAAGCCTCCTACTACGATGCCTTGACCCTCATCAACAGCCTCCTCAAGGAGCTTAAACGCCTAGACGACAAGCTTGTCCTGGTAGAAGTCCAACTCCTAGAATCCCGCGTCTATCATGCCCTAGGCAACGTCCCTAAAGGCCGCGCAGCCCTCACCAGTGCCCGCACAAGCGCTGCGTCCGTCTACACACCTCCTATGCTCCAGGCCGGTCTGGATATGCAATCCGGCAAGCTGCACGCTGAAGACAAAGACTTCAACACAGCCTTCTCCTACTTCATCGAAGCCCTTGATGGCTACCACACTCAAGACGAGCCCGAGAAAGCCACCGCGGCCCTACAATACATGCTTCTTTGCAAAATCATGCTCAACCTGGCAGACGACGTCAACCAACTCATGACATCCAAGCAAGCCATCAAATACGCAGGCAAGAACCTCGAAGCCATGAAAGCCGTCGCACGTGCACACTCCAACCGCTCTCTCGAAGAATACGAAAAGGCACTCGGCGACTACCGCCATGAACTCGGCTCGGACCCCTTCATTCGCAACCATCTGCGCCGGCTCTACGACGCCATGCTGGAGCAGAATCTCATCAAAGTAATTGAGCCCTTCTCGCGTGTCGAAATCGAACACATTGCCAAGATGGTTGGCTTAGACACGCAGCAGGTAGAGCGCAAGCTGTCGCAAATGATTCTCGACAAGGTGATTATTGGGGTGCTGGATCAGGGAGCTGGGTGTTTGATTATTTTCGATGAGACGGAGAGGGATGAGGGGTATGATGCTGCGTTGGCTACGATTGAGAAGCTGAGTAGTGTGGTGGATGTGCTCTATACGAACCAGGCGTCTATGCTCGAATAGATGGGAGGGCAGGAATAGATAAATGGGCTTGCTTGTATTATAGAAGCGCACCTCAGCTACGCCTACGTTGGGTGGTGCGGTGAAAATGATATATCATGGCAACTACGAGATTTCCATGTGTCCGGTGAACGAACCTTCCAGGCTTCTTTCTACGAAGATAAACGGAGAGAAAGGGATTTTTAATCCCCATTATTAACTCCATAGTCATACTAATTCTTTTCCGTCACAGAAGTAAGATTACAAGATCACTCCCTCATCCGTCGACTCAACCAGCCATTTGAACGTGAAAGATATCCTACCACACATCCAACCTTGTTAAACACCATGACCATACATACATACTTGATCTGTATATACTACGAAGGTTCTCTACAATCCAGTCTATCTTTCTATATCAATACAGAAAGAAACGACCCACACCTCCATCAATGGCAGATTATAATAATCTTGGCGCTAAAAGACAGGTTGACTTGCACAGGAGATTATAACTAGCGCCAGTGCTAGGACTCGAGTCTCGAAGGTTATGCTAAGATGCTGGCATTGAATTGTAACTTCAGTGCAAACAAGTCTGTGTGATAAGATGTTAACTTTAAGTGTGAGAGTGATTATATGGATGCAGTTGAATGGTATTCTTTATAGACAAAGTGTATTCAAACGCCCCGCTAACGAACAAAACAAAATCCATCCAACGCTGTGCACAACGAACGCCCTTCATCTATAGATTCAGTTTCACATCCAAAGCTATCTTCAATCAATCATTCATTCATTCATCCAACATTTCACTTCGCGTCGTAAATCCACCTAGTCAAACAAACACATCCTTTCCCTCACTCCCACTCTGCCTCTCCCCCCCCTTTCTCTCGTTCCCTCCTCTTCCCCTCGCCAATCAAAAGCGCAAAGACCCTCATCGCAACCCCCTTCTCCTCCCACCCGTCCACATTCCCCCGGAACTCATCCACAACCTCCAAATGCCACTGCTCCATCACCATGCTCTCGCCGCGCGCATCATGTACTTTCCGACCTAGCAATCTACTGACAACTCTGGTGGAATTCCTCTTCTTCCTTTCAACTTTCTCGGAACCAGGCTTCCAGCTCTGTAGTATGCGATCCAAGAGCAGCCAGTGACCATGCGACCAAGTTGTTGCGGATAAAGGCAGGGATGGAGAGGGGGGAATGGGAGACGAGGATACGAATGTTACGGCTTTTGAGGGGCTGAGGTTTGAGGATGTGGCGGAGGGTGTTTTGAAAGGGGAGTTGGAGCGTAGGATGGATTTCGTTGGAGATGTCAAAGCTGGTGCGTGGGATTCTGAGCTTGAGCTTGAGGATAGGTGAATGTTTTTTGTCCATTTCAGGGTGCGGGTGATGTTGAGTTGATTTTCTCTCTCCGTGAGGGAAGAGGCAGAGTCGTTGAGGTAATCTGGTGATGCGGCGGCTGGAGTCTGTATGTTGGCTTGGATGTTGCTTCTGCTATGAGAGGAGGGAACGAGGGGGTGTGTGGCTGAGGATGAGGATTCTGGGCGTGGGGTGGAGATTGGACGGCTTGGTGGATGATCGAAGAGACCCAATATTGGCTGCTTTAGAGGTGATGATGCAACTTCGCTACGAGGCCGTGGATTAAAACCTTGCTTCTGTGGGATTGGAGCGAAAGATGTTTCTTCTCTCGGGCGGTTGAGACGTGAATCAATACTGCTAGTTTCTCTTGGTTGTGACCGGTCCGAGTTACCTTCTACTCGAGAAGAAGTGTTGCGCGAACTTGTTGACAGCACAGGTAGCTTCTTGGGAGGAGAATTCGCAAATAATGCAGAGAGGTCTAGGTTACCACTTTCTCTTGGGCGCGGTTGAAAGTTTGACTTCTGTGGTATCTGCCATCCTGAGAGATCAACATCATTGGTATTGTCACTCTCTTGGTGAGCTGTGAAAGCTTGTTTCACGGTCACAGGTTTGGAGGAAGCGTTGCCTGCAATATTCTTGCCAAGGCTAATAGCAGACGTAAGAGTTGGCGATGACAGTTCATCATTATACACCAAGCGCTTGCTGTTCTTTCTCCATGGGCTTGGTATTTTGCTTCTCCTGGGCTTCTCAAACACCTCCTTGGAGGGTCCTTGACTTTGATATGGTGATACTATTGGCGAGGAAGAATTCATTGTCTCCAACAATAAATCAAAATCCTCATCCTCGTCACCACGACCAGCGCTGGGCCGATCGTCCTCAGAATCTATCACGATAACTTCACTTGGCCTGGCAGACTCAATCTGCTTGCTAATATCAGCCCTTTCAGCTGCATCCCTTTGATTCCCAGTTGAGTTGATTTTACCAGTACTCGCAGCTGAAAAGCTTCTTGTATTCACAGATAAGTTGGCGCTATTATTGGTGGATAGAGCACTGCCGCTGAGAGGGACTTCATTCTCTGCTTGCCAGCTCATAGCATCATCACTCCGAACCGAATCAGCATCCGATCTAATAGTAGATAGTCGTGAATGAGAGATGTCCTGTGATCGCGGGCTGTGCACCTCAAGACTAAACTCTCTCTCATGAGAAGAGTTTGTAACCGCAATATTGTCGTGGAAAGGGTCACCCTGGCTAGCCTGACGATTCCAACTTTGTGACGAGGCTGTCAAATTACCAGTGAAATCAAGTTGGGGAAGTGGCCTTGCAGAGCGATCCTGAGATGGGAAAGGCTGGGCCTCTCGTGCCACACTCGGAGATTGCCGGTCAGAATTAGGGCTTTTGAAAGGGCTGCCCAAGCTTTGCGATCGACTTCTTGGTGAAGATGGTATATGTATATCTTGTAGCACACGACCAGCACGAGCAACGGGAGACAGGGGCGGTCGTTGGCTTGTTTCCGAACTTTGGCCTGAATTAGGGTGTCGTCGCGGCTGTTGAACAAGAGGCGGTAAAGATGGAGAAGAAAATACGATCGATGGTGTCTCCGTCGAATCTGGATTTAGTTGCCGATTTTTGCGAAGATGTGCCGTGTAGGTATACCTTTTAGAAGCTATCGATGGAGGTGAAGAAGGCATGTGGGAATTGTTTATGGATGACTCAATCTCTATCTTCTCCTTGGCGCCCCCTCCGGAAGAATGTGATGATGCTTTGCCACTCGATTGTGATGTTTTCTCAGTTGAGGGCTCGATGGGTGGAGATGGAGTCTCTTCGGGAGTCAGGAGACGAGGGCTTAAAGTTTGTTGAGAGCGAGAAAGATCCAGCTTAGAGGTAGGCGGTTGCAATCCGTTTGATATTGAACACCCGGCTGGTTTCAATACTGCCTGAACCTTTGGGGCTGGAGTTGCTGCCTCTAATACATCCTCCGGAATTGCCGAGAAAGAATCCTCATAAAATTCTTGGTTCTGCGGCTTCTGTGCCGAAATTATTTCTTTGGGAAGTCCTTCAGCAGAAGTCGATGTTTCAGGAGCACCAGTTGCTCTTCTCGAGATGGATTTGTCAACTCTCGATTTATTCGACGACATCAACCTCGATACTTGTGACGTCTGGGCGGGTGCGGGTGTTGTAGACTCAAGAATTTCTGGAAGTATGCCTGAGAAAGTATCATCCAGTCGTGGGTTTGGGACAGAAAGTAGCTGTCGATTTGGCGCTTTTCGTGCTGGGGTAGCTGCTTCCAGCACTTCTTCTGGGATTTCTGAAAAGGAGTCGTCATATACGGCCTCCTGAACGGAGAGCAGATTCTGGTTCTTCAAGGGCTTTGCTGGTTCGCTTTCTTGTTTTTGATTCATAGGGCTACTCAGGTGCTCGCGCAGTGAATGTACCGAATCGACAGATATCATACTGAATCCTTCGCTCTCCAAGATGGTATCAAATTCTCCCATGTCACCGAGGCCGTCCCGTGCTTCATCGTCCTCTCCACCTTCATCTTGTCGATCTTCGCTCTGATATCTGTCTGAGGGCGGTACAGAGACCATTCCGACACTGTATTCATCGTACTGGGTCAAAGGAGACTGCTGTATTGGTTCGACAATCCTTGGGCTCGACCAGCCAGCCTTGCGCGGAGTTTCTTCGCCAGGATGAAATCTAGCAATGGTAACATCTGGATATGCATCCTCAATTGCATTTATTGATCGAATAGTTGAATAGGCAGAGGATGGGTACTGGTCGTTTGAATCAATGGGCTGCAAAGCTCCACTTATTTCCTCCAATTCGCCTGCTCCATTATTCTCCATACCGGCATCGTTTCTAGTATCTTCCAAAACTGCGACATCTTCTGGTAATAGAGTCTCCCTCCGGCCGTGTTCTTTCTTGCTAGTAATACTTGATACTACCTGGTCTGAAGCAGGTTGCTCAGATGCTGGAGTTGACTTTTGGGCTGCTGTCTTTTTGGATCTGGACCTCGGCCTTCCCTTTCCTCTCCCAATCTCTACGCCTTTGCCAATCTGAAAGCTACCATCCTCTTCATTCTCATTCCCCGACACGTCGACGGATTTTCTCCGAGCATTGACTTTTTTGGTGGGGGTACCGGCGCGTCCGCGTTTCTTCGCAGGTATAGGAGTTCCGATAGACTTTCTAGGTCGCCCTCTGCCTCTCTTGGGTGTTGGAACATGCTGCGTCTCTTCCCCGGAGTCCGAGAGTCCTTTGACAGGCACTCTGGTGGTAGTTGTTCGTTCTCGGCGTCGATTATTTGGCGCGCGAGACTTTGAGGGCGAGCTGTCTCTGCCTTCGATGTAGTGGGTATATGCATTCTCGTTATCAGATTCGCCTGCCTCAACGGTAACTCGTATCTTCTGCGGGGATATTTGATCTCCGACATCGAGGTTGAAAGTCTGCTTCTTTGGGGAACTTCCCTTGGAGGGTAGAGAGCTTCTGGCTTTTGAAGCGCGTCGCAATTTTGGGGGTGCTTGAAAGGCTGGAGTATCTTGGAGAGGATCTGGCGAGGAGAGCATCGCGTCCGCCATGTTGTCGTAGATATGAGTGTAGAAGTTAGGTAGGAGTATGAAGTAAGGAACTGGATATTTGCATAAAGCACACAGGTAGGTTGTTATGTCTGCATGTTCATAAATGTTACTCGTAAATGTTGTGTAGATTGGCCTAGCTCTGCGGTTGTTTGTTTACTCGACCTCCATACTGGGACTAGTCTAGTTTGCAAGTGCAGATACAGACTAGACTAGACGTACACCCATGTTTTATTATATAGCACCCACACCTTCCCCATGTTTTGCCACCGGATCGGACTTAGCTCGGTTGTGCCTTACAAATCATGGGCCTTGACTCTACACCGTAACATGATGTAATTGCCAGGTATCGCCGTACTGTATCTGAAATAACAAATCATCTGCCAGATCCCTCCTACTGTACCTGCGCCCTTTGTCAAACAAGTGGGCAAATGCCGAACATTGCTTACATGCTTATTAACCCTGCGCTGATTATAAACCCTTTTATGACGTGCGAGCTACCTTGCACATTGGCTAGAATAGACGCAACTACTATATATTACTACCAACCCGGCTTCATGAGCTGATATCTATTCCTTACATCAAGCAAGAAAACATCCAGTCGAGTACCACAGTATAATCATCTCAAGGTTATTGCAACGAACAAGAGCTCTACCTACTTGCCTTCCGTGAGAGTTTACGAAATATCACAATAGACATCTATCATCCTATACCATGGCAACAGCAGCACCTCTCCAGCCTTCTGCGGCACACGATTTCTCCCAATCTGCTCGCGCAGAGGCAGCCTTTCATGCAAACGACACGCCATTTATTCCCCGCGGTGATACAACTGTGACTTTAAACTACTTCCGCCCACCCGAAGACGGGTCGAAACCTTTTAATTTCGTCGAGGCACCTCCCGAGGGTCAACCCCCAAGAAACTTCGGCGACTTCGATATTCAGGTTCCCATCAAAGACATTCGGGGTCATGAGTCGGAATACACCTTAGATAAGGACGCCTTCCAAGTTGTTTCGGGTCTTCCCGAGTCCGCAGAACAAGAGTTTGTCGACGACGAATCGATAAAGAAGAATTACTATCCCGAGGTCGAGAAGTTGCTATTGGATAATATTCCTGGTAGCAACAAAGTCTTCATTTTCGATCACACAATCCGTCGATCGAATCCCGACGCCCCTCGCAGCCCAATCACCAGAGTGCATATCGATCAGACCAAGAAATCCGCCACCGCAAGGGTACACTACCATCTTCCAGAAGAAGCAGAGAAACTTCTACAGGGTCGATACCGTTTAATCAACATCTGGAGACCTCTAAATGGCCCTGTCCAATCCAGTCCTCTCGGTTTCGCTAGCTCCTCGTCGTTGAAAGACGAAGATCTAATCCCGGTTGAGCACATATATCCAGACCGAACTGGCGAGACAGCAGGCATCAGATATAACGAGGGCCAGAGGTGGCACTATCTTTCAGGTATGAAGAACGACGAGAGACTTTTTCTAGAGTGTTACGATAGCGAGGGACATGTGCCTGGATCTCAAGTCCAAGGAGGCAGAGTTCCTCACACTGCCTTCAGAGATTCTCGCACTCCAGAGAACGCTGTCGGTAGAGAAAGTATCGAGGTTAGAGCTCTGGTATTTGGTCCATGATTTGATTAGATATGTTGTGGCATATTTGAGTACGAAGTATGATTTACGATAGCGGGAGCGTATGATTTGGCTGTTTATAAAATGTATTAATCTCATCCACGTTCTGAAAACTCCCCTCTTGGTGCCTAGGTGCGGTGATGAGCCCAATCTAATTCTTCAATTGCAAGCTTGCGTGGCCCATACTCGAGTGACTGCAGCTGCAAAGTTGTCGCACTGTCACCAAGTGTCCAACCTATGTGCCGTTGCTGTGGTTCTAATCAGAACCTGCCTCCTAATGCTCTCTAGAGTGTGTCTTGGCCTTTTCTTCTCGTAGTCGCAGATCTCTATAAGCTTTATTATTATCCTGGGGGTTTATTACCTTGTTTAACCAGGTCCAAATTTTGCACAATCTCAAAGTCTTAGTCAACCATATCCTTTGTTCAAAGGCAATTTCTACAACAGCCTAGGTACCTAGGGTTGTACTGGGTGTCATAAAGAAACTTGTCATGTTGTTCTAGTGACAATGATATTGTGACAGGCGAAGTTTGCATGACCCTTAAGAAACAATTCTCCGACAGAATATCTAGAAAGCGTAGAAATTGACTGATTCTTGCTCACTTGTGACTTGCTTCTTTACAACTATCTTTGCACGCAAAGAAACCCCACAATCTAAATCCAGAACCATCAAGTTCCAAACCCAAAACCAGCAGCCCAATCACCCAACCAACCAAAGCAAAAACATGTCTGATTTTGTGGCCGCACTTGCATTTCTCAAACTGTGGCGAAAACGCCGGGTCATGCAATTGAAAACGAGCACTAGGGTCAACGAGGAGTTCCGAAACAAAATCGTACCCTACGTCAAAGAACTGCTCGACTCGCCAGAGCAAACCGATGCAGCCCGAGAATACTTGGAGTCCATTCTTGAAATAGCTAAGGGGGAATTAACGGAACTGGCGGACAGTAATCGTCGCATCGAGTGGGAAGTCAACCACTCCTTCCCCGAAATGGACGGCCCGCAAGCCCTCACCCCAGACGATGTTAGCAAGTACCTACCAGAAGTAGAATTTAACGTCCATGATCTAGAAGACTTTGATGTGTTCGAGGAAAGTCTCCGTCAGCGCTTGGAGTCAGACGACTTCCCCGGTGCAAGACGAGATCAGTCCCCAGCGACAGAGGCCTCGGATTGACACTTTTCTTTTTGCTTGCTTTTAGTTCTTTCTTTAGTGTTAAGAATGCGCAGCTTCTTTCCCTTAATCAATACTGTTCCCAATAACAATGACTTTTTCTTTCGCAAGTGCAACTTGATTATATAATGCTGACCATTTAGTGAAGTGCGAACCATACATTCGTTATTGCTAAGGTATGCCGCGAGACACGTTTATGTGATTGTGGAGGGAACAATACAATCGGGAGCTCTAGGCTAGGATCTAACTTTCAGTATCATCAAATGAGTGAGTGTGTAGAAAATGGGGTTCTAAGATACAGTGGAAGCCCCTTTTACAATGGCTGTCGCAACGAAACTGCAGCGCAAATTCACGTAACTCTCGTCCCTCTATAGCCCCACTACAGTAATAAGAGAAGAGAGAGATATGTTTTCTTTTTGCCATCAGAGTCTACAATGTTAGTATTGTATGACAATGTATCATGAAATTGGCTCTCAGAACGCGACCACGGAAGGCATTCTTGGCTCGACAAGGCCAAGATGTCCTCTGACAAGGTTCGCTGAAAATCCGTCAAGCACATCGAATCCAGTGCTATCAAGACTTATAATGTCATCAGGAATCAAGGTTTCGTTCTTGCGGATCGAGTTGAGATAGTCCAATTGCTCGGATGTCAAGATGGTTTCGGCTTCTTTGATTGCGAGCATGTATTTCTCGTCCGAAATGGTTCCTGAATCGCTGACAGCAAGCAAACGCAGTTTCTGCAGAAGAGCCTCCTTTTCTGGTACTTCGTTGGATGCTAGTGCACCCATGCAGAAATTCAGCGTCCGCATTACTTCGGCCTGTGAAAGATTGGCGCTCACGTCCACAGAACCTTGGATAACTATAGGACAAGAGACTCTGATTAGTACAAGCTTCTGTATTGTAAAAGAGCGCATGCAAAGCTTACTCGGACGGAAGTGCTGGAAAGCACGTTCAAAAGAATTTTCGTCATAATCTGAAATGACGGGCTCTTCTCCCTCGAGTATCTGTTTCAAGGCGCTGGAAACCACGATTAAGAAGCGCGTGTAGGATGCAGCCACCTTCTTTGAGTGCCAAGTAGCCGCAGCCAGCTCTGAGACTTGGCCTTTGATGGAAGCGCAGATGGTGGTCGCCGCCGAGAGCCCAGCATTGAGCGCGAGGTGAACACCGGATGAAAAAAAGGGGTCCACGAAACAGCCAGCATCACCTGCGATGCGGACATAAGGGCTCGCATAGGCTGGTGCGTTGTATGACCAGTCAGAAGCGGACTTCACGTCGCTCACAAGTGTAGCCGCCGCGAGCAGATCCCGCATGCCGGCGTTATTCTTGAGAGTGTCAAGATATATTGCTTTGCTGTCAAGTCCACTGTCACGCTTCTTCTGTGCTAATACCCCCTGGTTTCGGACCACGCCAACAGAACACTGGCCGTTGTGAAGCGGAATATACCACGCCCACCCACTGCCATCATGGAGGGACTCGAAGTAAGGGTTTCCTTCCTGCGGCGTCCCTATCCCAAACGTGCCGCCGTTGGTCCAGTAACCCCAGTTTGCGATGCTCTGAAGCTGTTCACCATTGTTCATCACGCGATTCTTCAAATACTTGGTGCTCATAAGACCCTGACGGCCACTAGCATCCACGAGGTAGTCGAAGTTCACGACGCCCGAAGCGCCGTCCTTGCTTCTTGTCCAGGTAGCAGATTTTGCGCGGCCAGGATCCGGAATCTCGCATTCGGGATCAGTGCTGCGGGGGAGACCAGATGGGACGAAATCCACAGTCTTCACCTTGAAGCCATCGTAGATATGAGCGCCGCTTTCCCCGGCGTGACGGAACAGGAGCTCATCGGACTCCGAGCGTACGACATTATAGGCATAGCCCTGGGGCCCTCCAGCGGCAACGAAGTCGGTAGCTGTCGCTCTGGTCAGCAATGCCTCTCTATTCGGTCAGCAGGGACAAAGACAAACATCCGGGTTCCTTAGAGTTGAGCTTGAACGTAGCACCTTTCTTTAATTTACAAGTCAGAAGACTGACTAGCTTAAGTGTTACACTGTTAACCACAAGAATCTTACCTTGATCCTGAAGCCGTGAGCGTCGAACTTCTCATCACAGTCTATGAAACGCATAAAGTGTCGTATGGAAGGCAGCATACTCTCGCCCACATGATAGCTACATTAAATAAGCGAGCTGTGTATGGCTTCATAGGTATTCGGTGGTTACATACCGAGGGAATTCTTCGGCTTCGAGGACAACAGTATTAATCCCCTCGCGAGCTAGAACAGATGCACAATACGAGCCAGCTGGACCACCTCCAACAACAAGGACAGTGCAGTTTCTTGGAGGTTGAGAATCCATTTCTTTTTTGGATGTTTTGAGATTTTTGAAAGAGTTGGTAAGGGTCTGAAATAATCTACTATTTGAATGAAGGAAAAGTACTGTATAGCCAAACAATACATAGACAAGCCGAACTCTTATCTACCTCCACTCCTAATGTGATACTTATGACTGTGCAGCGACAAGCATGTCATGAATTCCCGCATTTTCTCAGCTCTCAAGTATATGTCTACGGAGCAAGGACGAGCAAAAGGAATTACTTATTCCCTGTACCTGTATAGCTATACATAGTAAGCTAGTAAGCTAGTAAGATTGTAAGCTAGTAAAACGTTAAATCATTATCTACAATAAATATTGATTTAATTAGTAGCTCCTGGTTTGAACGCACGTGAGAGTCAGCTTACTTTAGTTGTTCTAGACTCTACGGGATAATGCCTCTAAATTCATGATGTCAGCTGAGAATGAGGAAGCTCGCTGTACGACATGGTTAGGGGGCGTAGAGCGCCGACCCTTTGCATAGGCTCTCCTGGGCCTGGCGCATCAGAACTATGAATAATATGAATAAATATCTGCCGTATAATGCGTAATATTTTAGCTCAATGCATACGCCACAAATGATTCCATTCTTCAGGCTCTCTCAAAATGGCAGGGGAGGGTCGGGATATTACGTATCTATACGCTCTCACTTTGTGGAAGGAGGGTGGAGGGCTACTGTAGCTTATGCGTATGCATATGGCTTCGAGACCGTCCCGATTTTGCTTTTTGGTGGAAGGATAATGGCTGGTCACCTGGTTACGTACTACGTAGTCTTTGACGGAGAGAAATCGGTTCTATGTTGTGTGATACGGATCTATATGTCTAGAGTAGGAAATAATGTATTCTCTAAAGTCTATTCTGGAGCCTGCTCCAGCGCAAGAAGTTGAAGGAGAAGCGAAATCTAAAAGACAAATAATACTACATGATAAATTTAACACTGTAACAGAGAGCTATAGCAGTAAAGCCGCAGATCTGAATAATTTGCCACCCTGAAGTTCCCCAATCTGAACCAAGTATTACAAGAGTAACCATATGCATCGCGAGATGATATTCTAGAAAGTGCCGCAAAAGCCAAATCTCTACCCTCATCGTCCAAAGTCCGACTGACTAAGGGTAATGTGTTGGTAATGGGTTGTTAAACGCGAAAAGATTCTCTGGATCCCAGGTTTTCTTAAGTGCTGCCAGACGTGGCAATTTCTCAGCACTGTAAATCTGCTCGAGTTTCTCATCTCCGTGTGCATAATTGACATACACGGTCAGATCAGGGTATCCAGAAGTAGCAGCGAAGTCTTTGCGGAGCTCGAGTCCTAGAGCATTTGATGCATCCCCGACGCTGCTTCCTGCTTCCCAAGAAAGTTCTATAAGTCTGTAATTTTGAAAAAAGAAAGACAATCAGTAACGATATTCCTATTGCACAGGCTCTTCTAGATTTGGGGGATTCTTTTGCTTACAGGTAGGTTATGGTTTGTCTCCAAGGATAAGCTGATGTGCTATCAGGTATTTCCCTCACTTTCTGGGGCGGGAAGCTCTCGAGGGATATAGTATTACCGCGGCCCTCTGGGTACTTTGCATAAAAGTCTACCAATTTCGCAAAGACTGATATTGCGGTATTTGAAGATACGGTACGAAGGGCAGCGCTATAGATGCTTCTGATACCGAGAGGTTCGCAGATAATAGCATCGAAACCAAAGCTCGTTTCAGTGTTGAGATTTTTCCAGGAAACGTCAGTGAGGTTCGTGAACACTGGCTGTACAGCTAGAATAGGAGCCATCACACGAAGCGCTTCTTCTCGGGGACCGGCGTATGCCCAGTTGGTTATAATTTCCGTCTGGAAACCTGTTAGAGCGACTGCTTCACTGGGGTCTCGGGAATGATTTTGTGGCGGAAACTTACTTGGTTGCTAGTTGTGTTATAAAGAACATTGGTAATTGCGGCTAACTTTGCGGGAAAGGTTCCATTCCCATTGACCATCGAAGCTAGAGTATTGAAATAAGATACATTCTGGGCAGCGGTGAAAACCATGTCGATGCTGGTAAATATACCATTGTTGATGATTGGTTGGACCTTGTATGTTGCAGAAGTAATGACGCCGAAGTTGGCACCAGCTCCTCGAATTCCCCAGAACAAGTCTGAATTAGAAGTTTCGGACACTTGTAGCACCTTGCCAGAAGCAGTTACGACTGTTGCAGAGATAAGAGCATCGCTTAGTAGGCCGTAGAGTCCCTGAAGACGACCGATTCCAGCTCCGATAGTCACTCCAACCATCCCAGGACAGGAGCATGTTCCGGTTTCTTGCGAGGTGTTAGACATAGAAATATGATAAGCATGAGGTGTCTAAACAACTTACGTATCTGGAAACCAGCTGCAAACAAGGGATCAACCATGTCTCGAAATCGAACACCACCCCCGATTGTCATAGTTGAAGCATGTTTATCGATTGTAACAGTTTTTAGAAGGCTGAGATCAATCGAAATGCCATTTTTTAGATTTCCTAGCGTTGTTCCGTATCCATGACGACCTCCTGTAGCTAGAAATGGAATCTTGAGATCCCTTGCTATTTTGACCTAGATAAGATTAATCTCATTAAACTTCAGAATTATATAGATGGACTCACAGCCTTTACAACATCTGCCTCATTCCGCACGGTAACAGAAGCTGAATAGGTTGGCGGATCAAAAACGGTCCACCTTTCAGTTGCGTTGATGAAGCTTTGTTGGCCAGGAAAGGAGAGTATATTCGGTGAAGTCCATCCCATGCTTGGCTTACTGAGAGCGGCTTTCAAGTCCACAGGTCCCGAAGGATATCCTACGGCAGCGGTAAAGCCACCGCGAGCGAACAAAAGACAAATTACACTGAAAATGAAGTAGTAAGACATATTGGTAATTAATCTAGAAGGCAGAAGTACTGGTTTGATGATGAGATATTCTTTTTCGTGTCTAGAACAGCAAACGGGAAAAGGTCTTCTATTAAACACATCTTTTTCTGCGACGCTTTCATCCCTCTCATCCTAGTTCTGAAAGCTCCCGGAGGAGCTGGAAATAGTAACAATCCTCCAAGAGTCAGAATAACCCGTGGGCTTGGGAAAATCGAGGCAAACACGTAAGAAAAGCGCCATGATCATTGCCACTTGACAATATTTCCGGTCATAGGAGCACCCAGAGACGGCGAAATCCTTTGATAGCGGCACAATCCAGGCAGTATTACCTATCAAGTTTAGGAAAAGCCGTCCAGATATCCAAGGAGTCGCCGAACCGTCCCATGTATACTCAACCAGTCTGCCGTGAAAAAGAAAGGATTGCTTCCCGTGCGAAGTAAGAGAAGATAAGACTGCCTAAGCCTTATGGGCTGAGCACGTCGTACTCACTTACTCCATTTCAGCCTCAAGTGTCCCAGGCATGCGTGGCCCGTATGGCAAGAACGTGGACACCCTGTACTTTACAGGGTACCGATCCTCAAGGTGACCACATTGGGTAAGCGGGCTGATTTTGATCTCTATTATTGGTTTGTTTCATGGCTTATAATGGCTTCAAATAGATTATGTTCCCATGGAAGGAGTCTTGGTCACACGAGTCGCCGCGTGCGCGCGGCGGTGCTTTGTGTTTGCTCCCTTTGTGTTTCCAAACCGTAATGACTTTCCCCTTTAAGTCTATCCTCACATTATTAGTAGAGGATTCGTGAGAATCTGAGCTGATGGCATCAATAATGCCACGGCTGAAAAAGCCATTACTATGACTGATGGGTATGCCGTTCCGCTGGCTAGGCATCCAAGTCACCGAGGGGCGTTTTTCGTAAAGGGGAAACTTTGAGCTTATGGATGTAAAATAGGATGATGGTAAAGTAAAATCTATAAAATACCTTTACTTTCCCACCAATTCAGAAAATCATTTTCAAACCACGTTCAAACACATCCGCAACCATGACTAGATTTTCCGGCTTCGCAGCATTCGGTCTTCTACTTTTCCAATCTCTGGTCACTGCGTCTCCTCGACCATGCCTCGATGGTCTTTGTTCTGTTACCCGTCTCAATATAACCTCCCAGCAAGTTGCTCGTGAGCTTGGGCCGCTTCTTTCTCGTAACTCCAGTATCTTTGGCCCTGATGATCCTCGTTTCGCCAGCACCACAGCGAGATATCAACAATACCAGCCACCCACTATCAAGATGGTCGTTCAGCCTGGATGTGAAGCAGACATTCCCAAAATAGTAAGTATAAGTTACCTCTTCAAGACCCACAAACCGGGATAGCTGATGCTCCTTTAATAGGTCAAATATTCCAATGCCAATAGCATTCCATTTCTCACCGTCAACCGTGCTCATGGCTTGACTGCTACGCTGGGAAAATTCACCGGCATGCAAATTGACATGGGGATGCTGAGAGACATCACCATCCAAAAAGGAGGAAGTACCGCTATATTCCAAGGAGGAGCCTATGATGGACAAGTCATCGATTATCTCTGGGACAAAGGCTATGTTACAAGTACGTTTGCAATCACCTCCAGCTTTTAGGCGGCCATGAAAGCTAATGAAAATAGCCACTGGAAGCTGTGCTTGTGTCGGTATGCTTGGCCCTGGTCTCGGTGGCGGTCATGGCCGCTATCAAGGATTCTACGGAATGATCAGTGACAATATCGTCAAATTGAATGTGGTTTTGGCCGATGGCCAAGCCATAACTGTCTCTGAAAAATCCCACCCGGATTTGCTGTGGGCTATGAAGGGTGCTGGTCACAATTTTGGTATCGTGACCAGCTTTGAGCTTAAGATTTACCCTCGTCTCGTTGATACATGGTACTATAAGAACTATCTCTGGAAGCAAGACAAGCTTGAGACTATGTTCACTGAGCTGAACAAACTGCACCTGAGAGCCAACAAGACCAGAGAGTTGGCCGTCAATTATGGTACGTATGGGGTAAATGCAAGCATCAGTACAACTGAGGTAAGTCACAGAAACCCTTTCAATAACTGAAGTTGGGTTCTAACCTTGACTTAGGCCGTTATCTGGTGGTCGTTTACATATGCTGGACCGCAAAAAGATGCTCAACAGTATTTCGATGCTTTCGATAAAATTCCAGCGGAATTCGTTGAAGATGGGAACGTACCATACAGCGGAATTCCCGATGCTACCGGAAGCGGGGTGGACCAACCTCTCTGTGCTAAAGGCTTCGAACACGTTCATTCAACCACTTACCTCGATGTCTGGAATGTCACCAGCCAGCGACAAATTTACGATCTCTTCCAACAGAAGATCACCCAGCAACCTTTGGTTGCCGGTTCTATCATTATGTTGGAGGACTACTCAACGATTGGTGTGAAAGCAGTCGACCCCAAGACATCTGCTTTCCCATGGCGCGAGAGGAATCTCATGACGTTCGTATCTCCAGTCCTCCCCGTAAGATTTCAAGCTGACATATTCTTCATCTCTAGTGTTCATGCAGTGAACTTCCCACCCAATTCTTCACTCGATGCATTTGCTGCCGAGTGGGCAAAAGAGACTCTAGATCTGTTCAATAAAGGTTCTGGCATTCCACCTTCCACTTACGTCAACTATGCGGCTGGAAATGAGCCCATCGAGCAGATGTATGGAACTGAGCCTTGGCGTCTTCAGAAGCTTCGTTCGTTGAAGGCTCAGTATGATCCTTCGGGGCGATTCAACTACTATAACCCCATTACTCCTGCAAAGTATTAAACCGAAAGTTAGTAGAATGGATGGGAGAGAAGTGTTTTCTTTTGACATACTATAGACTTTGATTCTAGTCGTTGTATTATTATATATTTAGGTTCTGGATAGCAATGAATCTTCATTTTATCTTACATTGGCTCAAACATAATGACGGACTATGACTTTAGACGTGTGAAACCTGCTACTATTAGCTATATCCATGATGCATTTAGAGCTCCCAAAATAGAAATCAAAAGGTGATGCCTCCTTCGCTTACCTAAGATACGCTATGTCACATAACTAGAAAGGCTCTCACCATGACCCCTTATATCCCGACAGGAAGTGTAAAACGTGTATAGATAGCATTGTCTTTATATAAAACCACTCTTTCTTCTCCCTTTGCTTGCTTCTATCTATGCATAAACATCTACTTACTAGCCCCCCTACCGACATACTCCTTTTCCAGATCCCCCAAGAACCCCTCCATCTTAACCCCCTTGACGAAAACATCCTTGCAATCCAGAAGAATCCACATCATTCTCCCCGGCTCCGTGCCCCCTCCAGAGATATTCTTCCACTTGTGCGCTGTTGCGCGCTGCACACTGACATCTCCCTGTCGCATAACCTTCTTCTCGCCCGAATCGAGGATGAGTTCGAAGGTGCCTTCGACCACGATACCGTAGTCGATGGAGACGGCGCGGTGGAGGGGGGATTCGACGTCGGGCGCGAAATCAATTATGCGGACTATGGATCCGTTGTGGTAGTGAAGTGGTGGCTAAGTAAAAATTGAATTAGCATTCTGTCTCCCTCATTTTGGGGGCAACGGAAAAGGACGAAAAGAAGAGAAAAGAAATGATTGGTTACCTCTTCAGCAGCAGCCTTCTCAATATCAACATTCCCATTGAGTTCCACGGGTGTCTCCTGTGTCGAATAAATGATATTCGCCACCGCTTGTCGCTCGCCCATCACACGCGTATGACTGCCATTATCGGAGGACAGGAAGATAGATTTCCCGTCTTCGTTGTGCCCTGTGATGTGTCGAAGGATTTGGCGTAGACCGGGAGCTGGGAAGGAAGACACGTAGCCTGCGCTTACGACGGGCTCGGCCGAGGGCGTGGAGGAGGATGGTGCTTGGGTTGGGTCTGACATTTTGAGATTGGGATTGTGTTTTGGGGAGTTAATTGAGCTTGGGTGAAGATGAATGAAGGGGAAATTTGGTAGAGAGAAAAGGATTTAAATAGGGTTTCAAAGGTTTCTTATGCTTTGATATTTGAGGTTTGGTCTAGTTCAATGTACGTGTACTGATTTCCGACCTCTTGCTGTTCTTGTTTGTATGCCATTTTTCGCCTACTTTGACAAGTGCAGATACAAAATGTACCTTGGGGCGCATTAGCCCCCCTAAATATTAAGCGAGCCAATGAAAATAAGCGGGGGATAAGCTCTTCATGTATACTGTAGGACTTTATCAGTTCACAAGGGTCTATTCATTAATCGAGCTCTTAGTCCTGAAATTTGCTTCTGGTTTTGGTAATGTGTAAGCTTATGTTTAGTAAATCTTCCTCTATAACGAAAAGCGTTATGATTTTCAACCATTCAGATGTTGCTACTCAGAGTTGTGCCACCATCAAGGATGAAGTTACAGCCAGTTGCGTAACTCGATTTTGGGCTACAAAAGAACATGACAGCATCTGCAACTTCTTCAGCCATAGCAATGCGACCGAGAGGCACAGCTGCTTCAATCATTTTCCCAAGCCCAGGAATATCATCCATCGCTTTGCGTATCATGGGTGTATCAACCCAGGATGGACAGACACTATTGACTCGTATGCCATAAGCTGCATTATCAAGTGCTACGAGAGACCGGTCAGTTCAAAGCACAGTTCTGTGAGAGAGCATTTGATTTTTACCTGCGTTCTTGGTTATGCCGATGACTGCGTGCTTGGATGCTGTGTATTGGATCATCTTGGGCGTGGCCACAAAGGATGATGCTGATCCTAGATTAACAATGCTGCCACGGGTGCTTCCGCGACCGGGTGAAAATGCATCGACGGGGCACAATTCCTGACTTTTCATGATTGCTGACATGGTGCGTGTCACAAGGAAGGTCCCCGTTGCGTTCACCTCCAGCATGTTCTTGAATTCCTCAATATCAGTTTCCGCCGTCTCACTCGCAGTCTTGACCCCCACCTAAAGTATTCGAATATATTTAGCTGAACCGTTCTCTTCATTCCGGAGGATGAGCTTACCCCAGCGCTATTCACGCAGTAATCAATGCGGCCAAAGGACCTAACTGCATGATCCATAGCTGCCTGAACCGACTTCTCTTGTGTAACATCAACCACCACGCTTTCTGCACTGAAATCGGGATTGGTGGAATGTGATTGGCATTGTCTGGCGACAGCTTGGGCAGCTTCGAGATTGAGATCGGTAAGCGTGAGACTGCGGGCTCCATACTTGGCGAAGGCGATGGCACAGCTGCGTCCAATGCCACTAGCTAAGAATGGTTAGCTGGCGTGAATCGTGAGATGGAGCACAAGGGTACCAGCCTCCAATCACAAAAGCGCAACCTGTGATATCCATGTTGTTTGCGGATGTGTGTGAAAGAGATTGATAGTATTTCAAGGTGGGTAGCTGTAAATTATCGGCATTTTATGGAATACTGAACGAGGCTTGAATGGGGGCGTATTGTAAGCTGACGGCTGCGTAAATATGGGGGAGTTTTTAATTGATTAATTAATCATAATTGCAATCCCAGTTCTATCTACTAGTGCCTATAAAAAGACGCTAGATTATATTAAAATACTTGTTATGTTTGCATTATATTTAATCCGAAGTGAGTAAAGTCAATCGCCTATCGTATATTTATCTACCTACGTGCGGCCAATGATGGTCGGCAATGGGTTAACCATAAATGCCGTGCATGCTGCATGCGCAGGGAAGGAAGGGAAGGGACGGGTGCGGGGGCGGGGCAATTCAGTGCCGAGTAATGCAGCCCTAACAGCCCCTGAAAGCCCTACCCGAAGATCTAAGTCTCTGGATCCAGTTAGGCTGAGTCAGATACTATCATGCCAGCTACTAGGGTACCTTACCCCCGTAAAACCTTATCTCCAGCTCTCCGCGGAGAGCGAATTTACAAGTGTACGTCCGTACTTTCGAAGCATCTACGGTAATTGCATGTAATGTGGTAATTACCTTACCGTACTGTACTGTACCTTTGCGGAGAGACTACAATCTCCAGGCCGTACGAGTAACATTCTCAGCCGCAATATTCGTAAGCAGTCCCCTTATTCCCATTCGTTTGCAGCCATGACAAAGAATTGAGGTATCGGTCTACCTAAACTATTCATCCGCAGCTAGGACAAAGAATCCTCAGTCTTCCCGACGCCGTGAATCCCTCCACTCATTAGCAGTATAACTGGCAAACTCGACACAACTTCATCGTCTTCTCCCAAAGCCTCAATTGACACTGCACGATCATCCCACAACCACCTAGCTACTGCGTCTTAATTGTGAAACTTCTTTCCCCTTTGCCTATCCCTCACAGACCATCTCCGAACGAACGTCCTTCGCCCAAGCCGCAGATATGAGCGCCGCACATTTCAACATCACGCCCGAGAAGCGCGCATCTCATCGCCAACTTCTGAAACGACAACTCTGGGTCTCTCCGCCAATCGCCAAAATCAGCGAAGTCGACCTGACTGGCAAAACTGTTATTGTCACCGGCTCCAATACCGGCATCGGATTGGAAATCGCTCGGCAGCTCTTAGATGTCGGTGTAAGCAAGCTGATTCTTGCTGTGCGCACCGCGAGTAAAGGCGATGCAGCCAAGGAGAATCTCTTGACTGGTCGGCGCCCCTCAAAACAAACCATCGAAGTCTGGAGTTTGGATCTTGAAAGTTACGATTCAATCATCGCCCTCGTCGAACGTACCAAGACCCTGGAATGCCTGGACATCTTTGTTCACAATGCGGGTGTTCAGAGGATGGATATGGAATTGCACCCCACCACTGGCCACGAAGAGGTTGTTCAAGTCAACTATCTCTCCCTTGCTCTTTTGTCGATTCTATTGCTTCCTGTTCTCCAATCCAAGAACACCCCGCTACAGCCAGGTCGTTTGGTAATTACAGGGTCCGATGCGTCCTCCATGGCCAAATTCTCAGAGCAGAATGATGTTCCTCTTTTACCATCTTTCAACGATCCAAAATACTTTGATCCCCAAGACCGCTACTTCACGTCTAAATTGCTCGGCCAATTCTTCCTTACCGAATTAGCTAAGCGCGTACCGGCATCTGTCGCTATTGTCAATACTGCCAGCCCAGGTTTATGCCACGGAACAGAGTTGAATAGAGGAAGTGATGGCACTATGGTCGGATTCATATTCGGCATCATCAAGCGTCTTCTTGGTCGAGCATCCGCCGTTGGTGCTCGTAACATCACCGATGCTGCTGTCAAACACGGCATGGACTCCCACGGACAGTACTTGGAAGATGGACATATCCAACCGTAAGTCTGGAAAACAGAAACACTACTGCGGAAGCATCAGCTAACCAATCTTTACAAACAGAATGGCACCCATTGTATACAAGGCTGAAGGACAGCGAATTGCCGGCCAGCTTTGGCAAGAAACAATGGATGATCTGGCATTTGCACATGTCGCTGAAATTGTCAAAGACCTGGGCCATTGAATCAGCAGCTTCATGTTTCTTCTAAGGCGTTGGGAAGGGAATTGTTTATACCAGGATTATTTGCATGGCTGAGATGATACGGGACTGCTATTATAATTTGCTAAATGGAGTGGTATTGCATTTGTTGATTTAGCTCCTCACAAGGAATACTGTACTTAATATGCCGCTTACTTTTTACCTTCTCAATGCAACCTACTCTTGCCACTATAACTAATTCTATGTTTTGCTTTTGTGATTTTCTGCGATCTTTTATAACGTGATAACCATATTGGGGACTTGATATCTAGAATATATTTTGAATACGCAGTGCGGATTTGCTTCAGTTCCACATCCCTAGTGCATTATGCACGAGCTAACCAATTTCGCAATACAAAAGCGCGTAATGAACCATACCTAAGTAAAGACGCACAATTGGACGCCAAATGCCCGGAAACATAGAGTAAGCTCTATATAAGCATGCTCACTCCCAGGGTTGGCTCCCGTCACTCACGTCCAAACACCCCTCCTACATACCAGCAACTCCCTAAACCCTTTGTTTCACTTACCCACCATATATATTTCTCACTCAATGGAAGACCCTAAGTTCCGAGTCATCATAGTCGGTGCTGGTCCCGTGGGCCTTTATCTCGCACACGCACTCAGCCTGGCCTCGATCCCCTTCGTCGTTCTGGAACAGCAGCCTGCGGTCACCAAGTTTGACGGCCAGTTGATTTTCACGTGGCCACAGACGGTGCGGCTTCTAGACCAGCTGGGATTGTATTCAGAGGTCAAGGAGGTCGGGGTTGAGATTAGTGAGAAAAAGAGGATTTTTGGGGGGGATGGACATGTGATGACGAGTACGCGGTTTTGGCAGGATATGAAAAAGAAGTATTTTATTTCTTCTATCTACTCTGCAATAGATAGGAACTGGTTTCACTGACAGTGTTTCCGTGGAATAGTCATGCATATCCATTTCTCCTTGTCCCTCGAGGCAAATTGGTCCAGATTCTTTTCTCGAATCTTCCACAGAAAGGCAGCCGAGTTCGATACAACTCCAGAGTACTCGACATAACCCATCACGCCAACGGAGTAGATGTCCATCTCCAGAATGGAGACATAGAAAGCGGATCTATCGTAGTTGGAGCTGACGGGGTACATTCTCAAACGCGTCTAAAAATGCACGACGCAGCATTCGAATCCGGAATCGACACGTCAGTCGACGAAAACTCCATGGCCGCGAATTTCCACGGCATATTCGGCTCGGCATCTAACAAGGAACTGCAGCTTCAAGAGGGCGTTGTGTTTGAATCCCGTGGTGCGGGCACGGTTATACAGTGTGTTGCTACGCCGTCACTCATCTACTACGTCACGCTCAAAGCATTGGATTCTCCGAGTACCAGACGGGTCCAGTACACGGCAGGGCAGATGGAGGAGTATGCAGAGGAGATTGGCGATGTGGCGATATCTCCCGAACATAGGTTTCGTGATCTATGGAAATATGCTGATAAGGAACAGGCGAGAAAGCTGAACCAGGAAGAGGGGATTTTGAAGCACTGGTCGTGGGGGAGAATTGTCTTGGTGGGTGATGCGGTGCACAAGACTACGAGTATCAACGGACTCGGATTAACATGTGGCCTCCATTCTGCTGCAGCTCTAGCCAACGAAATCACGAAGATTGCTGGTGTAGGCCAGGGGCAAGAGGTAGATGTTGAGGATATTCGGAACGCGTTTGAGAGATATCAGGCTGAGAGAGAGGGTGAGGCTCGACAGATCTGGAGTGATGGGTATAATATTATCCGAGATGTCACTAGCAAGAGATGGACCAGTCGGTTTTGGGACGAGTGGGTTTTGCCTTGGGTTGATATTGAGAAGTTCTGGGGTGGAAAATTGGTGAGCTTGCTGTTGATTAGATATGGCCAGATTTTGGGCTTCGTGCCTTTCATGGGAGAGGAGGGGGATGTGGGTTGGGCCAGAAAGGCAAATGCTAAAGTTTGATGGAGAGCTACGGTACTTGGGTTTGCGGTTGAAAGTACTCGCTAGCTACCTATACAGTACCATACATCGCGGCCTCTCTGTTTTGAGAAATGGGTACTTTTTGCAATCCAAACTTTGATTCACTCCCTATATTGTTTAACAGCTCTTCTAGTACGTGAACGGCGGTGGCTGAAGCAATTTGCGTGAATCTTGGTAAGGCTTTGCGTTCTTCATGCAAGGGGCCGTAAGACATGACAAGACAATCTGCTGGCCTGATATAAAATCCTAAAATCAGGCTGAAGTTATTTACCAAGAAAAATTACAATGTTATTACCCAACATTCTTCAGATAGCCATTACGAGTAATTGGTATACAAGCTCTTGTTGACCCGCATCTCCGGTAACACAAGGCTCTATGCGCTACTGTATATCCGAGAAGTCCATGGAGATCTTTCCGCTGACTGCATTTTCAAGCCACAGCCCTAAGAGCTTATCTTATCTCACTTGCTAACTGCATGCATGTTTTTTTTTTTGTGGCAGGTTTGACGCGTCCATCCTTCTTTGTGAAGTGAAGCTGATTAAGGGTTACACAACTTATTCGCACGTACGTATCTTACGTTTTCAGCACTTTCATGTTTCCCCAGCCCCGACTCCACGACTCGTTCGCACGGATACGGTATGATATCTTCCCTTCAGCTGAGGGCTTTCGGCATAATTCTTTCGCCGGTTTGCATGCTCGCATTCTAAGCACTTCTTAGGTAGGTCGGAGAGATACAACCCGCTGAATAACGTGCAATTACTTGTATTATTAAATTTAAAGGTAGTGCTTGTTACTTTAGTTCCTTCATAATAAGATATGGATATCTTGTTATATTCTTTACATAATTGTTTTAGTAGGCTTATTAGTAGTTTACTAGTATATTACTAGCATATTAAAGTCGCAAAAGTTATGAGATATAGTTATTAGATAAACATTAAATGATTATAAATGGATTAGCGGGGTTCTTTCTTTTCAGCTAATACTTTAATAATTAATGGGGTCTGTTCCTTTGACCTACTATAGCGATTTGAAATCAATGTGAGACAAATCTGCAGAGTATAAGTCTAAACTATTCCGTCTACGAATTGGAAGCCGACATCTTTCCCATCCTGAATACCCCACGCAGGTTATCTTCTTTATCTTTCAATTCCAAACCTTGAAATAAACCGCACGCACAACACACTCAGCACAGCACTCTATTTGCCTCTCAACACACCACTTTTCAGACAGATAGTCCTTCGTCATCATGGCCGAGCAAACAGTAGTCTTCATCTCTGGAACTAGTTCAGGTATGTAGACAGCTCAAACGAGTCACTATATCCAAGCTAAAAAGTGCCCCAGGAATTGGAAAGGCACTGGCCGAATACTACCTGGCGAAACCCAACCACACCGTCATCGGAAGTATCCGTAACAGCAGCGCTCCCTCTGTAGCAGAGTTGAAGTCATTCAAGCCTGCAAGCGATTCCAGCCTTCTCCTCGTCCATATCGAAAGCACATCTACCGACGACCCAAAGAAAGCATTGGTCGCTATCGAAGAAGCGGGTATCAAACACATCGATATCGTCTATGCCAATGCAGGAGGCAGTCCACCCGTCGTAGCTCTGGAAGACGTTCCTGTCGCGGACTTCCTTTCCAGTTTCCAGACCAACGCTCTCGCTCCTCTAGTACTGTTCCAAACTCTCAGACCACTGCTTCAGAAATCAAAGGCTCCAAAGTGGGCTTCCATAAGCTCCATCAGCGGTTCTATTGGTATGATGGGTACTTTGGGTACTCATATTACTGTTGCTTATGGTGCTTCCAAAGCTACTTTGAATTGGTTGACACGGTAAGACTTATGCTCTGTCTATACGTACGTGACTTTTCAAGCCATCTAACAAATCGATACAGTGCAATTCATTGTAGTCAGCCATGGCTTATTACAGTCGCTTTCCACCCTGGGTAATTCCCCCCTCGTACAAATTTTAAATCGAGGAACCTAATAGAAAGATAGCCTTGTCCAAACTGGTCCAGGTAATTGGATCGCTCGTCACATTGGCATGGAACAAGCACCTACAACCATCGACGACAGTGTCGCGAGCTTGGTCAAGAAAGTAAGTGGTTGTCCCTATTGTATATCTAGGGAGTTCTTGCTAATAATCATCTTTTGTAGCTCGAGGAAGCTACTCGCGATAATTACTCTGGCAAATTTCTCAATGTGATTGACGGAAATGAAATTCCTTGGTAGGGGATGTTCAAGAAATCAGGCATAAGTTGTGGATTTGTATTCTAGCTCTACTGGCATAATGCCGCTCTGCTAGTTTTGGCGCGTAGGCTAGTTAATTTGATTGGAATTGACGATTATTCTGAAAAACTATACCTTCCTTGTACTGTTGCAGCTCTCTCTTACAGGATCTTTTCCATCTACTCATATAAGACTAGGTTATATAACATAAAGAAGAGTATTGCTTGATACTACTTTCTGATCGTGGATACAGTACTTATCAAATTGACTTCATAGATATGGACTTTTTCCATACCTGTTTATGTTATCTTATATTTATGATCACTTACCTAAAGCTTTAACGGGTAGGCTGGGATTTGGCGGTGTTCTTAAAGTTTCTATTATAAATTAGATAATGTCTATATAGTGGCTACGGCAACTGAAGAGAGTATGAATTCCAAAACGACCAAGCTTATGCTTTTAATTTTCTAGAAGTGAATGAATAAATCCTATTTGGGTTTTTTGAAGCCTATTCTTTCCGCTTAGACCACATAAAATGTACATAGTTATAGAGACGTCCTGTAAATCATAACCATAAGTATATGATAAAGAATTGGTGGTTAAATTATGCTTATTCCACTTAGCCTACAACCAAGGAAAATTACAAGGGCCAACGGACGTATAGAGCAATAAGCTTAGCAGGAAAACATCCCTACAGGATAAGGTATGTCAGACTTCCCGTCCGCACTTCCAAAGCAACTACCCCACATTGCATCAAGGAACATTGATAAAGATACAAGCCAAGCTTCAGCTGACGCCATCAGCCACCTACTTCAAACAAGGAAGTCTGAAACGAATAACTTACTGGGCTTATGCATATGTAGTGTATTAGAGACGTAGTTAAATCTTATGTGCATACTTTACTACTGGAAACCGGGGCATAAATAAGCATGCAGAAATTGCTATCATTGGAAGAGATACGGCTTGACAAAGTTTGCTTGAGCCTAGATTCTGACATGATGGTCGTGCAGACGGAGACATAACATTTGATGAAAAATTAACATTCACATGCATCTTAAAGAACATAGCACTAGTGATACACGTTGATTCCTAACGTCTGAAGTCCCAATTGCAGGCCTCTATCCCGGAAGAGAGGGTCACATTTCGAATCTTGGGTAGCACAGGAATAGAAGGGATAGTGATTATCGATACTAGTTGTGTACAACTACGCTCAGCTTCCGGTCTGCGGTCTAAATGGGGTTAGATTTAAGTTGATAGGAGATTCCAGGACATCTTTCTACTGCTGACTGCCGGTAATTGAAAACTTCATGTTCTTCGATGAAAGATACTAATGTGCGTAGAACTAAGCTACTACCGTGGATCTTTCTCCTCAAGTCTCCTATCTACCCGCAAGGAACTGCCGAGAATTGAAACAGCGGTGAAGGTAAAGTCTCTTCTGACTTTCACAATTCAGTTTGAGGATCTTTGAGCCCCCGGTTTCTCTCTGGACTCTATCCCATTCTCACTACGATTCATATTGACGAAAATACTCTATTCCGTCACCAAGTAAAAAGATCGATAAAAAAGATGGCTATGAATCCCCTCGTTCCAAATGATCCTAGAGTCGAGCATAAATATACTACCATTGAAGATGATATCACATATCACTACATGCTAGCAAAGCCCGAGGGCAAAGCAGCCGCTACTGTTATACTTCTCCATGGCTGGTGAGCAGCTCCACACCTGACTCCTTAAGATGTCAAAATTTCTGACTTTTCCCCCTTGCAGGCCAGATCTAGGGTTGGGCTGGCGTTTTCAAGTTCCCAAGCTGCTCTCCTTGGGTCTCCAAGTAGCCATCCCAGATATGCTCGGATATGGTCGAACCTCCTCACCCTCATCCCCTCTGGAGTATTCCATGAAGAAAACTTCAGCCCATATAGCCCACATCATCCGCGAGGTAACTAGTGAGCCTGTCATCTTAGGCGGCCATGATTGGGGAGCGTTTCTTGCTTGGCGTACAGCTATGTACCACCCCTCACTCATCTGCGGTGTATTCACGTTCTGCGTCCCTTTCTTCCCGCCTCGACCCACCGTCATCACGTTAGAACAGTTCGTCGAAGAACTCCCGGACTTCAGATATCAATTACAACTTGCTAGCCCCACTGCTGAGACTTTGGCTGGGAGATCAGAGGCTACTTTGAGAGGCTTTTTGAGTAGTATGTTTGGAGGTGTTACTTCTGATGAATTACCTGGGTTTGAGGTCTCTATCGGGCTCATCGGGGAAAGACTTGATAAGATTACTTCCACACCACTCATGAGCACAGAGATTCTAGATCATTATGGTACGTGTATCTCAATCAATATTATAACAATTGACTAACACTTTGTACCAACTTTAGTCCAAGAATATTCCCGAAATGGTCTTCATGGCCTAATGAATTGGTACCGTACCATGTCGATAAACAGCGAGGAAGAGCTCCCACTGCTTGCAAATATGTCCGGCTTCAAGTTCCAGATGCCGGGCATGATTGTTATGGCTGGTGAAGACCCTGCGTTGCCGCCGGTTATGCTTGACGGCCAAGAAATGTTCTTTGCTTCGGGGTTGAAGAAGGAAATCATACCTGGAGCGTCTCATTGGGCCTTAATTCATTTTCCTGAGGAGTCAAACAAGTATATTGAGGAGTTTGTGAAAGATGTGCTTGGGAAGTAAAGCTTGCGGGACGGAATCTATGTCACGCGCGCTAGACTCGATATGTGGGTGGTCCGTGCACTTTGAGGTTATTCCCACCTCTAGTTCACCAGGTTTCCACTTTATACTTTAGTATTCTCTCTTTATAGTTGTCATAGGCAACATAACTCGGGCTATTGATGCTCTACTATTTCGTGACAGATTCTCAATCAAATCAACTCAAATTATCACCTATTCGACACTTTGTCCGAAACATCAAGCATATCTAGGTCGGCAGAAGTGATTTCAATAGTAGACTGTATATGTGGTGTTACAACTATTCCACCACTTATTAGATCCAAAGGGAACTTGATATTTTTGACCAAGTCTTCTTTAGTAGCTCGCCACCAGATATAAAGGTCTAATACAAGGCAAGTAACTTCTCAATTCAGCACTTGATAACCATACGCGCATTTACACACTGGTCAGTTAATACATGCTAAGGCACGTGATATTATTAACCAACAGTATGTAAAGATAAGGAAGAGGACAGTCTTAGCGGGTTTTCCATATTTCTCTACGCAAGAATCGTTTGATATAGTAGCAGAGACCGAAAAAGCTACGAAGAAGCAGGCAAAAGAAATGGGAAGGCTATCGTACAAGACACTACACTGAAATTGGGGATGATATTAAGAAAGTAATTGAGGAAGAGTGTAAGAGCGAATATGAGGACCGTGTTATAGTTGATGTAGTAGTTGAAGTATCTATAGGAGAGTGTTGAGAAAGCCCCAGATTACAAGACTACCTATGTTACGCCACAGCTTGTTTCAGTGCATGAGCCTTTTGGAGTTTCCCAAAATTAAAGTCAGACCAGAAGATATAATCCTGTGGCACAGTCAGCTACTTGCCCTTGACCAGGTCATTGGTTGATTTGCCCATATAGTACGAAAAGCAAATGTGTCCAAAAAGCGAATGATACGTGTTGCGCTTCCAGTCCAGAACCAGGCTGGCGGAGATGACTTTAAACTTTGTGTTACGACGTTTTCGGCGTACACAAAGCGATTCGTAGTTTCTGGGAACTTTTGTAAGTGAAATATTCCGAATGAGCGAGAACTTTGGTGGGGCAGGAGTAAATATACTTGGAATTCTTTGTACATGCTGTTTGAATTCTGAAGCGAGAGGGGAAAAGTATGAGCCTGGAGATTTGATTAGATATTGAGTGATATAGAGGCAGAATGTATATTACTGACCAGCTGGTAGTTCTCGGTTTTGATCATTTTTGAGGATATTGGTCCCAATCTCTCCGGAAATTATCTTCGAGAAATGACATTAGTTGTCTGAGATACATAACTGCAGAGAAAAGGCTTTCATACCATGAGTACTTTGACACTAGAAATTATTTTGCTCAGCTTATATGTACCATGATTTTCTCATTAGTATTAGTTTGAAGAAGCTTACTGGAAGGGGGCCATTTCAAGGCGGAGAGTATTAGTCCAGTGTTGCAAGGCTGCTTTGGTAGCATTATACGAAGCTATAGGGCATGTCAAAAAAGGCTTCAGGTTCATGGCAAAAGAAATCGAAACCTACAGCCATATATATATGGTACAATCCCCCCAATAGAACCGATACTGACAATTGTTCCCGCGGATTCAATCAACATGCTATGAAAGTAATGTACCATTCGCATAGGTCCAAAGACATTAACATCAAACATTCTTTTAACAGATGCAACGTCGGTATCAATGGCTGTCATTGTATAGCCTAGGAAATACTTAGTCGTAAACTTTCACAAAAGCTATACTCGACTCACATATTCCACTGTAGAAGTCAAGTCAGCACACAAAATCAGTTGCAAGCATAATTTTTAATGCACTCACGCATTATTGACCAAGATATCAAGATGACCACCAGTAACAACATGTAACTTCTCCCTGAAGCTTAGTATGGAATCATCTTTTGTCACATCCAATGGGAACCAGGTGATTTTCTGGTTATCAAGATGCTCGCTAGATTCTTGTGGAAGAAGGGTAGCAATAGCATAGAGACCACGCCGACTGTATTCAAGAACAAGAGCCTCACCGATACCACCTTGGCCGCAGCTAGAAGGCACGTCAGCTGTAATTCCAGAGCGTTGATGTTGTCTACGATTTTACCCTGTGACCAAAGCGTATTTCTGCCTCTCCGACATTCTCAGTGCTTCTCTCAGATATTGTTTTGCAGAAGTTTGGTGCGGAAGTCGATAGTATTCAGAGAGGTTAGGGTAGGTCTGTAAGTGAGCGTTATCATATGCTATCTCGGGTGAAATTCAATTTCTTTAGCTCCAAGAAGTTTTCAGTGGAAGTCTTATCGCTTCACCGCTGTTTAATCTGTAAATGAAAATATGCCGATACATGCAAAGATGACTGCTTTACACAGGGGTAGTCATGGCATGGAGTTTCTGCACAAATCACATATCATGGGTGCTGACAGGACTAGGCCAATTGATCTTTTTACTTTATCCCCATAGGGCTGAGAACTTCTATGAGTTTCCTACTGGAAGCGCCATGCTGCAGCTTTGGTTTGCTTATATGCCATTCATCGGGCATCAAAACAGCCACTAGGGATTGAACATTCAGCCCATATATTTCGTGAAACAATGCACGAAATGATAAGCAATCTTACAATTTCGTTAATGTTTCCCCTTTAGGGCAATCACTACTTTCGTTGAACTGACGCTGTACCACCGCCGCGGACTTACTTCCCTTTACAAGTAGCAGCTACTAGTTTACTAGCATGTATAAGCATGTGAGAAAGTATGTCCATATTATCTTTTATAGAGAGTGAGCTGCTTTAGTTAATCATGTGACGTTGATAGAGTTCTTGAGATGATTAAGATATATTAAGTCTATTACCCAGATCCATATTCGAAATAGTTTGTGAGAATCAAAGCTAAACGCAAATTGAAGATTCACTGACGGTCGCCTTCCTATACCTCTTTCAATATTACCATCTCTTTCTTACACCCACTGAAAGATGGCAGAGAAGATTACTGGCACCAATGGCACCAATGGCTTCCACAATTCTAACGGTGTCAACGGGGTTAATAAATCTAACGGGATAAACACTCCGAATGGGCACAACTATTCCAATGGGAATGGGGCTAAAAGTTCTAACGGAATTGATGTCCTAGAACCCAGCCAAGAAGAAGATCCCATATGTATTGTGGGGATGGGTAAATCCTCCAATAGCCCAAGAGAATCAACTTGCTAATACACCTAGCTTGCCGTCTACCTGGAGGCATTCGATCTCCCTCCGACCTCTGGGAATTTTTATCTTGCAATAAGTCTGCTCAAGGCAAGGTACCTAAGGAGCGCTTTAACATCAATGCATTCTATCATCCAGATGGTAGCCGAGCCGGAGTAATGGATGCAGATGGCGGATATTTCTTGCAAGAGGATGTTCGACAATTTGAGAATAGCTTTTTCGGTATCAACAACTTAGAGGCTACTTACATGGATCCCCAGCAAAGGAAGCTCTTAGAAGTAGTCTTTGAGTGTTTTGAGAGTGCTGGAGTATCGATGGATCAAATCTCCGGAACTAACACAGGGGTTTATGTCGGCAACTTTACCGTTGATTATCTGACTATGCAGGCCCGTGATCCTGATTATATGCATCGATATAATGCTACGGGATCGGGCACAGCTATAAGTAAGTTACATATAGCTTTGCTTTGAATCTTCTAGAGCACCATGGAGCTACGTGAAAGCAGAGTCACTTGATTTTGCTGTTGTGTAGCTCGAGGCTTCCAATTTTTATTCCCGAAACCAAAAGACTAACCGCATACAGTGTCAAATCGAGTTAGCCACGTATTCAATCTCCATGGTCCAAGGTACGTACTTTCTTCGAGATGACATCTCAGATTCTCGGATGCCATGACTACTCTAACAAGTACTTATATATTTTAGTTTCACGACCGATACAGCTTGCTCCTCATCAATCTATTGTCTTCATAATGCCGTGAATGCAATCAAGAATGGAGAATGTGATGGGGCTATTGTTGCAGCTGCAAACTTGATCACTGCCCCCGAACAGCATCTTGGGACCATGAAAGGGGGTGTCCTCTCGCCGACTTCCACTTGTCACACATTTGACGCTTCAGCTGATGGCTACGGGAGAGCCGAAGCTGTAAACGCTATATATCTCAAGCCTCTCTCTTCTGCTCTTAGAGACGGCAACAAAATTTGGAGCGTTGTTCGTGGTACGGCTATAAACTCGTGAGTCTGATCATTAGCTTTTGCTCCTAAACGCGTATCACAAGCTAATAATAATGTTATAGAAATGGAAGGACTTCTGGAATCACATTACCCAGTGCTAAACTACAGGAAGCTGTAATACGCAAGGCTTATTCCGGTGCTGATCTGAGCTTCGATGATACAGATTACATTGAGTGCCACGGAACTGGCACCGCAGTTGGCGACCCTATAGAAGTCGATGGATTACAGAGCTGTTTTGGTCCCAGAAAATGGCCTTTGGTGATTGGATCGGTAAGTGATTTTTCCACACCCTTGCTGTAACGGCGTTTCGGAACCCCCCTATCAAATTATACGTCTAACTTCACTGGTATAATTAGGTCAAAGCAAATCTTGGTCATAGTGAAGCAGCCAGTGGACTTACTTCGTTGATCAAAGTAGCTTTAGCTCTAGACAAGGGGAAAATTCCACCAACATATGGTGTCAAGAACCTGAATCCCAAAAGTAAGCATCCTTTTTCTTAGCCTAAGATCCGGACCAACAGAGAAGGACTCCACTGATTTCGGAAACTCCAGTTCACCTCGAGAAGGCAAATATGAGCATTGCAATGGATCTAGGAGAATGGCCTAGAGATATTCGCCGCGCCAGCATCAATTCGTTCGGATACGGTGGTGCAAATGCCCACGCCATTGTCGAATCTCTCGAAAGCTACCTTGAAGAAACCCACGAACTAGCTCCAATTAAGTCCGCTTGTACAGCACAGGTACTTGTGCTACCTCTTTCAGCTGCATCGAAACCGTCATTGGAGACTCGCCTCAAACAGACCGAAGAGATTGTCCAACGAGGGGATGGAGACTTGGTCAAAAGTCTCGCTTTTACATTATCCCAGAAATCCCCCGGCATGTCCAACAAGAAATTCGTCTTAGCAAAGGTACGGGCAGATGGGCTTTCCGAACTGGTACCACCCGATTCGTCTGAAATTGTCGACGTAAAATCAGCGAGCCTTCCCTTCAGTTTTATCTTTACAGGTCAAGGGGCGCAATACCCGGAAATGGGCAAACAATTGCTTCATAGCAGCGAATCCTTTCTCCGTACCATCCGGGATCTCGACGGCATCTTAAAGAGCTTACCTAAGGAGACATCTCCAGAATGGACACTAGAACAAACCCTCTTGGATTCGCCGCTCACCAGCCAAATAAATCATGTCACTCGCAGTCAACCAATCTGCACGGCCATTCAAATCGGCATAGTTAACCTATTGCGTAGTTGGGGGGTCACTCCTGAGGCAGTAATTGGACACTCGTCAGGGGAGATTGCAGCAGCCTTTTCAGCGGGGTTGCTCAACGCAAAAGAGGCCATTCTTGCAGCCTACTTTCGAGGCTATGCTGTTGGGAAGCTAAAGTCAAGGGGAACTATGGTCGCTGCTGGAATGGGTCCCGATCGGGCTGAGCAATTTATTGAAGAACAGGACCTGCGGGGGAAAGTATGTGTGGCTTGTGTCAACTCTCCGGAGAGTGTCACGCTCAGTGGATCTGAAGAAGGGATAGAGATTCTCCTAGCAGAGTTACAGAAGAACAATCTGTTCGCTCGTAAGCTTCAGACCGGCGGAAAGGCTTACCATTCGCATCTGGTAAAGGAAATTGGCACTCTCTATGAGAGTCTTCTAGCTCCACACTTGGATGGCAATTCGACTCTCCGTGGGTCTGCCGTTACCATGTTTTCATCCGTTGGGTATGAGAGCGGGAAATACCTATACCTTGCAAAGCAGGCACGAAAGGCGAAGTACTGGCGAGACAATCTCGAAAACCCTGTGCAATTCAGTTCCGCACTTCAAGATCTTATCGGCGAGGGAAAAACACATCTCGTTGAGATCGGGCCTCATCCAGCTCTGAAAGGACCCGTCCAGCATGTCCGAGCTTCAATCAAAGTCGACAAAAAGGTCCTCCCATATAGTCCCACATTGGTGAGGGATCAAGATGCCGACGTGTGTATGAAGAAATTAGCAGGGAGCCTTTATCTTCATGGCCATACTTTACAGTGGCAGAATATCCAAGAATTGCCCAGACAAAATCAAGTCATATTACACAATCTCCAACCATATCCATGGGATTACTCCGCTGGTGTCCTCTGGGCTGAGTCCCGACCTTCCGTCGAGCTTAGAAACCGACAACATGTACGCCATGAGCTTTTGGGATCAGCCCATGTTGCTGGTAGCGGAATAGACTGGAGTTGGCGAAATGTTTTGCGAGTCAATGAAGCCCCTTGGTTATTGGATCACAAAGTCGAGTCTCAGATCGTTTTTCCGGCTGTTGGCTATCTCGCAATGGCTATGGAAGCCATCGCTCAAATTAAGGGCCTCAAAAGCGCCGGGTCAGAAAAGTCTGCTAGGCCTAGCACTTCTTTTGAGTTCCGGAATGTGAGCATCAGCACTGCTCTTGTGATTCAGGACGAACAAGACATGGGGACGAAAGAGATTGAGCTACACACGGCCATCTCATGGCGAAAAATATCTACCACAAGCAAATCCACAGACTGGTGTGATTTTTCGGTATCGTCGTGGGGATCAGGGCAAGGCACTCTTCACTGTTCAGGAAGTATTCGTACTGGAGCTCCATTACCCTTGAAAGGAACAATCAAAGTCCAGAATACAGACGGTTTCGAAAAGTGGCCGATGGACCGCTGGTACAAGAAGCTTGCCGGTGAAGGACTTTGCTTTGGGCCACAATTCCAGTCATTGACAAGCTTGAGTACTGACGGGGGTCGCGTCAGATCTGATGCATTATCAACTACGAATATGAAGAGGAGGGTCGGAAAGGAGACCGATACAGAGTACTTCGTACACCCAATTGCTGTTGACGCTTGCCTGTAAGTTTTCAAATCGCTAAAGTTCTTTTCAATTTCCCCGTATTGGCAATAGTTTCTGCCCTCTTTTGAAGAGATCTCGTCCTTTATACTTCCCGATCCCTCATAATGTGGCAAGACTGACACCAGACCTTGGAATTTAGGCAAGCTGGTATTATGGGTGGTACAGGTGGTAACCTAAGTACTCTCAAAGCTTTTCTCCCAGTCTTCATTTCCGAGTGTCGAATTCAATCTCTAGGGGAAACCAACAACGAAGAAGCTACAATCCACACAAATATGACCACAACAGGTTTTGCGACAAGGAGGATTGACGCTACCCTTTTAGACCCTTCAGGTAATGTGGTAGTCGACATGAAAGATGTTCGTCTATCCCTCTACACCGGTAAGATGGGAGATGTGAAACCCAGCGACAGTATACACTTGGAACGCCACCCAATTCTCCGTGTAAATTGGAAACCGGATGTTCTGAGCCTCCACCCGGGCGCAGAACCTCAGCTGGATCGATATATCGATACCTTCATCTCACGACAACAGCCTGACTTGGTCGATAACGAGACACAGGCTGCCATTGGGGCACTTCTCGACCTCGCAGGACACAGCAATCCGAGAATGCGCGTCCTTGAACTTGGACCAGACTGCGATTGCAAACCAACGAATTGGCTATCTTTGCTCCACAAAGACACATCACTTCCACGAATCCAATCCTGGAATACTGGCAGCCTGGCTGATAATGGTGATCTGACTGTGAGAAATGGAGCATCGGGTCCTTTCGATACAATTCTGGTCAGCAAGGTGGGTCTCATTATACTACCTTTGATATTGATAATTCACTGATCCTAACATCAATGTAGCTTGCCGAATCGGAGAAACTCTGGAAATATGCTCCTGAGAAGCTGATATCTCTTGTCGGTGATGGTGGTGCTATTGTCACTCGCAGAACCGACAGTGCGCTTCATAGTCTGGCTGCTGCTGAATTTGCAGTCGTAGAGGTTAGGAAGCAGATCCTTCTAGCCGTACGACGGCCAAATCACAAGTCGCTACTAGACAAGGACATTTTGATTATCGTAAGTTTCTCTACCCAAGCTAAGCCCACGCTGCTCTGATTCAATATTAACCACATTGTAGTCGGGTAATAAGCCGTCATCCGCAGTGGCCGATTTCACAAAATCTCTATCAAGTTATTTGAAGCAGACAGCCGGTGCAGCTCAAGTCAACAACGTTTCCATTGCCGATTTGGATCAAGCCTCTGTCTCTTCAAAGATGATCTGCATATCTCTTCTCGAAATAGAGCGCGAGTTTCTGGCTACCATGAGCCCGGAAGACATGAATCGGCTCCGTACGTGTACGGATATAGCCACGAATTTGTTGTGGTTCACTGGCGCCGGCATGTTAACTACCCCGGATCCTAATTTGACGCTCTCGAATGGTCTCTCTCGAGCTCTTATGCTTGAGCAACCATCGCTGCGCTTCACCATATACGATGTTGGACCCGTGGGCGTCTTGGACAACACATCGACTTTTGCGTACATGGACAGAATCCTGGCCGTATATGAGGATGTTGATGACAAGGAGTTCATCCAAGTTGATGGCCTTCTTTACACCAGCCGCTTTGGACCAGATTTCGGAGTAAATACCGAATTCAGGAGACGAATCGGAGAGCAAGAACCCATCGAAAAGGAACCCCTTTCCACAGTTGGACCGGCAAAACTCAGTATAGATAAACCTGGGGTCACCGACTCATTGCACTTTCAACAAATCCGGGAAGTAGCCACGACACCTCCAACAGGATTCATCGATGTCGCTATCAAAGCTGTCAGTCTCAACGCCAAGGATATTTACACCATGAGCGGGCACGTAGAGACAAAGACAGGAACTAGCTCTCTAGAATTTTGTGGAGTTGTGACGGCAGTGGGACCAAAAGTTGAAAACGTTGGGCTCGGCGATCGGGTTGTGGTTATGGCGCCAAACTATTTCGGAACGACAGAGAGAGTACCGGCCTGGGCTGCGCATAAAATGCTACCAGGAGAAGAGCATAGTGTTCTTTGCACGATACCCATGGCTTACTCTACCGCCATTTATGCGATGCTTGATCGGGGTCATTTGAGAGCTGGAGAATCCGTTCTCATCCATGCAGGTGCTGGTGCAGTTGGTACTGCGGCCATCAGTTTGGCCATGCGAATAGGTGCAACTGTCTATACCACTACCAGTTCCAAAGTCAAACGAGACTACCTCATCAATGAGTTAGGTGTACCGGACGCAAACATCTTCAACTCGCGTGATGCCTCTTTTGTAGACGGCATCAGGTCAGCTACAAACGGTCGAGGCGTAGATTTAATAGTCAACTCACTCATTGGAGATCTGATGCATGCAAGTTGGGACTGCCTGGCAAATTTTGGCCGTTTTATTGAGATAGGAAAACGTGAACTTGTTGACGCTGGCAAACTCGAGAGTAAGCATGATCCAACCCAGCTTCGATGAAAAGAAGCCATAGCTGACCTTCGCCCCTAAAGTGCACATGTTCTTGAAAAACACAACCTTTACGGCCTTTGACTTGACTGAGCTATATTATCATGAAGATCAGTTCTATCGGGATATCTGGATTGAGTAAGTTTCATTATAAGGCCACCCGAATATTGAGACTCTGGCTAACATATCAATAGGAAAACCAAACAAGCGCTCGAATTATACCGCTCTGGCAATGCCATACCGGGTCCTATCACCAAATTCGATATTTCAGAAACCGCGCAGGCCTTCCGCTATTTCTCAGTACGAGACAGGATCGGAAAAGTGGTTGTGTCACTTGAAAATGACGAGAGTAGGGTTTCGGTAAGTTTCGACATCTGTCTATAAAGAGAGCAGATCTAACAAGTGAAAAGGTTGCGCCTTCGAAATATCTCACGGTTCTCGACCCCGAAAAGGTTTATCTCCTTATTGGTTGTCTCGGAGGTCTGGGTCGTAGTTTGAGCCGCTGGATGATGGCTCGAGGCGCACGACACTTTGTGTTTGTCGGGAGGTCAGGCTGCGACAAGCCCAGCGCACGAGAGCTCGTCTCTCGCCTGGAAGCCGAAGGAGCACACGTTACAGTGACCAGAGGAGATGTCGCTCAAGCTGCGGATATTGTAGCGTCCGTGGAAGCCTGCAAAGCCACCGGAAAGCCTATCGGAGGTGTTGTACAGGCGGCCATGGGTCTTCAAGAAGCTCTCTTCACCCGCATGAGCCATGAAGGTTGGCATACAAGCATCCAGCCTAAATGGGCAGGGACATGGAATTTGCACAACGCGCTCGAGGGCAACGACGAAGCACTTGACTTTTTCCTTTTGACGTCTTCGGTCTCTGGTAGTGTCGCGACTGCGACAGAGAGCAATTATTGTTCGGCAAATGGATTTCTCGATGCTTTTGCTCGATGGCGCCGCACCCAGGGCAAGAAAGCTATTTCGATTGGTCTCGGCATGATTTCTGAAGTCGGTTATCTCCACGAAAACCCGGAGATAGAAGCTCTTCTCTTGAGAAAAGGTATCCAGCCCTTGAAAGAAGAGGAATTCTTGCAGGTCATCGATCTTTCCCTCAGCGCAACAGGTGGCGATACGAAAGCTACCGATGGGCGAGGATCGAAGATAGACTATGCACACATGCTGACCGGACTGGAACCACTTGGGCTTCGTAGTCTCATGGACCAAGGTTTCGATGTCACGACGATCGGCAACATGCAAGATCCCCGCTCTGCGGTTCTGTCTGCAGCATTACTGGGCAACGCAGAATCCGGTGATGCGGGTAATGCTTCCCAGGCAGGTCTAGCAAATGCACCCTCGTGGTTGAAAGAGATTTCTGCAGCTGCAGTCAAGACTCTTGTTTCGGAAACAGATGCTCTTTCGCTCATAGAGGCCGTCCTGAGAGTTATGCGCAAACGTTTCTCCAGTGCAATTCTCATGCCAGTGGACCAGATAGACAATGCAAAGCCTTTAGCGCAGTTTGGTATGGACAGTATGATTGCGGCGGAGTTTCGCACTTGGATCTGGGGTGCTTTTAAAGTCGACATTCCTTTCCTTGATCTTCTCAGTAACCAGAAATCTCTTGGAAGTCTGGCCGAATTTGCTACTGAGAAGTTAGTAGAGAAGTAGATAGCGTGGTAGTTTTAAATTCTGGTTGCTGCTTAAATAGACAATCATTTTGTAGTAAATCACTCTGAGTGGGGCTTCCATTTCCGTATTTTACCTATGTTTATACATCTTAGTAAGATTGATTCTCCAGTACCCACATGAGGGGAAATCTCTATCGAATCATACCTGAGTAGACTTGAAAATGGATGTTTAAGTATTTTGTTGCATGTCGCGTGCCCTAGAGCATGCTCTAGGGGAAAATCCTAGAGCATGCTCTAGGGGTTTCCTACAGCCGCGCGAGCTCTGAGGCATGCGATGTGCAGCAGACCTATTTAGGAAGGAGGAGTTGAAGTGAGCCTATAACAAGTAGTGTCGGGATATGCGGTCACATGACACTAGCATCAATGACTAAGCGATGCGGAGGCATAACCTCTTCGCCTTGTCATCTACACTTAGCTAAGACAACACGAATGCAATATAGGATTGAGTCAGTAGCTACTAGCTAGTGGTTGAACCACTGCTTGATACGGTACGATACCTGTGATACCAACAAGCAGGCTATATTCTCAATATCCTCCTACTTCTGAGTGTTCCTAGACTATAAAGGTGTAGCGATGACACTTGCCCCATTCTCTACGCCAATCTAGCTAGTCTTTCCATTAATGAGTTGAAAGGTTTATACTGAATCTTCTCCTTTACTGCTTTTCATTCTCATAGATCTGTGTTTTGAGCGGGAGGGTGCAGCGGGGAGAGGAGGGGGGGTGGTGGTGGGGTGTGATTTGGAGGAGATCAGTCGTTCAATCAGAAGCAACTATTTCGTTGCTCTATCAAGGCAAGGTTTGGAAAATTTGTACTGATATTCCTCTATATGCATCTTATTGGCTCCAGTTCTGGCCTCCAAATTCGACCCTACAGCCAGCCACAGCCAGTATCGTGTATAGTGCATGAGGTGTGCAGCTCTAGTTGCATTATGTGCGGCATGACCATGGGTATGTATGACTATCCAATCAGAAATGCAGAATGAGCAGTTTGTCAGTATGATCTTTTTGAGAATTCTACTTTAATCAGATCGTATTCAACGAAAGGTTGTTGGCCTCCAAATTGCAAATTGGGAAGTCAAATTTTCTGCAGGTAGCCAGGCTGGGGCGGAGACTGGGGGCGGGGTAACACAGCCTGCAAAGGCTCAAACTTCAAATATCCAATCACAAGAGGCTAAACAAATTCCTCACCCAAGTTATATGTTGAGAATTGGCCTCGCTCGATGAGATTTCGCTTGTGGATTCGGTACGGCATGGCCTCCAAATTCATGGCCTCCAAATTCATACAGTGTGGGAATAACCTCGCCCGTAGTTCTAGGCTTCAGTCCCCCCAGAAGCCTGCAGCCAAGCTTTGCCAAAATAACCCCAAAATATGCTTTATATGAGGTATAGTCAGCATATATTCTGCTTCTCGTCGTATTGTATATCAGAATTTGAGTAATATTCGATACGTTTGGGAAATATTTTGACTGTCCAATAAGAAGACGGCATCCAAGTCTCCCGTGTAGGTGTAATTGTCGAAAATTTTACTCTGGGAAAGCAATCTTCAGACCTATATGGCCTCCAAAACCGTACCACAAATTGGCTCACACACATGAGGCAATGCAAAAAGGCCTAGAAGTCTTGGCAAATGCCCACAGCGTCTGCAAGGCGCATATAGCCAATGGAAAGCTGCCAAATATCGCAAAGGAAGTGCGGCTTTTTGGAAATTCGACTCCATCGCCTGGCAATCTACGAGGCTGGCCTCCAAGTTTGCGTAATCTTGGCTTGGCACTCGGGTAGTTTTTGCCGTTCCACGCTTTGCATATATGCGTGCAATGGTTATTGCAACCAATTGAACGAGACTATATGCTACGTCTCACAGGTCAATTGTCAGGAAATCCAACTACAAATCCACTATCATGACGATCAAATGTTCAATTTAATGTTCAGTTTTTGGCCTCCAAATAAGACCCACAGTAGCTCAGATTGGTCCTTGCAACCAATTAAACGAGACTATATGCTACGTCTTATAGGTTAATTATTAGGAAATCCAACTCTTAAGTTACAGGCGGACGCATATACTGTCGCCAAGCTTGGCCTCCAAACAAGAACTATAGTACTCGAGTAGCTTAGATTGGTCCTTGCAAGTTGCAACCAATTAAACGAGACTATATGCTACGTCTTATAGGTTAATTATTAGGAAATCCAACTCTTAAGTTACAGGCGGACACATATACTATCGCCAAGCTTGGCCTCCAAACAAGACCTACAGTAGCTCAGATTAGTCCTTGCCGCTAATCAGAAACGACAGAATAAATCTACTACTCGTATAAGGTCAATTTTTAGAAATTCAATTCCATTTCTCCTCTCAGCTGCCTCATTTTATGGACCGCAAAACGCACGCCGGGATGTCTCTTCTGGCTCGCCACTCTTCTGTCAAAGAAAATATGCCCAGTCCATAAAGTCACAGCAATACTATCACGGTCTTATTTGGCAACTTTTATTCTTGGTGTATAACCTTGACCGCTGTATGGTCAGTTTCTTGCGTCCAACCACAAACGCTTGGCAATCATCCAGGGTACACCCAGCCTCCTCGGGCTTTCGTTGTGCCTCGGTATCCTTAGATACCTTTCGATCTTACCTGTTTCAAGATTCAACTGCTGATGTCGTATTATCACGATGATAGTCGCAATTATGTAAGCCGACCGGCCTGCGAATATAGTACATCAAGATTTCAGTTATTGTCTTGACCTGAGGCATTCCCCGCCAGGCTGGGTTTTGTTTCACTGTATCATCAGAATAATGGAAGCTTTGTCGATGCTGTAATGTACTTACTGCTGTTGCTGGTGCCGTTCGAGAAGATCAGGGCGAAAAAACTCTCGGCCACAACCATCCCAAAGACAAGGATATTCCGGATTCCCATGACTGAGTCTATGTCGTCTAGTCCAATGTTAGATCTAGTAATTCAAAATGTCCCCAAAAGAAAGACGAGATACCTCAGACCCTCCGCGCGAGTATAAATCTAGGATTTAATCAGCTTTAGTGACCCTTGGAGGCGTGGTGATATTAACCTTTGCACACAGGTCGCAGTTGTGCACCTTCTGTCCCTTCTTCGCCTTGCTAACACGGCGTCTAGTCGATGCCAACTCTTGGTGACCATGATTGGAGAGGTTTTTTGGGACCTCATAACGTGGAGGAGGTGGCGGAGGTGGCGGAGGCGGAGGTGCCAATGTCAGTGCTGGAGCTGGAGGCACAACGAGTGGTGGTTCCGGTGATTTTCTGGGATCGAAAGCTGGAGGTGCTTCTTCCTCTGGTGAGGGATGATACCTCCGATTGTGTTTTAAGAGTGCGGCTTTTTTTGCGAAGCCTCTAGCAAATAATTCACAGTTCGGATCGGCACAGCGTAGAGGCTTTGTATGATTCTTCTCATGACTGTCACGATCTTCAAACGTTTTGAAGCCGTCTGAGTAACGAGGGCATTCTCGATAACGACAAATGAACGCCGAATCTAGATATGTCTGCTTGAACATATGCAACTCTTGAGGGTGAATACCTTCAGGGGGGGTGTTCACAGGGCAGTCCATAAGGGTCCGCACGATATTTTGGTAGCGTTGACTAATATCGCTAAAATGCGTAGGATCGTGCTGGAGCTCCTCGTCCTTCAAGTCTGTCGAAATTTTAGAGCCAAATTAACAGATATCAGGTTTTAAAGACTTGCCTGCCGGTGCTTGGTGACTTGAACTTTCTTGCGACAAGAATTTTTGGAATGTTAAGATGTCTAGACCCATACATTGAGCCACTGGGTTCGAAGCTAGAGCTTCCAGCCGGGAATTGATCTTGTCGACCGAAGTCGTGTCGTCTAACTTCAAGTTTCTAGCACCGATGCCAGGTTCCTCCTTCCAGAACTCTCGAATTTCTTCCAACGGCTCGTCTAGTTCTTCGTCTTCAACAACGTCTCCGGATTTGGCGTACTGAAGAAGATGTTGAAACCAAAACTCATTGGCATAATGATGCAAGCCATGAAAGCCTTTAAGAACTCTGAATTCAAGCACTTGGTTCGAAACTGCAGAATCAATGAAGCAGTAACTCGAGTTCATGTAATTCAAGCATGAAAAGGCAAGTCCATAATGTGCTTCAGAAAAATCCAAAAAGGGCCCACTTGTCTCGTGAAGAACATACCTTCATAGCCCAACGATATTAGTATATTCTCCGCGTGCAGTTGAAGCAAGACCCACTCTTTAGCTGAATAATGAACGAAGTCTATGGTATTCTTCGGGCCTTTCTCGATGAGAGGCCTGCAGTGTTCCCAAAAGCTATCCACCAGCTTTGTCTGCTCGTTGAGCATGGCGCCGCCAATCTGAAGTACAACACCGTCTTTGATCTCGTGGACCTTCATGATCCGAAATGAGCAAGCAATCCACTGTAGTATTCGAATAGATTTATCTGAGCTACGAGAACGGAGATCATCAAGGATCCGTTTATATCTGGATTTAGTGTCAGGAGAGGGCGAGAAATATAGGGGCTCAAAAAAGGATATTCTCACGCTTTGTCAAGACCCTCTGGGAGAGTCTTAACGGATTCTACAAGCTCCTGTGGGCTATGGCACTCCTCTAGACTTTGCATGATCAAACGTACCCAGAGGAACATGCCTGCAGATGCGTCAGTGAGGGGTGCATATCGAAACGACTATACTCACCATCGGCCTTGGCCACGATTTGCCTTTCAATTCGGTCAATCAGATCGTTACCAAAATCACCCCGAAAGCTATCGAGTTCTGCATGTACGTATAGCCCAATATCTTTCTTGAGGTCAACGTTTTCGTCCCTGAGAGATATAGTAGGCTTGCCATTCAGCCTTCTGTTGATATTTTCACTCTCCCTATTAGAAAATAATATCCTGCATTGGCCACCAGGTAGTTTAGACAGCGATAGCAACTCATTCAGAATTGTTCTCTGGTCAGAAAGAGGGTACTCGTCCAAACCATCAACAATAATTCGTATAGAGGGAATTGCTTGGACAAGCTTTTCCAGCAATCCTTTTACGCGGGCTGCGCTCGGAGCCAGACCTTTGTTGGCATAATTCTCAAATATATAAGGGGCAAGGTCGCGATCAGCCCTCAAAAGTTGAACTATCACACCCCGCATAAGTTCTCCAAGAAGATGCTTTCCTGTTGTATAACTGTTGCATATATGGTAAACAGTCGTGAACCTGCCTTCTTCTTTCATTTGGCGGATAATATGGGTGCTTAAGATAGTTTTCCCTGTGTAATAATTAGTAGATCTCACAGTGCGAAATATGTAGCCGTACCCGCTCCTGGGATCCCTTTCACCCAAAGAATAGCATCGCTATGTGCATCATTTTTCCAAGATTGAAAGATTGGGTTTCTGAAAACCCATTCACAGGTTCCTTCTTGCCTCTTTTCTGCTAACTGATCGAGCTCGTCATCATGTTCTTCATCTGGGATCTTGAGCCAGGAAATCGAATCGTGGAGGTAATAGTTCTGGGTTCTTTTCTCTTGCTGTTCTAGTTCCTGATGAAATTTGATCCTCAACTCACGTGCCTCTACTACATCGATAGCCACAACTTCTCTCATGACAAGATCACGATGGCGAGCGAAATCCTTGAGGATACTGTTGAATCGATATTCAAATGACTTCCACATAGAATCGAAGAATAGGTGAAATGCTAAGGGTGTCGTCATGTTAAAAAATTTATTGCATCTTTCGGGAAGAGTACTAACATCTTCTTCCAAAGAACTTGTACGCTCTGCGATGGAAATCGAGAATATCTGAGTAAACAAGGCCGAGTACAACTTGGAAGTTCGGGTCATAACTGAAGGCCGTCTGGAGCCGACCAAACTGGGGCATAACTTCGGCGATTTGACGGTACGCATCAAGCAGCTTATCAAATATGCTTGTGTATTGATCTGCGAGCTGTCACTCACGCCTGTCAGGTGATATAATGATATCTGGTCACGTGGATATCTCACTTGAAGCATCAACTTCACTGGAGCCTGCTTCTATATAAGCGTCGTAAAATAAGACTAGAGATAGCTATACTCACCCAAATCCAGGGCATATATGGCGTGCCATTACATGATACCTCGATCACTTTGGAATAGTTTTGCAAACCCTTGAGGAAAGGGGCAATGCGTCGCATGTTGCGGAGATTGCCTCTGGCCTCGTGAGCTTTTTCGATTTCCTCAGCCGCTTTCCAAACATCTTCGAAAGAGGTCGACTGAAAGGCATTCGCATCTGCAGAGGTGACAGAGTCCTTCAGCTTCCGATAGGCAGTTTCAAAGATCGAGTTCGGGGTGGCGGTTGGAACTGTCGCCATGTTGCCGTGGAATCTCAAGTGGGAAGGGTGAGCCATATGGTGAGCATTGAATCAATACAAATGAGTACTCGGTCAGAGCTACACGCTTCTGAAGCACATACATATCCATACTAATAGGCTTTTGGTGATGAGAAGGCTGGCGAAGTGGAACACCTACCCAGCCTTGCCTGCATGCACTGCGGGAGACTAAGCCCCTTTAGTAACAAGCGCAATTGTTGGAGGTCAAATGTCATGGCATGGGTACTCTGTATTGGGGGGAAAAAAGGCGCATATGATTGCATTATAGCTATCTACTTTATTGAGTCTTGCTTGCTCGCTATAGAAGAAGTTGGTCTGCAATCAACTTCTATTCGCACAACAGTCACGTGCTTAGATGTCGGAATAGGATACGTTGGAATATGTAGTGTCTATCAGTATTGTAGAAGGGTGAAGTGTCAACTACGCTACAAAATCGGGTTTTGACTGCCTGCTGACCAATCCAATATAAAGTCCAACAGGTTACAAAGATGTTGGAGACATAGCTTGACGCTGGCATAAGAAGCAATTGCATAAATATTAGGATGTGTAGAATGAAGAATAAATCTAAATGAAAAGTTCAATGGTCGGTTTTTATAAAGGTAAGCAGCTAATAAGTCCAACAAACGAACAGTCTTCGAATACTAATAAAGAAACAGGAACACTCCCTTACTCATGGCCTCAATTCGCCCAATATAGCAATCTCGCCTAAGACAATCTATCTCGCATTTCCTGATTGAAGGTTAAATCAGCCAGCTTGTTCGTGTGGTAAGAGCTTACCATGAGTCTTTGTCTACTATCCATAGAATAGTCACGCACGTCAGGGCCAAAGGCCTCTACTGCCATCCCATCTTTAAGGTCTTGTGTCGCTACTACTTTCTAGTTCATTGTCAGGTTCTGTTTCCCATCGATACCAGCTCGGGGTATACAAACCTGTTCGAATGAGTTCTCGATCCTATACCGGATAGTTTTGACCGCTTTCCGCTGTCCCAAGCGATGAATTCTACACAGAGCTTGCTCTTCCATCATGGGATTCCATTGGGGCTCGATGAGGTAGGCAATCGATGCAGCAGTGAGATCGAGTCTGCAGCCCTAATTAGTACATTGGAGACCGGGCTCGAGGGAAAAGGGCTGGGATCCATACCCAGCACCACCACAAGTAATAGAGACTAGAATTACTTGAATTAATTCGTCTGTTTGGAATTTCTGAATTGCTTCTTCTCGCTTTGCACCTGAATGTCGACCATCTATACGAGTATAAGATATCGACTTTGTTCGGAGAAGAGATTCGATGAGGTTGAGAGTAAACGTCCAGTACGAGAAGACGACACTAGAAAGCCGTTAGCATCTTGCTTGCAAGCCTTTTCCTCCTAAATACCTTTTTTCTTCATTAGGAGAACTCTGAAGATCTTTCACTAGAGTTTGAAGCTTCGTAGAAACAAGTTCGGGTTGGACAGCTAGCAGCGAACCCTCAATCCCTGGTGTTGAAATACTGTCTAAATTCCAAGAGACCTCGAAACTCTTACATGGCGAGGAGTGCGAGCATGTCGATGCTTTCTTTGATCTCGAAGAGCTTTTGAAACAGAAACCGCATATGAGTGTTAAACACTTAGTAAGATGAGGTTTGGGAACCTGGGCATTCTGCCCTCCACCGGCGCCATCTCTGAGTAGCTCCCAGCAAACAGAACATTGCGCTTCGCCAGCACAGACCATGGTCTCAAAGGCCTTATTTGCTGATCCTTTGGTCCATACTTGTATGTTTTCTGGACTGGGTTCCGATGGCTTGACAACAGGTCGTTTCGAATGGGCTAGTCCGTGGTTACACAGAAGTCGCAATTCATTAAGCCATTGCAACGCATTGAGATATTGGCCAGGATGCAGAGGGTTGGAAGATAGAGCGGTATCTAATTTTGTGATTGTACTTTCTTTCACTTTGTTATACAGCTCTTGTTCTTCGGGATTGAACTTGAGATTGCGAATGATATCTTGGCGCGGTGGTAAATCAACGACGCCTTTCGATCGGCAAAGGGAAATGGAGTTTACCAATTTCTTTAGTCTCGTGCGATCCTCGAATTTTACCCAAGGTTTGATAACTTCTTTGTCGAATATTTTGGGGTTCGAGAATGGAGATATTTGCAGAAATTCAAGCAAGCTACCGAAATCGCTAAAACGGTTCTGGATGGGAGTTCCAGTAATAGCCCACCGACTAGTTGCTTTAATCGCACAGCATGCTCGTGCTATTGCAGTAGCTCTATTTCTAATTGTATGGGCTAAATGATTAGCGAATTTTTTGATCGAGGGAGAGAATAAACCTGCCTTCGTCCAAGACAATCCGGTGCCAAAAGTACGAGAAGAGTGTATCTTTGATATGACTTGAATCCAAATGCTTCTTCTGCTCGCCAGCTAGTGTTTCAAACGTGGTAATGACAATGTCGAACTGGCCGAGAGACAATATTTTGCGCTTTTGAGATCCGTGATACCGCGTCCACGTTAAAGTATTCGGTTGTAAATGCCTATGACGATCAGCATCTGCAATCAGTTCGCTACAAGCATGAATCGGCTGTGTCTCACCGCTTCAATTGTGTATCCCATGTTTCGAGGACTTCATTGCAATATTAGCGTCAAGAAAGCTGGGAAGGGAGTTCGTTACCTACGAGAGTAAGGCACCACCATAAGCGTAGATTTGAGACGTCGAAGGGGTCCTTGCTCAGTGTGGATTAAACCTTTCACATTACACCTAATGAGGGCAATGAGAGATATCATTGTTAAAGACTTCCCCAGGCCCATTTGATCCGCAAGTAACCCCCCTCTAGAATCTAGCGGCTCGTGACTTTGAGACATCTCAGTAATCGTATTCGTGTACCTATAGTGGTCAGTATGTATCAGAATAGACCTTTGGTTATTTCCCACTATACTCACTTTACCTGGCCAAACTCATCGATCTCTTTCACCCAGAGGTCATCATCTCGTGAGTCATCATACTGCCAACCACCTTCGCGCTTCACCATAAAAGTCAACGCTTTTTTCTGGTGCCTGTTTCAATCAACACTCTGAAATACTCTATAGCAAAAGGAGCACTTCTTACATATATAAAGATGTAACGATGGCATCTGGGGCTTCTGTCACTTCAAGGTGATCATCAACATTACTTGTCAATGCAGAAAATTTATCAGAGGTATCCACTTTGGCGACTTCCGTGGGGAAGTTATTATCTTGTAGAGTAAATGTCATAACGAGTTCCTTGGCTCTGCAAAGCACTTGCGGATTCTGGTACGGGACGTCTCTGTCACACAGTAGCGGTGATTGTAAACATATACCACACTTTGTCAAGTACTCCCCAACCGGATCACATAGTTCTTCTGGCCCGTATATGATGGCGTTCATCACATATTGTAGCTCGTTGGCTCCAGGTTTTCGGGTTCCTTTTTTAATGATACTTGCTCTCTTATTAGTTGCCTTGCAGTAGATCTGGAACTTGATATCTTGTTCCATGTCAATATTAGAAATAATTTCAGCAACACGGTCGTTCAATTCACCAAATGCCGAGTTTCTACCAATCTCATGCAGCTGATTTGGTCTTACAAAATCCAACGGGATCATGGAAGCGTCCATGATCACATACCCGAGCAGGATGCTGCTATCGGAATATCTGTGATCTAAAGAACTTAGTATCAACAGACTAAAAGAGTTTTCAGTTTAATTTACCATGCCAAAGCAGAGCTCCCTTTTCAGGGACCTGGGGTTTGGCGTCGTCTCTTTGCCAAAAACCTCTCCATAACCGCTACTGGTGGTCGAGGGGCCAAGATCGAATAGATTGTTCGCTGAATCATTAAGACCCCCGAGTCCGCAGCCTTGTTGCTGCCAGTCAGTGGAGCTGGAAGCCTCTGAATATTCCGTGTAGATATCTTGACAGAATTCTGAACTGAGCAGCGGGGTTTCAAAAGGTAATACGGCACTAGTGTCCTGCTCGTTCTGAGAAGTAGTTGTCCAGGTTTCTTCAAAGGCAATTTGTTCAAAATTGGTGTTTAGATAGCTCACGAACTTGGGTTGCGTAAATGATGCTTCCTCTGTTGAATACTGGTTTTGTCCATCGAGGCACTGTCGCTTGGAGGCCGGGTATTCGTGCTCGTGCCCCTGATGCTGGTAGAACCTGTCATTCATGGCTTTAGAATATTGTGGTATTAACTGAAACTAGGCTTTCAATAATAATTCTCCCACGCATGTTGATTTCAGCTTAGGAGGTTTTGGCCGCGGTCGTAATTTAATTGCGTTGAAGGTAATAAAACAAATAAAATGAAAATCTACTCGCGCATGGTGCATTCTGTATGTCACCTTACAATGCTCAGCCTCAATAATTCGGGCGTTGAAATGTCTTTGTGGAAGGTTGCGTTGATGCAGCTCGTGGATGCAGGCATTGCAGGAAGCCCAGCTGGCAAAGCCCTGGCCCCGGGCGCTGCGCCACCAGAGCAGAGCGCCTTGCCACATGACTCAACTTCACTGGTATCAAGAAGGAAATAGATGTTCCTTCTCAATATATATATCACCGCTCCGAAAAGTATTCAGAAGAATAAGACGGCACTTCACTTATAACTGAATTCGAAGGGTGCCATTTCCGCTTGACCCAGGTACCTTAAGCAACACAAGTCTCCCCCCGAACGATTGGTGGGGTTACACTGAAGCCTAGTTTATTTAGCCAGAGTATGCTGAAATCAACCCCCTGTGGAGCCTAACGAGCCTTATACTTGTACTTGCATTATCAGTTTATATACCACAATTCAGGCTTTCTATTAGGCGATCCAGGTTTTATTAAAAAGAGCAACATCTGGTGGGAAATTATGATGCCCACCACTGAAGGATCCATATACTGTAGCTTTGGTTGCCCCGAGGGCTACTAGACGTGTAGTTGTCTCATACTTAGGTATTGTATGGAATCGTATGAGAATGGACTATTTGATCTAAATACACCTCCCTTCCTAGGTAGGTATAAGAAGTGTTGTCAACGCTCCCTAAAGCTTACTGTATCCTTATATACGCCGCCGATATAAATACCGGCCTTGTGCTGTCTTGTAGAATCTCCTGACGACCTCCAGACATTTCCAAAGTCGAGAAGCTAAATTCAACCTTCAATGACACAGTCCCACAGCACAATACTAAGCCTCGACATGTCTGAAATATTTGATGTTCCTACATGCCTAGCAAAAATGAGGCACCCACCCCCCTCTCCTAACTACCTCCCATCAACGGAAATCCAAAAAATTTCACGTTACTCAGGAATCGATTATTGAGAACGAGGTCAGTGAAAAGGCAAGGTATGGGCCAATACAGTCTGCAAATACCCCGAGAACGAGGGGACGAAGTTATTGTGGTGGGGTTGTTTCTTGAAAGCCCCGCAAGTTGTGCGATTTGTTGTTGGTGTGTACCTTATTGTGCCCAAACAAGTGCCAACCTTCTAATAACTACGAAACATTGGAGAGAAATAAATCAACAACGCTAATTCCAGCAAGCAATTTAGTTTATAGAGCTGCAAGCCTCGTGTTTCTTATACCGGCACCGATTTTCATGCGCCCAGTCAACCCATTACGTGAATCTAACTTGTAGACAGGGCTCTTTACGAGTACACTACCCCTAATTCTCTAGCGAGATTTACCCACACTAAAGTTAGCAATGCAGTCCCAGTCACTCTTTCTCGGAACTCTTGACAGCAACAAGAAACTTGACAGTAAAACATCACTTAACAATAACACCCTACGTATATGACTTAAATATACCCAAGCAACCCCACCCCTCGCCTGAACTTTCAGCATCCCCTGCAAAAGCTTATGAAAACTGCATCATAACCGAGGTAGGTACTTGCGCGTAACACCTTAAAACTAGCGCAACTTTGGGATTTCTGATATCCATATATCTACAGATTGAATCAAAAAACGAAGCTCTATCTATGATATATATAAACGAATGGCAGCCGAAGGCGTCAGGGTAAAAGTAGTGGCAATCAAGAACTAGGCGCTCGATATGTAGTGAATATCAGATCAAACACCACAAATCCTCTCTACCCCCATTCAACCCCGAAATGCGTATATATACCCCCCATTGCTCGAACTTCATCCTCTCACATCCAATACGAAATAAAAGTTTCCAAATAATACACCAGCAGCATGAAAAGCTATCGCGTTCTAACATGCCCACGAACGCTTTAAGAGAAGACGGAGAAGCGTTTCCTGTTCGTACACTCAACAAGCCACTCGTGGGAGTTGGCCGCTCGTGGGAGCATACATTCAGTCGCTCGTGGGAGCTCGACTTTCAAAGCTCGTGGGAGCAAGGATTCCAAAACATCAGCTTACGATCGATCTCAGCAGTTCGCAAATCCATCCATCCCGTTGAACAACCAATCAACACAGGCCCTAGATCCAAAGTCTAAGAATACTCACTTTTTCAGCACTTTCAGCAAACGACCGTATGGGAAAGTTAACGGCAGAATGGTCTTTAACAACAAACATTCGCACCATCTCCTCAAGTCACAAATGTCCTTTAGCTCACCGCAGCACCTTTAATTCGCTTCCAGAAATGTGATTCATATAGCAAATAAACTTAAAGAAACGAAGCACGATACTGCTCACACACAACATGGTCCAATAACCCCGAGCTACTCGAACCGACAAATTTCGTATCTAGTGGCCTTCCAAGACTCTCCGAAAACCAGTTTATATACCCCGAGTATACGGCAGACAAAGCTGTAAATACCTACCCTTCCCCCACCTCGTTCACTCACTCACTACCTCAATCTACACTCATGTACAAATTCAAAATATGTATATCTACCCCTCCTTTACTCTCCTCTCCTCTTCCCACCTTTACAAATCCCAAGAAGAGACAGAGATCAAGTCATCCCAGAATGTTGTGTCCGCGCGGACACTTATGCGCCGATTGATCTCAACAGCTCCATATGTACATACGACGGTACAGCATAACCTTCCCCATGCATCTAGAAGTTTACTCTATCCGATACTGGAAAACGAAAATGAAAAGAACTGAATTAGAACAGAATGAATGAATGAATGAATGATAAAGATGACAGCAAATGTGTGATGACTTTCTTTGACAGTAAGTTCACAGCGGGCTTTCACTTGAGAAACGAGGTAAGATTTGAGAGAACAGGTGAATGAGTGAGTGGTGCGCGAGCTGAATAGTTTGCACTTGTCTTGGTGGCAGAACGTGATTTCTTCATATGACAGAAGATCAGTAAGTTGCAGTTCAGTAATTGGGACCAGTGGGCAGGCAGGAATATATAGGCACTTGCAACTCTTCCGAAATCTTGCAACTGGATAAGAGCACGTGCTGCATGTATGGAGTCGAAGGCCAAAACGATGTATCTGAAACTTGAAACTTGCTCTTCGATGTTCTGTAGCTTGGTATTTTATCCCATCCCATCCCAGTACCCAACGCCCTAAAGTAACCTACCCACCAGCCCTAATTACAAACCCAACCAGAAATATATACTCCGTAACATAACTCACCCCTCCTTCCCAATAGGCTTGATCCTCCTCCCTCGACTACTAGTAGTCCCATCCCCCGTCGGTACACGACTCATACTCACGCCTCCCATATGCATCTCACTTGTATCTCGGCTCCGCTGCTTGTCCATCATCTCCCCACCACCCTCCATATCGTCATGATCGTGCCTCGCAACAGCATCGGCTTTAAGCCAATATTTATACGTCCTAGGCTCCGTCACATTCTGCAGCAGCTCGTGCCCCCCACCATCGATATCGAGATTGCTGCCCAGGCCTTTCGCATCATTGTAAGCGCGCGCTCGTCTTATCATATCGAGTTCAGCTGCTGCGTCATCGGCACTCAGTGCCGCGGGTGCATTAGAAGCTTCACCTTTCCCGAGCACTTTTTGTGTGGTTATAGCGAGGATGTTAGGCATCTTGGGGATCTGGCGGGTTATGGCTTGGAAGTTGCCGGGGAAGTTGAGGTCGTCTAGAGCGTCGATACCAAGGCCTGTACTGTAATTTGGGAGTGCAGCTCCGCGTGTACTTCGAGTGGCATGTGAGTACTGCCGTTCCATGGACGTGCCACCAGGGAGAGAGTCGTCATCTTCGTTATCTGGGTCCAGCGCGCCGTGCTCGGAGCTGTCTTCGGATTTGCCATTGGGTGGGGAGTCTGTGACATCAGAGAATGGGGGGTGTCGTTGCATGTGTGTGTGTGCGGCGAGAGCGGCGACGTTGTAGGTCATTGCTAGCTCTTTGTCGGTGAAGAGCTTGTCGATGCTGTAGAGGGGCGAGTCGACTTGTTGGGTTGTGAGGTTTTGCTTCTCGGCGAACCAAAGAGGGGTACTGCTGCCGTTATCCATTCGCGGCCGTGTCGGAGCTGGAGATTCGTCACTCTCTACAGCTTTGCGCTTTCGCTTGCTGCCCTCGCTGAAGGTTGGTAGTTCGTCTGCCTCTCGGCGATGTCTTGTAGCTCGCTTGCCGTGAATTCCACCTGGGCTGGCGGGATTCGCGATTCCGAATTGACTTGGATGTAACAGCAGCGCATTGCTCTCGCCAATTTCCATTGTTTCCTTATCTCTTGATAGTCGATTCTTCTTATTCGTGACGCTATTGATCAATCGATCGCGCAAGGTGGTGGAAAGGGCTTTGTGTTCGGAGGCGGCAAGCTTCAGTCTATAAGCATGCTCTGCTTTGAGCTCACTCAATTTAACATTGAAGTCTCTCTGCAGAAGTATTAGATCACTCAAAACAATAAAGAGGGGCATACACGTACGTCGTGTAAAGTCAAAGCAGTATCTCTCTCCTCCATAGCATCATTGACCTCCCTCGCAAAATCCATATAAACCTTGCCAGCTCTAGGAGGAGGATTCGGCCCAATCGACTTCATCATAGTCCTCTTTATGTTATCTTGAACTAAGCCTTCAATTTGATATGGCATGCTCGGGAGGGGACTATTGCCATGCGCGTCGGCGTCCATAATCAGGTTCATGTCGATTTGGAGGGCTTGGAGCTGCTCGCGGTAGTGTGCATCTCGATTCGAAGAGAACTGAGAGGTTATCTCGGCCAGGCGATCTGCGAGTAGAGTCCGCTTCTTGTCTCTTTTAGAGAGTTGTTGCTGAGGAGGGCTATTGGAGTGGTGTCGATCGACTCTGTGGGAGGCGCCCATAACTGGGGATAGTTGAGGTGATTGACTCATGGCCATGGTAGTTGCAGCTGAGCTGCCGTAAAGAAGGAGGAATTGTAAGTCTGCAGTTGTAAATTTGTAGATTGTAGACGTTTGTGGGATTCAAAAGCCGGATTTTCTTTCGGACTGAGCAATGTATTGTAGAGAGAGCGGTAAGCTAAGAACGGAGTAGCAAATATGCTATAGGTATAGGTCGTTCACCCGGACCGGAATTAGTTACATTCGAATGCAACTATAACGTGGCTGTTGTAGGTAGACTTTCAAGAATTGACAGGAGGTTATGGAAGAGAGATGATGGGATGGTCTTGATCCCTTCTCCAGCTTCGCAAGTTCGCACACATGATGCCTACCCTACCTAATCCCTGCACCTTCTGGGCTCGGTCCGTCTTTTTTCCGACTTCCGAGCCTTGTCACTTTCTGATTCCTCTGATTGGCTCCCGTTCGCTACCGAGGTATTTAGGGTTTATTACCCCTGAGTTGAGATAGAGCCTCAAAATGCAGTGCAACAAACCATACCATACCTCAGACTTGCTATTCAAGGACTGACTGATCGCCTTTCCGCTCCAGTCAGTAATCATCTAGCTTTATTCTCGGAAGCGTGTTTATATATACTTTGTATTCAACTCGGGACATATCACAATAGCCTGCAGGTGTTTCTACATCTATTTTATTCATCATTTGCAGACTCAATCCTCAAAGGCTATGGTTATTTATGTATGCTCGCCAGACTTCTTTTTGCCAAATGTCATTAACGCCCGCCGAACTTTGAAGGACCTCCCAAACACCATGCTCTAAAGTAAACCCCCGCAAACCCATTTTGCCCTCTATTTCCATTGCAATATGATCGTCGCTTAATAAACACCTCTTTAGTTTCCACCAGACCCGCTCGATACATTGCCCGTACCGAAGTCACCAAAGTCAGGAGGGACCTGCCATCCATGTGTTGCACAAGCACGGCGATAAGCATCAATTGCCTCATGGATCCCGTAGTCGCGCTGCTGCTGCTTACCCTGGCTTTCTAGACGCGCGGGTTTTGGTTCGAGGTTTGAGATTGCCATGCGCACCTGGAGAAGGACGCTCTCAATAGATGAGACGGCGCTCCAGCCAGAGTTAGTAAGCAGCTCCATACACATCGCACCACCGCCAGTAACATGACCACCCCCTCCGTTCATGAAGGGTAAGAATCGAGGCCGAATGACTCTTACGAACGGTGGAGAGTGGGGATAGTCCTTTCCGAACCGGATTTCAAGAACGACGCTAGTGATTCCGGCATTCTTCATGTCCTTCGCAATGGGTAGATTTGGCTCAAAAGAGTGCAGCTCCACAATCCACTGATAGACGTTGTTGATCAAATTGGCATCGATGTACCAGCCTAGCTCGTGAAGCGGAATCTTTTTCTGAACTTCCAGAACCTCCTTCAAATTCCTGTTCAAAGCTTTGGTAGCCATTGTTGTCGCATACGCCGGTGGCTCTAACATCGGAAGACTTGATTGATCAAGGGAACCTGGGACAAAATCGGTCTTGGGAGAAAGCTTTAATGTTGAACCTCTGAAAGATTGTTAACAAATCTGAGCCTGTATCCCCACTCTCGCCGAATAAGGCAAACTTACAACACAACCAGTTCCTCTTCCTTACCCTTGCCTCTCTCAATATTATCTTCTTCGTCAGATAAGAGAAATATCAAATCTTCCATCTCATCGGAATCACTCGCTGCAACTGTCGATAATTTCTCAACCGTAATAGAATGCTTGCGTCTCTTATTTTGTCGAGTATCATCCGTATTGTCAACGCGGAAACTCCGAGACGTTAAGATAGCACACTGTGGGACACCAATCGCCTTGTTGATGGTAGATCTCGCTGTAAATTTGGGATCTTGTGCGACTTCCAGGGAAGAACTAGTTTCACTGCCATATACATTAGCTGTGTATTATTGTAAGAGGCTAAAGTGGCACATACATAAAGCCCGGATCAGCTGGATTTTGAGCTGCTATATTCTGTGAATCCCTACCAGCGGCCCCTGAGACTTGAACCAGAAGATATCTGCATTGGATCCAGTCGATGTGCTGCACTACTAGATAAGGTGTAGAACTTATAAACTCCGAAGGACTGCTAAACCTATTAGTTGATGAAGAACCGAATTGGTCTTGGTAGCTAAAGAGGCTATAAACTGTGTTGGGAGCCGGGACCCCAAACGCGGTGGAATAGCTCACACAGTAGAACATGGCTTTTTACAGGGGAAATTGACTGACCAGTTCACTATCTCATTCAAACTCATTGCTGAATTTATTTTCAGGACAGATCCCTGCCAGGATGTCTATATACGTACATTAGTATCCAGCAAGTTTAGTCACAAGCGTTTGTACAAGAATAAGAAAATTGCGACTTACAGTACTCTGCATTGCGTAGCCAACAGAAATATTCTGATCAAGTGCATGATAAATCCCGTGACCATACGCTCTGCCGTGGAGGGTTTCCTTAAAGTCTAGTCCACTTCGAATGATGCTATGCCAGTTTTGAAGTGGGCTGCCATGCCACGCAAACAAAGTTGGATGTTTGGGATCAAGCTTTGCTTGTTGTGTCTTAAGAGCGTTCAAGAATTTCTGCTCCTTGTCTGGGGCACCTTGAGCGAATCGGAATTGAACCCAATGCTCAGATATACCAGAGATTCTCTGGTCAAGCTTGACTTTAGCCTTAGCAACGTCTTGATCATCTTGGCCTGGGCACCTATCGACCTGCACGATGCATGAACGATTGGAAGCGATAATCCACCGAAGTAATCCCAAAGCTGCTGGCGATACACGATCATTCCAGGCAAAGAGACTAGGTTCAGAGCGGCGACACTGCTGAGTGAGATATGTTCTCATCTCTACAACAGATGGCAAAGTCTCGAGAAGAGTGATGATCGTCTCCGACTTGGAAATGTCATCCATGTCGTCAAAATTTTTATTGTATATTTGAAATGTTGCTGGAATCAAAAACGGTGGCGGTGGGGTTGTGGCAGGGGTCGCAACAACGGGTGCATCGACAGGCGTGTTTACAGACATGGAATCAGCCGCTTTCTGAGTGACAGCAGTTTCAGCCAGCTGGATTGTGGGAAACAGGGATGTGTCCTGAACACGATAGTGATCCGCAGGTCGACCTATAAAAGTATTAACCTCCATGACAAACTATAATATGAACACAACTCAACATACCACCAGTTGTCACAATGACCCAATCGCCTTTGCGGACAGGGCTTTCCCCTTGACTCCCATCAAATACAACTTCGTGGCGATTGAAGTCTACCTTGACGTCCGTTAAGATCTCGGCGGATTCGTCACTAAAGCCGAGTGTCTTGCCTGGCTGTTGTGCATCACGTTGGCGCATACTTGCCTGGTAATTGGTACGACGATCTATGACTGCGGGTACTGCAAGACTCATACCAGTAGGATATTCTCGAAGTCTTTGGTTCTATCAATTCCGATGTCAGCTTAAGTCACGTATCAAAAGAGCGAATTTACCATTGCGCTTGAATAACAGAAGCTGACCAGGAGATCCACAACATATGGCTGAGTCATGATCTCATGCTCAACACTTGGTCCAAATCCCAGACTCATGTATTGGTAGAGGCAGAGCGGCTTGCTGCACACATATGGCTTCAGCGCGTCAAATTGTTCTTCAATCTTGTCATGACAAACAAGACAATACTCTGTACAGCGAACCAAATACCGCAAAGAAAATTGCGCAGCAATGAGAGGTACAGAGATCTGTGTCGCTTGGTCATCATCGAGGTGGTCCTTCGCCAACATGTCCGGCATAGTACTTTCGTGTACGTCCTTGACGTAATATTCCTCTGGTAACTCAGCACTCGGGACATCTATTCGTGATTGATTGTCGTTGTACCAAGACTTTGCACCAAGCCAATTCACGCCAATACTATCTCGGATCTTGAGTAGAGAGATGAATGTCTGATTGATAAACTCGTTCAAAGAGCTGCTGATAAAGAGATTTGAAAAGCCCGCGGCTTTCTTTTCCAGTTTTTCCGAATCTGCATTCGCAGCCTCAGGGGAATCTTGGGCGTTTTTGGCAAGTTCTGTAAATGCTACAACAGCTTCGAGATGTGTAGGTTTATATTTGTTGCTGAACCCGATTCGGAAATCAATGTCTGCCGACTTGGCGGCCTCCTTCATAATGGTCTCAAAGTCCTTGTAGCCGTTGGAATATCGAATCAAAAGTACTATGTACTGCTGGGGCTCTAAATCCCAAGCTTGGATGGCTTCGTCGGAAAGTCCAAGTTTAGCAACCTGGACGGAAATACTAAGCATACTAGACACAGAGTCGGCCTTCAACCCGTTCAAAATTCCTATTCTGAATCCAGCCAGCTTGACAGCTCGCAGATCTGCTCTGATGCGTCGATTAATCTTGGCAGCATCTTGTGGACTTAGCTTGATTGTCGTGGACATTGCTCTTCCTCCACCTGACGGATCCATGCCCCAGTCATCATCTGAACTGTAATTTTCGGATTCATCGTCCGTCATCTCCATATCTGAGACTGCGTCGGAAGCACCGTCTAAGTCAAGCGGGTCCTCTCGAGACCCCGTAGCCAGGAGCTTGAGTAACTTCTTCGAGATCGCAGCGACTAAATCTGGAATTGACATTCCCGCAGACGTCTCTTGTACAGCATCCAGAGAGTTGTTAACACCTTCTGGCACATTCTCGGATATTGTAGAAATCATATATGTGTTTCCATCGGGGTATTCGCTGACATCTGTGAGGAATTAACAACATGTAGCAATTGAAGAGTGCAATTATATGAAACAGCATTGTGCAGGAAGTTAGGAAGTGTAGATTTTGCCAAAGACAAGTAGGCCCTGTAAGAGCAGTAGCAGATTTCAGGATGGTGAAAGATGCAGAGACATAGAGACATACCCAAAGCAAGCAGGCCAATCTCAATTGCTATGCCAGAAGAGGGAAGAAAGCAGATGTTGAGATCTCCATCTTCGCTACCCTTCGCAATGCTGTTGATGCCGGGTATCTCTTGCGCGGTAACTTTCGCAACATCAGCAATATATGCCTTTCGAGGCATGACTGCGGGGTGTATCGAGATGTGGAGTAATGGCTTTACGACGAAGGCTGAAGAGCAATAGTTGCAGGACAGATCGCTGCGTTGTCATAAATATTGGAGAGGGCCTTTGGCTACCGCGGTCTATGTTTGAAAAAAAAATCGAGCCGCTCGTTGATGGTGGGAGGCTATCTTTGATTTTATATGCAAATGCGTCACGAGAGAAAAGTGAATGGCGAGGCCAGGCTGCGAACCATTCAATCGATTCGTCGAGGCGGTCTAGCGATGCCGTTCTTGCGACAAATAGAAGCTATCGAAAGCTCTTTTTGTGCGGAATGACGAGAAGATGATTAGAAGAAGATGATAACGTCGAATGCCAAAAGTTGACGGTGTGCAAATACAAGTAGAAGTGGAATTCAAACTTCAGATATTTGGGTATATCGGTCCCATCGAAGGCAGCAGCTGCGCAGCCTTGTGCTAGAAGGCATAAGCTACTCGAGTAGCCAATCAAGAGCAAGCGCTGCCTACCTACTCGGTACCTAACCTAAGTAGAAGTGAATGTGACCTCATAAGTGCACCTATCCAGACCCTTCACCTGTTGGTAGTCTGAATAGCTTCACTTGCACCTGGTCGAAACCCGAATTCTCAGCTTGGTGTGAAGTAGAAGATTGTACGGTAGGTGGGTACTCGTAGATGCCAGCCACGTCGAGGTCGTCCAAACAAGCAAGAACGCCAAACGCCCCCCTTCTACCCCACCCCACATATACGGTACGGTACGGTAAGTAAGCTCTGCGAGAATAGAAACACCACGGCACGGCACCCCCAAAGCACCGTACCTACCTATCTATTGTCCACTCCCATATTCTCCATCTCCAAGCACGGTGACGAAGCCTTCGTAAATCGTTATGCCTCCACGACGACAAGCAAGTAATGCCTCATCAAGAACCGCACAACCGCTGAAATCCACACCCAGCATTACTATCCAGCCCAAATCCACACAGATTGCAGACCCGGCCCTGCGACCATTCTTGAACCCCTCATTCGACCCCGCCGATTATCTCAATGCCACTCTCCCCTCCCTCCAGACCCCGAATGCCTCTCAATCTCCAAGGGGCAGTGTCCCTCTCGCAGAATTGTCCGCACAAACCCAGACGCTTCTCTCTCAGCTCAGCGCACATACCACGCGACTCACATCCACCCTGACACAACTCACCGACGAGATTCTTCGAAGCGGAAGCCGGTTAGCATACGAAGTTGAGGTGTTGCGCGGAGAAACTCTTGGGCTATCAGAAGCCTTGACAGAAGGATTACAAGACGATGTGGCCAGATTTGTTCCGGGTGGGTTGGAAGGAGACCTTGCAAGGAAACACTCGAAGGGCGGAGAAGTGAATGGAAATTCGAGACGGGCTTCAATCATTACAACTCCGAAAACACCTATACAAGAAGAAATACCCGGCGTTGCGGATCCACCTTATATCACGAAACTACGAACACTCACCCTCGTACGCTCCCGATTAGATACTGTGATTAAGACGTTTGGCGATGCGATGGCATGGACATTTCCTCCCTCCGAGGTATCAGTGACCTCGTCATTCTTATCCGTTTCCGCTCCAGAGCCCGGTTCAGACCAGCATAGCACAGAGGAGAAGGGCCAGCAAATATCAAGAAAGTTACGGGATGATATTGCAGATCTACTCATTGGCGGAGACCCTGTCGACGGCATCGAAGCTGCCGCCAAAAGAGTGGAGGAGCTCAAAGAACTGGCTGTAGTATGGAAGGGCACCGCGGAAGAAAAGGCAAGAGTCAGGTTTGTAGAGTCTCTGGCCAAGCTAGTAGAAGACAGACATAGGGAGCTGCTTCGGGACTCGGAACAAGATACTCGTCTACGGCAAAGGGTTGAAACCTTACAAGAAGATGTTGATGTCAGTGCGGGCGAGACGAAATCTCAGGGCGGGTATGGCTTTATCAACCAGCTGCAAAAATTAAGAGGGGCTTCATGACAGGACGATGGAGAAGACTAAAGCTACACGAAAAATGATACCAATTTGATAAACCTCGGGCAGAAATCCCTTGCTTACCTAGGTACGTTCTGCGAATTTCCGCATTTTGGTGCGGGGATTGGCTCCCGACTTCAAACGAAATGGTTCAAGACCAAGACGTTGCAGGATTATGGTTAAAGAATTGGTTTCATACCCGAAAAGCTATAAGCATGTCTTTCCATCAAATATTGAAAATCATTCGGGTGATGAGTCGTGTGCTTGCCCTTCTTACGCTCACATTCCTACGGGACAACACCCGTTCCCAAAGAAAGTATATTTATTAGTTCTTATCTATCGTTTCTAGCATCTTATAGAAGTCCGCAAGTAACGGCCATGAAATAAACTCAATTTTGATATCTTCTAGTGTTGAATTCATACTCCAACCTGAGTCATTCGCACCATCACTGGGTCTCAGATAGGAAGTTTCTGGTCCAAATCTCTAACATGCGTCTCGAGGCGGTACCTTATCCCCCAGATACAGCGGTCAAGGCTAAACCGAAGAGTTCTCCAGCCAAGAGCGTTGCTATACACTTGGTAAACCTGCTCTGCAGACCAACAAGAATACGACGAAGGGCAATATGGAGTGCCTTTGCTCTCACAGGCGTCCTTTTTCTCATAATTGAAAGACGGCATGCAGTAAGCTCCAGAATTTTCCTGCTGCTGTGAACGACTATGGACTGACAGCCCTTTTCAGGATGATTTACAACTAACAGTGTCAACTCTGGGCGGCTACGTTCCATACAGCATCAGTGATGCCATATCCCACTACGGCGAAGTCGAACAGGTCGAACAGAATAGATGGGACGATGTAGTAGATCCCAATAGTGGAAGCAGTGTCAAGAAGCCAAAATTTCACCTACTTATTCCGACCCCCGACACAAATGCTTCAGCGAACCTTTGCAAGACGCTAATGTCTGCTGCAATTCTCAATTATCCACCGCCTACATTGATTCATTATGGTGATGCAGGTGGAGCATTTACCAGACCAGGGGCAGACATTGTCAGGAACGTATTTAGCTTTCTTTTGGGGAAGGAGGCGCATGATGACGATTTGATTTTGGTTGTAGAGCAAGGTGTGTCTCACTACTCAAATTTTGATCAACTTTCTAACGTTGGATAGAGAGCTGGTTCCAGCTTCCGGCCGAAGTTGCTGTGAATCGGTTCTTTCACGGTCTCCAGGACTCCAATGAGCTCCTGTTGAAACAATATGGACAAAACATGACTAGCAACGAAACAGCCAATCTATCCACCGACTCGCCAAAATACACCCAGAAAGTCCTCTTCGGAGCCCAAAAGCAATGCTCAAACCCTCGCGCCGATCCAGCTTGCAACTCTGTTCCCCAATCTTCCTTGCCCAAAGATATATACGGGCCCCAAACAGACCGCCATCCAAGCGGGAGGTACAATCGGCCCCACTTTATGGACTCAAATATGGTAATGGGACGCGTCTCCGACCTCCTCCCAATCTTCAAATTGGCCACCGAACTCCTCGAATTCGAAGATATAGGCAAATACGGCAGCCAACATATATTCTCCCAACTCTTCGGCGAGCAGGAATACCACCGAGCCCTTTACCTCAATAGCATCGCCCCCAAATCACGCTGGCGGCAATGGATGAACTCCAAAACTGAACCCTCGAACACTCCCCCTCCCGTGCCAGGCAGGAATTATGAGTTGGGGATCGGTTTGGATTATGCAAGTTCCATATTCCAAATCATGGATAACAGCGCCAAAGACGTCAAATCAATGCGTTTTGACAATGCCTCCATAATAGCATCCCCCTCCAAACTATCAGCTGCTTCCTTCAAAACCCCACCGCACCTGCCCCCCGACCTAACCCTCAGCCGCTCGCCCTTCTCTCTGCACCAAGTATCAGCACCTAACCCCTCGCCCCCATTTTCCGCCTTGGACAATCTGCCAGAAGAAAACATTAGCTGGGCGGAAATCCAGCTCGCTACTAATCTCATCATCCCTGGCTCTAGTGTGCCTGCGATGTTGGATTACAGGGGTGAGGAGGGCTTGATGAGGAATACGTGGAGAGAAATGTGGTATTTTGAGTTCGGCCGGGCGCTGATGCGGCAGTATATACGAAGTCCGCAGGGGCCTATCGCTGCTTCGTCTGGTGATAAATGGTGGGATTTACGGGGCGGGAAAGGAGGAGTTTGGGATGAGAGGGGGGAGTGGAGGGAATGGATGGATGGTAGGTACTTCTTGTTTCCCCTTGTTTTGAAGATCGAGCGTTTCATCTTGTTAGCTTTCGTTCATAGAAATCATGGTACTAACTCCTTGCAGTCTGTGCTGGGACGAGTGATGAGCTGTTTGGGGATGGAAAGGGGCTGTTTGGGATGGAGGATGAGAGTGTGGGAGGGGAGAAGCCGGTTCATACTACTTCCGGGGAGAGAATCAGTGGACAAGACCACCCGGAAACGGAAGCAAAATCGAAGGAAGAGGGCCTGGCGAGGCAAAAGCATATGGGCCATGATGTGGAGACACCAGCTGTGCAAGGAAACAAGAACCCAACACTCCCCACCGAGGACATCCGAACCGCCAACCAAAACAACGACGAAGAGAATTACCGTAACTACTTCGGAAACGAACACCACGACGAGGAACACAAAAGCAGCTCAGAAGAAAGCAATAGCGACAACGACGAAGAGAATTACCGTA